AGCAGGGAGCCTGATGTGATACTCGATCCCAGGACCCTGGGATCACGACCTGAGCCCAAGGCAGACGCTTAACTGACTGAGCCACTCAGGCGCCCCCTCTGTCAGTATTTTGTACTAAAATAAGAATCACCAGATTTATCTGCCTCCTTATGGTGGTGGAAAGCCAAAAAGACAAAAAAATGCCTAGTGGATCCTTTTGATGCTGCAAAAGATGATGACTCACATTTTGCTAATAGTGGAAAATGAGATGAAATTAATTTTCGTTTCTGTACCATAGGGCCCTTTTGAGAGAAAGAGGGCTTATGATTGGTCCCAGTTCAACACTCTGTATCTCCGTGTACGTGGAGATGGTCGGCCTTGGATGGTGAATATCCGAGAGGACACGGATATAATCCAGAGGAAGAATCAGATGTACAGTTACTTCATGTTCACCCGTGGGGGGCCCTATTGGCAGGAAGTCAAGGTAACAGCACAAGTCTTTACTGTGTATGAAAATGAAGTCTTGAGATCATGGTTACACTGTAGTTTGTTTGTTTCGCTTGTTTTCCTTATTAATCCCTCTTGGAAGGTGTGGAAAGTGAAAGAAGGAAGATGACCTAGGGGTGAGATTTATATAATTGATTTTTTCTTTCATTAATATAAATGTTAGTTTATATACATCAGTAAATGTTTTTTTATAAAGATGTGGCCAGTTCCATGCTAAGTCATGGGTACATCTCTGCTCTGGGCTCAAGTAGATGCTTAAGTTTCTGCCATATCCCCTCTTCCAGGCAACTCTACTAAAAAGGCTCCCTTAAGAACAATAAATGCTTCATATTTCACAATCATGAAATTTTTATTCCTTGGTAATGAAGTACTTTGTCAGAAGAAGCTTTGAGAAGTTAAAAAATGTTAACTTGGAGGAAAATAAGTAGAAATTCAGGGAATGAATTTCAACTGCCTAGTCTTTTTTTACACCTACTGAAAGGTTTTTAATCCATAAACTCAAAAGAAAGTCCTCATTCTGCTTAGACTTAAACCTAAGGGTCATTGTGGATTCCTTTCTCCCTCATCCCACATACAGTCTGTTAGCAAATCTTGTCACCTATTCTTCTGAAATACACCCAGAGTCTGACCATTTCTGGCCATCTCTCCCACTGTCACCCCAGTCCAGGCCCTTAGATTACTACAGCAGCTTCTTTATTGATGTCCTTTGTTCTCTTGCCTCCTAAAATCCACTCTCCACACAGCAGCCAGAGTGATCTAAGGCATAATGCACATTACATCACTCACATGCTTAAAACCCTCCAGTGGCTTCCCCTTACATTTAGAATAAAGCCCAGACTCCTTAACATGGCCTACTGGGCCTACAGTATTGGACCCCTGTCTTTATCCTCAGTCTCCCGCCTACTTCCCTCCTCCATACTAGCCCCTTTTCTGTGTGTCAGACCCAACAAGCTCACCTCCATCTCAGAGCCTTTGTACTTCTGCTGATATGCTCTTCCCCCATATCTTCACCTTCCTCTTTCCTGTCATTCACCTCTCAGCTCAAAATTCACCTCCGAGATGCCTGACCTGCAGCTACAGTTGCACCCTCTAACCCAGTCACTTTGAGTAACACTACCCTGTTTTTGTTTTTGTTTTTGGTTTGCTTTTAAGATTTATTTGAGAGAGGAGTGGGGAGGGGTAGAGAGAGAGAGAGAGAGAGAGAGAGAGAGAATCTCTCTAGCAGACTCCCTGCTGAGCTCAGAGCCTGAAATGGGTCTTGATCTACGATCCTCAGATCCTGACCTGAGCTGAAATCAAGAGTCAGACACCTAACCAACTGAGCTACCCACGTGCCCCTCTGTTTAATTTTTTCATAGAACTAATTACTAGGTAAAATTACTTTGTTCATTCACTTGTCTCTTTGTTTATTGTCACTTTCTACCCTTCTGCCCTGGAACATAAATTCTGAGAGCAAGGACCTTGTCTGTATTATTCATGGCTATTTGCCCTGCACCTGGAACAGTGCCTAGCATATAATAGGCACTTGATGCGTATTTGTGCACTAATAAACATAAAAAAAATTCATGTAACACTTGTATACAAATAATATATATACTGAATTATGAAAACAAGGATTTCATATAGAAAATTTGGAAAACAGCAAAAAGGAAAAAAAATGTAGTGCCACTACCCAGAGGCAAACTACTTCTCATGTGTACCTTTGGATTTTTGTTTATACTTTTTAAAAAATTTCTTAACAAAAATGGTATTGTGTCAGTGCTGTTTTATAACATATATTGTTTACTGAATTTTATATATAACTTTCTGCTGAAATATATTTTTACATCATTTTTAATTTCTGCATATTTTACTGTATAAGTAGATGAGAATTTACCTAGTTCATTCTCTATTATTGTACATTTAAATTGTTTTCAGAATTTTTCACTGTTGTACCAAACTCTGAAGTAAATATCCTTATTTTCTTAGGATATATTCTTAGAAAGAACATTCCTAGAATAAATGATATATTTTTAAGGCCTTTGCACATTGCCAAATTATTCTGTAGTATTACCATTTCATTGTTAACAATTACTTTCTTCCCTGAAAATACATACAGTCCTAATCTTTGTCTGGAAAAAATAGTTGTTTGCAACAGCTCTCTTTAAATTATTGAGGAAAAGTGTTGGGGAAGAGATTTTTTCTTTAATTGAAGTATTATTGAGGTACAGTGTTATATTAGTGTCAGGTGTACAACATAGTGATTCAACATTTATATACGTTACTCAGTGCTCACCACCATTAAGTGTGGTCACAAGAGGTTTTATTTTTAAGATTTTATTTATTAATTTGAGAGACAGCGCATACATGAGCAGGGGGGAGGGGCAGAGGGAGAGGGAGAAGCAGACTCCCCACTGAGTGGGGAGCCCAATGCTGGGCTCGATCCCAGGACTCTGAGATCATGACCTGAGCCAAGGCAGACACTTAACCGACTGAGCCACCCAGGCGCCCAAGAGGTTTTTAATTAAGAGTTACTAATCGCTGTTTACTTGTTCATGAATAATTCTCCTGTAGTAAATAGAAGTGAGATGCTCAAATATTTACTCTGATTATAGAGAGAAAACAGAAAAATGATGGGAAAATTACATAGTTTACGTCACTTGTAGAGAAAGAGCAATTGTGCTTCCTTTTCTTTTATACAAGATTTATTTATTTATTTATTATTATTATTTTTTAAAGATTTTATTTATTTATTTGAGAGAGAGAATGAGACAGAAAGAGAGAATATGAGAGGGGGGAGGATCAGAGGGAGAAGCAGACTCCCTGCTGAGCAGGGAGTCCGATGCGGGACTCGATCCCAAGACTCCAGGATCATGAACTGAGCTGAAGGCAGTCGCTTAACCAACTGAGCCACCCAGGCGCCCCTCTTTTATACAAGATTTAATGTTCCTTCTTAGCTCTTTTTATCCAGCTTAAAAAAATCCAGGTAACTACCTTGGTGTAGACAGCGGTCTTAGAGAATCATGTGTCAAAAAGAAGAGATTAGTTTGAGGGGATGGTGCAGTATGTGACACGTGACAAGTAGGTAGCCTTGATTCCATTTCCAAAATATGTTTTGTTTTCTTTTTTTTAAAGATTTTATTTATTTTTGACAGAGAGTGTGTATAAGCAGGGGAAGCAGCAGGCAGAGGGAGAGGGAGAAGCAGGCCTCCTGCTGAGCAGGGAGCCCGACGTGGGGCTCGACCCCAGGATCCTGGGATCACGACCCGAGCCGAAGGCAGACGCCTAACCATCTGAGCCACCCAGAGGCCCCTCCAAAATATGTTTTGAATAATGAGGTAGATGAAGTGCTAAACTAGGATGCAAAATGAGAAACGGATTGCGGGGGGTCCCCTCTGGGTTTGTTTGACAGGAATGCAGAGAGTAGGTGAAATAGGATGTGACCATATATATGTATGTATTTATGATTGATTTAGATTTATTTATTTATTTTAGAGTGAGTGAGCATGAGTGGGAGTGTAGAGGGAGAGAGAATCTCAAACAGACTCCATGCTGAGCAGGGAGCCTGATGCAGGGCTCTACGCAGCGTACCACCCTGAGATCATGACCTGAGCAGAAACCAAGAGTCCAGCGCTTAACTGACAGCCACCCAGGTGACCCTGGATATGACTGTATTTTAATCTGCTGTGGAAGCAATGTGATCTTGTATAGTGGTGGGTTGGAATCTGAGTTTTGAATTGAGTTTGTTTTTATGTCCAGTGCTTTTGGTGATAATCTGAACAGCACAATTTTTTTTTTTTAAAGATTTTATTTATTTATTTGACAGAGAAAGAGAACACAAGAGTGGCAGGCAGAGAGATAGGGAGAAGCAGGCTCCCTGCTGAGCAGGGAGCCTGACGCAGGGCTCGATCCCAGGACCCTGGGATCATGACCCGAGCCGAAGGCAGACACGCAACCAACTGAGCCATCCAGGAGCCCCACAACTTTTTTTTTAAACATTTTTATTTTATGGTTCAAAAATCAAAATCTAAAATGATGTACAGTGAGAAGTCTCACTCCCACTCATGTCCCTCTCCACCCTTTTCCTGCCCACCCTCTAGTAGCCACTTTCAGTATTTTCTTTTGTAGCTTGGCAGTTTCATTATGTACAGATGAGCAAATGTAAGTACATAATCTTATTTTCTCCAATTTTTTTTTACTCAAAAATAAAAATAGCATACTTTATGCATCTTCTGTGCTTATTTTTAAAATTTAAATCCTAGGGGTGCCTATGTGGCTCAATAGTTAAGCGCCCGACTCTTGATTTTGGCTCAGGTCGTGATATCAGGGTCATGAGATTGAGTCCAGCATCAGGCTCTGTGCTGGGCATGGAGCCTTCATAGGATTCTATCCCTCTGCCCCCCACCCCTCTAAAAATATATAAAATAAAATAAAATTGAAATCCTAGATAGCTTCCATATCACTATGTGGAGTTATTCTCTATTTTTTTGTTATTATATGGAAATCCCATAGTTGATTCCTCTAATAATAGATACTGGGTTGTTCCCAATTGCCAAAAGTTTATTAGTTTTTTTTTTTGAGGGGTTTTTAAAATTTGTGTTTATACTGTGGATTCTTGTCTAGATCCTCTTCACTAATATATTGTAGAGGTCTTCCTTCCCATTGTATCCTGTGTAGGTCTGCATTAAGAAAATAGCTGCGTAGTATTCAGTTGTATGCATGCACCATAATTTAACCATACTCCTATTTTTCCTTTTTTTTTTTTTTAGAAAAAGCTACATCTTTATGTGTCAGAGATTATAACATATAAGTGAAATATAAGTGAAATTGGTAGGTCAAAGTTATGGCATTTCATAATCTGCTAAATATTGCCATTAGTTTTCTACATAAAACATTACCATAAAGTTAGTGGCTTTAAACGGCCCATGTTCATTAGCTCATAGTTCAAAAGTTCAATAGGTCATGAGTTGGGGCTCAGTATACCTGGGTCCAATGCTCAGGGCCTTAGAAGTCTGAAATCAAGGTGTCACCTGGGCTGTATTCCTTTCTAGAGGCTCTGGGGAAGGATCCACTTACAAGTTCATTGTAGTTATTGGCCAGATTCAATTCCTATGATTGTAGGACTAACATCCTGGTTTCTGTACTGGTTGTCAGCTGAGCGCCTCTCTCAGCTCCTAGAAGCTGCCTGCAGTCTTTGCCATTTCACTTCTTCTGTCTTCAGAGCCAGCAGTGGATAATCTGCCCCCAAGGAGATGGTTTTAACCTCTCTTGCCAGTCAACCTATGGGCCCAAGTGATTAAGTTGGGCCTACAGAGGATAATCTTCCCTATATTAAGGTCAGGTGCTTTGGGACCTTCCATTTGCAGAGTCCCTTCTCAGCGGCAGAGGTTAGGGTGGATACCTGGAAGGTGTGTGGACACAGAAGGTGGAAATCTTGGGGCCATGGTGGACTCCTGCCTCCCAGTTGCAGGTCATCCTCTAAGAGTTGTATCAATCTACACACCTACCAGTAGTATACAAGTGTGCCTGTTTCTCCCCTTCCCCATGTTTCCGTTGGTTGTTAAATCTTAGTTACCTGTGAAAGCTTTGTGGATACTAGTTTTTGTCCATAAATATTACAAATATTTTTTTCCTAATTTATCCTTTGTCTTTGCTGTCAGAAGTTAAATTGTACTCTATTGTTTTTCCTTTGGGATTTCTGGCTTAGAAAGGTTTTCATCTGTTTTCTTCTAATACTTATTATTTTTTAAAAAATATATCTATGATCCAAATGCCTAGCCACTTGTCATAACTGCATATATTACAATTGTTAGAATTAAACTGTTATCATTGCAATTCCATACAAATGCCTCAGCTGCTTATATTTTAGCTCTGAAGTAAATGGTTTCTCTTTTCAGATTCCTTTCTCCAAATTTTTCTTCTCTAATCAAGGAAGAATCCGGGATGCCCAGTACCAGCTTCTGCTTGACAAGGTAACATTTTCCTGTACTTTGACTCAGAACTGTTAACTTTAGTAAAACAAAACTCCTGTGAGGATGATTTCAGTCCATTTTTGAGGGTTGGCAAATGAAAGATGAAAATTCTTATCAAGGCCTCCCCTGTTATTCCACGCAGAGGTTGCTTCAGACCTCTTCTGTGAGCCAAACCCCCCGCTGGGAGAGCTTTCACTATGGTCTTTTCAGCCTGCCTACATTTTATTTTAGCTCTAAAATAAGAGAACAGTATTCCAGTTCAGGAGGGCTTCAAGGAACCTCCATTAGACATCCATGCTGTCCTAACCAGTCTTAAGTGGCACTACTTTTTTTTTTTTAAGGTTTTATTTATCTGACAGAGAGAGAGACAGCGAGAGAGGGAACACAAGCAGGGGGAGTGGGAGAGGCAGAAGCAGGCTTCCCGCTGAGCGATGTGGGGCTTGATCCCAGGGCCCTGGGATCATGACCTGAGCCACCCAGGCGCCCCAAGTGGCACTACTTTAAAGAGAGGAAGAGAAAGTAGAAAGAAGAATCATCCCTGCACTTCCTCTTATGATTTGCTATATAGCATAGGAGAACTATGGCATACTTGCTCAGGGCTGATAGTGTAAAGACCCAGTTATATGAATCACCTCATGGAACTTGAAAACTCCAGGAACAATATCAGTATATGCGATTTTGATCAGTTTTATTTTAAATGTAGATCTCTTCTATTGGATTCACTCTGGCTGATAAAGTGGATGGTCCATTCTTCCTAGAAATAGATTTTATTGGAGTGTTTACAGATCCAGCCCACACAGAAGAATTCGCCTATGAAAATTCTCCAGAGCTTAACCCAAGACTTTTTAAATAGAGATGGTAATTTTGTACTACCAAACTAAGTAGTATTATCCATGATGACAGAGACAAAATAAAGTACTTCTTTCATGGCTTCCAACCAATGGCTGGTATGTATTCCCTGGGACAAATCTAAATGCTATTGTCAAGAGGGGCTGCAGAGGGAGGCATAGCATGAACCTAGGTTCTAAGCTGTAACTTAATACAAGTCCTGATGCGGAGGTATCATGTAAAGAACTTAACTGGATTGGGTTAAAATGATTCATTAGGAACAATTCCCCTACACACATAGGCATTGCCAAAGCAAGGAGTCCTCAAGATGACTGTTGATGTCTTTCTCCTACTCTATTCCTTGTAAGTTTCTTGTGTTTTCTAATCCATCATTTAAGGAAAGGAGATTGCTATGCAATTCAGTGATTTTTAATATATTCACAGACTTGTCAGCTTTATCACAAGCTAATTTTAGAAAATTTCTATCTGTCCTAGAAGTAACCTTAACACCCCCACCCCCAGGTATCTACTGCTCTACTTTCTCCATAGTTTTAGCTTATCTGGATATGTTGTACAAAGAGAATCATATGTGACCTTTTATGTCTGGTTCTTTTCACTTAGCATAAGATCTGTGAGATTCATCCATCTTGTAACATTTTATTAATACTTTATTCCTTTTTAGTGCATCATTTTTAATTTATTAATGGACAGCTGGATGTTCTCTACTTTTTGGCTACAATGAATAATATTCCTGTAAATATCTGCCTAGAAGTTCTTGTGTGGACATGTGCTTCTCTTTCTCTTGGGTATATACCTAGGAGTAGAAGGTCATGTGCGTCAGTGTGACCCATGCCATTGTTGGGTAATGTGGTAGACATATTTAAGAAGCCATCAACCTGTTTTCCAAAATGATTAGATCATTTTGCCTTTCTAGCTGCAGTTTATTTGATGCTGGTTTAATTGATATGATCTCTGCTTCTCAATAGCAAAATCTGGGTTTATTCAGCACCCGGGAGTATGCCAATGTTCTGTGGGCTCGTGTATGTTTAACAGTAAGTATAACAGAGTTGGACATGTGCTGTGAAAAATACAAGAGGAAAACATGGTCATTTCTTAGGGTGAGAAGAGGTGGTCAGGACAGGATGAACAGAGTATAAGTAAACTTCTTAATCTTAGCTGGTCAACTCAATCATGAATTTATTTACAAAGAATCTACCACCATGAGAAAACATTTATGAAAATCTTAAACAGTACAAAGCTCTGAAGCTCCGCTGAGGTGCAACAAACATGGCTAGGAGGCTAAGCAACCCTAGTCTTTTCCATAAAGTAAGATGTAACTCTGACAGACCATATTAATCCTTGCAGCAGCAATCCTCAGATTTCAGTATGACCCTGTATATTTTTAAGGCTAGAATGAGCTATAGAGTTTTTAAGAATATAGTGAGTGACAGAGGGCTATTCCATCAAGTGATTGGAACAAATGTGCATAGGTAACAAAACACTTCACCTAGGTAGAATATTTACGCCATTACCAACCCATTTGGTTCCCTGTTTCATTAAGACGACTCGATCTTCTGGAGGAGGATGAGGTGGCTTTCTCAGCTTGTTAGTGGTTTAGGTTCTACTAAAGGTTGTGGTAGAACTACCTACCATCAGGTTAATGCTTCTGTCTGGAAGAGGATTCCAGTTCTGTCAGCAGAGGGAACTTGACATTAAAAATCTAGGTCAAGAATCTATAGGATGAGTCTCATTAGAAAACTGAATTGTACAGAGACTTAGATAAAAACCATTTCAAAGAATTTGTGAGCTTTAAGGTCAATAACAACTTTCCAGGGATGTAGTATGTGAAGAGAACCACCAACACTACGTAGATAGTGAACACAAAGAGCAGAAAAAAGTCTTTTGACTAAAGTGGGAAAGACAGTAGAAAAATATTTACAATAAAGAAAGGGTTCAGAATAAAATACTGTTTACAGGATGTTAAAAAATTAATCTTCAGCCATAATGAGTCCTCTTCGAGCTCCTAAAACCTTTGCTTTCTTCTCCTTCCGTCTTTGCTCATGTTGTTTCCGTTTTTCCTCCCTAAAGAGGGGGACAGGTACACATTAGGGTCTAGTGAAGCTCCACAAAAGTCCACTTTAAGTACCTGTCAGACTAATGTCCAAGCTTAAACCGAAATCCAGTATACTTGTACAAAACACACTCTTATAGGACACTGTGCTCTAGCTAGTGGGCTGTCTATGGAAGCCACATCTCTTAAGTCACTTGTGTTAAAGGGCTAGAAAGTGGTATTTTCCTTTTAATGTTAACGTAGCATTCTAAAATTAAGCATGGAACTGGAACAAAAGGCACCTCGGTACCTTAATTTGTTTATATATATATATTTTTAAAAGATTTTATTATTTATTTGACAGAGACACAGCAAGAGAAGGAACACAAGCAGGGGGAGAGGGAGAAGCAGACTCCCCGTGGAGCAGGGAGCCCAATGCGGGGCTCGATCCCAGGACCCTGGGATCATGACCTGAGCCGAAAGCAGACGCCTAACAGCTGAGCCACCCAAGTGCCTTCCTTAATTTGTTTTAAATGAGAAATCTCTACCTTTGGAAATCAGATGTCAGCTCAAAAATCCTATAGTCTGGTGAAGTGCTAGAACTAGGGTCTGCTGACCTAAGCCACTGTATGTTTCTGGAAGGGATCGGGGATTGGTAGGAGGGGTGGGGGAAGGCTAGGTTTATGTTAAAAAAAAAAGGGGGGGGGGGGCGCCTGAGTGGCGCAGTTGAAGGCTCAGTCTGCCTTCGGCTCAGGTCATGATCCCAGGGTCCCAGGATTGAGCCCCGTGCATCAGGCTCCCTGCTCCGCGGGAAGCCTGCTTCTCCCTCTCCTACTCCCCCTGCTTGTGTTCCCTCTGTCTTGCTGTGTCTCTGTCAAATGATTTTTTTTTTTTTTTAAAGATTTTAAGTACTCTCTACACCCAATGTGGGGCTCAAACTCATAACCCCAAGATCAAGAGTCCCATGCTCTTCTGAGCCAGCCAAGCGCCCCTATGTTAACAATCTTAATAGCAAATATAGTTAGTAAATGTCTTGGTGGCAGCTGGATATAGGCAAGTCACATGATGGGTAATCCTGTATCAGGATGGTTTCATGCAGGGAATCAACTCAACCAGGACCAGCTATAGCCCACAGCAAGCTCTGGCTTTGGTTTTCACACAGAAGGAAGCCTGTAAGGATCATCTGGGGATTTCTTCTGGGTAGGGCCTTGAAGCCTAATAAGCCTGGTTTCCCTGGGGTTGAAGAATTTACACTTGGGCCCTTGGATTGGCGCCTGGAGGGATATCCAGGTACACTGTTTGGGCTGGTAGGTCCTGTGAGAACATGGTACTCTTCTGTATCACCTGTGGAGCTTCGGAAACCATGCAGCTGCTTGGGCCTCGCCTCCCAATTCCTGAATTAAAAACCACGGTGGGGGGAGGGGGCGCCTAGGCACATGTATCTTCAGGAAGTTTTATGTGATTCCCCAACTACCCTTTCCTTAAACACCGCTATTACTGAACCTCTCTACCTCAGAGGCTTTGCTTTTATAGTCTTTCAAAATTAAAATTACTATAGAACTGGATAATTATGTACTCACCTAGTCTGGAGAGGAGGTTGTTTGTAAGTTTTCTTGTGGAAGCTAACTCTGTTTACATGCTCCTTCAGAGAATTATTTTCTTTAGATTGACCCCATGGTTTCAGCTTGCCTAGTTTAGGAGAGACAAAGATTTAAGAAGATTCTTCTACTTACATTCCCAATTTTATTCTCTTCATCTGAGGCTATTTGCTTGCTATCAATATTTATACTTTATAGACATTTGCCATCATATTTCTATTAGTTTAATTCCTATTCCACAAATATAAATGATATAAATCGTATTTTTTTCCTCTAAAAATAAGTTTTTTGTTTTTTTTTTTTAAGATTTATTAATAGAGAGCATGTGTGCACACACGTCCTGGAGTTGCAGAGGGAGAGGGAGAAAGAATCTCAAGCAGACTCTGCACTGAGCACAGAGCCTGGTGCGGGCTCAGTCTCATGACCCTGAAATCATGTCATGAACTGAAATCAAGAGTCGGATGCTTAACCAACTGAGCTACCCAGGCATCCCAGGAATTCTTACTGTTTTAAAGCAATTCTAGGGATGCCTGGGTGGCTCAGTCCCTTAAGCATCTGCCTTAGGTTCAGGTCATGATCCCGGGGTCCTGGGATTAAGTCCCACGTCGGGCTCCCTGCTCAGTGGGGAGTTTGCTTCTCCATATACCTGCCGCTGCCCCTGCTTGTGCTGACAAATCTTAAAAAAAAAAAAAAAAAAAAGCAATTCTAGAATTACTGAAAGATCACATGAAGTATTGGTTGTTTTTGTTTTTAGAGTTGGTATTTTAAATGGATATACAGATACTTTAATATAGGCCCAATTTATATGGGCATTTATATAGCCAGTAAATGTCCCAGGTTGTTGGACAGGTGGATTCCAGCCTGGGATCCTTTGAAAGTAGTAAAGAAAATATTCATTTGCCCACAGACCAATTTCCAAGTTTCTTGATTTTGCCTGAAATTTTATTATTTCTTTGCTGTAACACTGATTAGAAGTTATGTCTTTGATTAACAAAAATGTAAGTGAATTGATTATTTAGTATTTGCTTAGTGGACAGTCTTTTAAATCATGGGTCATGTGGACCCAGGGGGAAGAAATTCTAGGTGGCCAAGTATGGCTTTCCATTGAGGCACTAGAATTTTTCACATCCTCAGATGTAGAACTACTTAATCCTAAGTCTTTGGCACATCTTGTATCTCAGAACGTCTGCACGTACCTTTGTGTGGCTCATAGTTGAGGGGACGAGACAGACTTGCTTTGAGATCAAACACTGGCTTCTTGTTGGAGACTGGAGTCTGTACTGCCTGAGTTGTCAATTTGAATGGGGTAACAACTACGAAACCAAGAAACAAAACCCCAGGGCTTAATTAGGAAAAAAAAAAAAAAAGGCCTATACAGTTTTTTGTTGAAGTACCATTTCTCAGTCTTAAAAATATGATCTCTATGGACAGTCTCAAACATGAAGGTTTAAAAAGGAAAAGGGAGAAAAGAATAACTAAGGAAAGCTAACCACTGAGACTTGCTTCCCTTGTGAGTAGTTCTCCAAAGTCTCAGGATTAGGTTATTTCCTAGAGTCACCTGGGAGTTGAAAATCCTGTTTAAATAATTGATGGGTAAATGTTCAGGCCATGTCCCTGATATTTACCCTTTAATAATATGTTAGTAGTAACATTTTCAGTCATACAGATACAAAGCCTGCAAGGAACCTCATCACATATAAATGAAAAGATTTGTGGCTCTGGTTTTTATTTATAAAAGCATTTATTTAAAAATGTGAATTTTTGTACCATAAATATACCAGAGTGACAGGACTCAGTAAGCCAAATTTTTGCCAGTTGGCACCATATATTGGGCACATTTTATTAATTCTTTCCCATCACAGGCTGTACTCAGGCTATTGTCGAATATCAGCACTTGCGTGTATATATATGAATAAGCAACCAAAATCTAGGGCCACTTGGTTCAATGAGAAAAGCACAAAACCCCTGTTTGAAAGTGATCCCATTGTGTGGCTATCTGGTGCCGGCAGGGAGGGGAACACGGGCTGTCCACCATGCCGAGCAGAGTTTCAATAGGTACAATTCAGCCTGTCCAGTAACTGCAGACCCGCTACACCTCAGTCCCTCCGAGCTCTAGAGAAGCTCTCACACGTGTACAGGAGACGTGGTTAATAATGGTCATGACCACTGAAACAACAAAAGCTGGAAATACTCACGTAGTCAATGACCAGTAAAACACAAATTGAAGTATATCCATACCAGTGAAAATGAACAAATTTTATAGCTCATTTATCAATATGGGTGATTCTTGAAACATTAAACTGAGTGAACGAAGCAAATCATAGGGAAAAAAAAATCATACAATTTGATTTCCTTTACATAAGATTCATATCTGATAGTTGGGGGAAAAAACTATCCCATCCCAACTGGGCACACCCCTGAATTACCATGAGAAAGCTCACAATATGGTAAGCATTTAGTTTCTGCCTCATGTTGTTATCTGTGAACATTTGTGAGTCCTTCCTCATTATGAGGTAAGTGGTCTAGTCAGTGACCCCAGCTCTCTGTAAAATAACATCGTCCTATCTTAGGCAAGTCCACTCCATTTGTGGCACTGCCCTCTGTCCAGGCCCCTTTCTTGCCTTACTATAGGAAGATTTAGAAGGTTACGTGGAATGTTTGCTTGCTGGTGGCGTTAAGATTAAGGGCTAAGCTGGGAATGAGAGAGCTCATTTAGAGGAAGAATCACATAAAATTACTATTCCCACATCTGGACTCGCTTAAAATGTAGCTGTCAGCCTCACTCTTCTGTCTTTAAGGTATGAAGAAACCCTCATCGACTCCACACAGATTATTACTGACACTGTTCTGAAGCCCCTACTGGATTGCTCTAGTCTCAGGAGTTGGTGAGCCTTTCTATGCGATCAAGGCTCTTGCCTCATGTATTCGATAGGACTCTCAGGAGAATTGTGACACACTCAGTTCTAATATAGGCCTCAATCTGCTCGTTATATATATATATATTTTAAACTTTGTACTGCTACTGCAGTATTCTTTTGAAAACCACCTAATGATTGTAGGTGATGATTAAGTAGGCCATGTGTAGCAGAGTATCCATATAGCTTATTCTGGCTTACATAATCTAGTCCATAGTGTGGCCTTTATCCCACAAACTCTGGGATCCTAAATCTAGTCCATAGTGTGGCCTTTATCCCACAAACTCTGGGATCCTATTAGTTTCAGTCCTGGAGGACCAATCAGAGGCTGTAATGAATACTGTGATCCTCCTCCTAATCCCTGAGTCTAAGAAGGACCGAATGATCTTCAGGGAGGGTCACCATCTTAGGACTCCTTACAGATAAGATGGAGTCCTCAGGCAGATACCAGTTTTTTGTTTGTGTCTCTGGCATTTTCCTCACCAATATAAAATGAAAACTATGCTATGGTGAAATTTTTGCTTTTGCTTTTATAGTTATGGAGAGGTTTTAAGTAAACAAATACACTTAATAATTTCAGGAGGTTAGATGGCTTAAAGATGAACCGGAGTTTTTTCTTTTGTTTTACCAGAAGCAGAATTTCCATTTGTGGTCTTTAACTTGTCTGTCCCGAGCACAGCCTGGCCTTCTGGGGTATTCCCAGGGATGGTCACATGTGGAGACTTTCTGGCTGGAGTCTTGGTCAGTGAACGCTTATGCTCATTATCTTTGGTAGCAGCTGAAAACCTGAACAGGACAGTGGAGTACCAAACACGAGTGTTTGTGTGAAGAGTAACTTATATCAAGCATACAAGCAAAACCACCTGCCCATCCCCAAGCAGTGAAAGGGCTCGATATGTACTTGTTATGTGAAGGAACCTTTTTTGCAGAATAAACATTTTACAGCACTTGATTTGTAAAATATGGTTTTGTCTTCTCTGCTTTCCTTGTCTTGGCCAATGGCAGAACAAGGTAGAGCTCCAAGGAAATGCCTTTGGGGCTCAAATTACAGTTTAGGAGGTACTCTAAGCACTCCCCTCTTTCTCCTCCTGGTGATGGCCAATCAGTGAACAGGACACTGCTATGCTAAATATGGGAATGGATCTTACGTCTTCCTAGTAGATGGTCATTCATTTAAATGGTACATAAGCCCATTCTCCTAGCAAATTGCCATAAATTTATTCCACTGATTATGATGCATATTTTTTATGCATTTTAACATCTGAAATTGGGATAGGTTTCATAATTAGTAACACATTATAGTTGGCAATGATTTTTCTTAGTGGTTCATAAAATAATGGTGAGTCTCCAATTGATGGTGTCTTAGATTCAGTGAAATTCGGGAAGGACAGACATAAATGTACATGATGGTGGTGGTGATGGGGTTAACAGAAGAGAACTTCTGGACTTAAAACTAAAATGTGGTAGGGATCCTGTATCAGGACCCAAAATTATTATGGAATACCGTACAACCCGGTTAAGACAACTGCATGTTAGGTGAAGTCCAGGCTGCTGTGAACACTGCAGTGGGGCGAGGAGTCACCCCGACCATGGTGTTCCTCAGTACTCTTACATACAGTCCGAACTGCCATGGAGAGGTTCCTCAGACTCCACGCTAACTCAATAAATAGAGTTCCAAACTTAAGGGCGTTTTTAAGCTCTAAAAACTACATCAGATAATTACATGTGTTGGGGAAGTGTTACCAGGCACCAACACTATTAGATGCTGCAAACGCCCTTTAAAAAGAGAAGGGGGGTGCCTGGCTGGCTCAGTTGGTAAACATGCGACTCTTGACCTCAGGGTTGTGGGTTCAAGCCCCACACTGGGTGTGGAGGTTACTTAAAAAAATCTTAGTGGTGCCTGGGTGGCTCAGTCATTAAGCGTCTGCCTTCGGCTCAGGCCATGACCCCAGGGTTGGTCCTGGGATCAAGCCCTGCATCGGGCTCCCTGCTTCTCCCTCTCCCCCTGCTTGTGTTCCCTCTCTCGCTGTTTCTCCTTCTGTCAAATAAATAAAATCTTTAAAAAAAATAAAAAAAATCTTAAGGGGCACCTAGGTGGCTCAGTCAGTTAAGTGGCTGCCTTCGGCTGAGGTCATGATCCCAGGATCCTGGGATCGAGCCCTGCATCGGGCTCCCTGCTCCGCGCTCCGCGGGAAGCCTGCTTCCCCCTCTCCCACTCCCCCTGCTTGTGTTCCCTCTCTCGCTGTGTCTTTCTTTGTCAAATAAATAAAATATTTAAAAAAAAAATTTTTTTTTTTTCTATATTAAAGGAGCCTGAAGATCTTCACCTCTGGGATAGTTATAATTGGGGGCTACCCTGTGTCAGGAGAAGTACAAGCAAAGAAAATAGAGGGGTCAATGGGGCCTGGGTAACTGTACCCAGTGCGTTACAAAAGTTACACTTAGGACGTGTCAATTAAGTTCACTGCATCGAGATATTTTCTGTAGGAATTTAGCTCAACTTTACATTTAAGTCAATGGAAAAATTTCTCTTTACATGTCTTTATAGGCATACATTAAACTAATAAAATGAATATCCGTATGTACCTTCTATCTTTACTTACGAACCAAATGTGAGCTTAGAGAAGTTTGATAAAAAAACTCAATGCAAATTTAAAGAAAAAAGATTACAGCTTATAAAAACCATCCATTTATTTTCTCTCCATTCTGATCCTCTTTTGCCTTCTTTTTCATCAACATTAAAACATATTTGATGTCGCCCGCCTGAAATGTACAGGAAGCAGTAAAGCTTTGAGACCTTGTACTTGATTATATTTTGGAGCTCTTCTTACCTGACGTTCATCTTAGTAGCCGAGAGGACGGATCGCTTGGCGGAGCCCTTCCCACACAAGGTGCTCCGGCCTGCAGTGCCCAGGGGCCGGCCCTGCGAGTGGCGCTGGCTGGTGGGAGTGCAAGCCGCGGGGAGCCTTCCCCGGAGAGGAACTGGAGTCACCACCATTCCCTTGGTGACCAGCTGCTTCTGCAGAAAGACACGGCACTATGTTCAAGCTGGGCTTCTTAGCACTGTCTCCACAGCAGCCCCGTTCATGCCCTTGTTCCATCCCCACTTTTAACCCCCCGTTATCTTTCCTTCTCAGTGCCTCCTCATCTTCCTACCTGCCAGGTGGGCAGGGCAGTTCCTGGCACCTGTATTGCTATGGTGACCGAGTTAGGAGTAACTTCTGGTTGTGCTGAGTCCTGTGTTACAGAGAGCCTTTCCCAGCTTGCCATGAACCCAGGTATTTTCTGACTAAAGGATGTGGCTTAAGGGGCGCCTGGGTGGCTCAGTCGTTAAGCATCTGCCTTCGGCTCAGGTCATGATCCCAGGGTCATGGGATCGAGTCCTGCATCTGGCTTCTTGCTCAGTGAGGAGCCTGCTTCTCCCTCTCCCTCTGCTGCTCCCCCTGCTTGTGCTGACAAATAAATAAAAATCTTAAAAAAAAAAAGAATGTGGTTTAAAAGTCCACTGTGGCGAGAAAGGGAGGATCAACAGCTTCTCTTGGACATATAGTATCTTTGAGAACATGATAAGCTATTTATTTATTATTTATTTATTTTTAAAGATTTTATTTATTTGACAGAGAGCACAAGCAGAGGGAGAGAGATGGAGAAGCAGTTTCCCTGCTGAGCAAGGAGCCTGATGTGGGACTCAATCCCAGGACCCTGGGATCATGACCTGGGCCGAAGGCAGCCGCTTAACCAACTGAGCCACCCAGGCGTCCCCTGATAAGCTATTTATTAAATACAAACTCAGAGAACCACCTATTATGTAATTAGCACATGGAATCTACAAATAATTCCACCCCTGCCCCTACAACCCCCTCCATGGATTCTTAAAGTTTCTTTAAAAACAAAAACAAACAAACAAAAAAAACAAGAGGGAGGGAGGGAAACCCTCCCTTTGAAATGGCTGGGGAGGGTCCACTTAGGTTATCATTTTTTAGATATTGTCAGGGCACAAAGAATAACAATGTCTTCCTATCACTGGTTTAAGCTCTTGTAAGTAAAAGAAACACAACTTTGTTAAAGGTACAACAGTGGTGGGATTACTGAAATTGACAAGGCTAAGCCAAAAGACAGAAAAATTCTGATTATATCATAGGAAATACAAGCACTCCGAGAATTATATCAACTTCTCAACATACAAGCAGAAGAGATTCTACTGTGACACAAAGTTAAAACTTACTAAAATAGTTAGTAAATGCACATCTATACCATGAGGTGGGAGCCCAGGTTATATGTATTTAAGCACACTGTTCTATTTAATCACACTTTTTATGCTGCCTTCTGTCTTTCCCCCAAGATTCCCACTTTCCATGCTGTGTCTCCTCACAGTTCACTTGGTGTCAGGACCAACCCTGCATCTTTGTTCTGAACTATTTACAATGCAGAAATGAGTCTACTAGCTCTTATCCATCTAACTTTTTTTCAGGTAAGCCGTACTAACTTGTTTTGTTAGCAATGTATGTAAACAATTCCTCTCTTTTAGCAATAAAAATCTGTTCAATCCTAACAAAGCAAAGAGCTCAATCATACCATATACAAAAGTCGGTTAAGGATTAAATATAGGTGAAAATAATAAAAGCAGTACAAATAAATATAAGAGCTTATTTTTATGATCTTGAAACAGGCAGGGTGTGACAAAAAAAAACAAAAAAACCACGCAGACCCTTAAAAGGAAAAGCTGGATAAAATTAAGAAAAAAATCTTTCATAAGACAAAAGACACCACTAATATAGTTAAAAGATAAACTGAAGGAAAGCATTTATAATATAGAATATATAGCATTAACATAAATGGCTAATAGATGAGTAAAAATTAAGAAAAAGCAAATTCACAAAAAACCCCAGCCAATAACAACACATAAACATATAGTGATCAAAGAAATGCCAACTCAATTGGGATTTTTTCATATTATATTAATAAAGATTTAAAAAATTCATCATTCCCACTGTTGGCAAGATAAAGCGGCATCTTGGGGCGCTGTGTTTCTGATGCTTATAGAGGACCATTTGGCAACTAAATCAAATCGGTCTCCCTGTTCTAATGAAAGTCAAGGAGAGACAGGTCGTGGCCAAGATGATTCTAAGATCTCTGCTTATTTATTATGATCTAACACTGTCCAATGACCAATCCCAAAACATGTCAGCTGTCAAGAAAAACTTCCTATTAGCTATGGTGAAGTCACTGTAATTTTTTATTTTTCAATTTCCAAATAGATCATACCAAATAACCCATCTGATCTATTCCTTAGTGGGGAGTGGGGGTGATTTTAGAACTAAATTCATTCAGGTGGGGTATTGGGAAAAATAAGATAACCTAATCATTATTTAACACATCTTCAGAGCTACACTCAAGTTTATGGTTGAGGCACTTGTTCTGCCCTAATTTTTGCCTTTAACTCACCCGTATTATGTAGTATAGAAAACTTGACTTTCAATCACGTATTTAAGTAGACTCAGTTTCATGGTAAGGAAAATGAGTGGCCCTGCTTGCAGGCATATTTACTCCTAGCTCATTTTCATGCAAAAAAAAGGAAAAAGAAGACAAAAAGAAACTAGAGGTCTACTTCCTGTAAATCATCAGCATGGGCCTTTTGTCCAGGTATTCAGCTGTCAGCAGAGTGATGCCTAGCCCTTGCTAATATTTAAGCAAGCATTATTATGGGCATACTGAGTATGTCTTCTCTGATTCTCCACCCGAGCTGTCGGACCAATCTGCAGCCTTCAAATGCCACGGCTTGGCTTTGTCGCTGTCAGCTGGTTGATAAACGGTGTCTTCAATGAGGTTAGCAGTGGCTTTATAAAGAGTTCAAATGAATGTTACTACTCTAGATTCAGCTTCTTGCTAAGAAGCTTATGGTGTATGTTTTTTAAAAAATATATATTTAGAACTTGTCACCTAGTGTGTTTCTGTGTTGGGATTTGTATCAGAAAATGTGAAACTCAACTGACACAGCAGATACCGTCCCTGCTAACAGTGCTCATATTCTGCCCCTTTCAAACCAACTTATATTATGTGTTATAATACCAAAGACTGCCTCCAAGTCTTTTTGAAAAATAAGCACATGGAATGTATTATGAAATTCTAAAATAAATATTCCCCAGTACTCTATGTGGCACCCCTTGAACACCAGAGACCAAGTAAGGTAATAACAGGATGTTGTCAACTCAGTGCTCTATTTCAACCGTGGGGCTGATTTCCTCCCCTTTTCTTATTCGAAGGGACTTTGAGTCAGGCAGGACCTGGACTGAAGGGCCCCCAGGAGCTCAGTTAGCAGGTAGCCCCTAAGTTGGCCAGTGCAACTCGTTCCTTTTTCCTTTAGGTGAGAGAGAAAGAAAATGGCTTCACCCATAATCAGTCTAGCCTCAACATAAGTAATAAGCACCATGTGTGAAGCCTGAGAAAAGAACAACTTACTGGCATTTTGGAATTAGTTCTTTATAGTGAGGACTCCCGATTTTATTCTGAGGGTTCTGAAAATTCTTATGGTGGGGGAAGCAATTTCAGATAATAAAGATATATTAAACTCAAATCCGTTCCACTGGCAGAATAGAAAGCTGGCTGTATTAGCTAAGGTATTGACATTAAAATCAAATAATTCGGGGCACCAGGGTGGCTCAGTTGGTTAAACATCTGCCTTTGGCTCAGGTCGTGATCCCGGGGTCCTAGGATCGAGCCCTGCATCAGGCTCCCTGTTCAGAGGGGAGCCTACTTCCCCCTTTACCGCTCCCCCTGCTAGTGCCATCTCATTTTCTCTCTCAAATAAATAAAATCTTTTTTTTTTTTAAGATTTTATTTATTTGACAGAGACACAAAGCGAGAGAGGGAACACAAGCAGGGGGAGTGGGAGAGGGAGAAGCAGGCCTCCCACCGAGCAGGGAGCCCGATGAGGGGCTTGATCCCAGGACTCTGGGATCGTGACCTGAGCCAAAGGCAGACGCTTAACGACTGGGCCACCCAGACATCCCTCAAATTAAATCTTAAAAAACAAAACAAAACATAAAATCACATAGTTCAGTCCCAGTAAGAACATAATTTTAGGGGCACCTGGGTGGCACATCTGAGCATCTGACTCTTGGTTTTGGTCAAGCTGTGATCAGTGTCTTGAGATCAGGCCCGGAGTTGGACTCCACGCCCAGCTCAGAGTCTGCTTGGGATTCTCTTTCCCTCTCCCTCTGCCCCTCCTGCTCATGCTTGCTCTAATAAACAAATCTTTAAAAAAAACAAACGAAAAAACCCAAAACACATAATTTTATCAGCATACCTTCAGTTCATTAAATGAATTGTGTTCTTCAAAATGTTTCTTTTTTCTCTCAATATATTGATCAATGGACTCCATTTCCTTAAAACGAGCCTCATGAAGCTTCTTAAAGTCTGGAATGTTCCCCAAAATATGACAATTAATAGCAAGACAAATCCATTTATTCACCTTCCCTTTGTCTTTCTGTTAATACTTATTCTCCTCTCTGCATCCCTGACATTCAGGGATCAAACATCATCTTTGCTAAAACTTCCATTTTGTATCTTTCAGTTTGTGGAAACTCAGGGACAAAGTATATTCATCTTATCAACTATCAAACATTTATCATCTCTCCTCTGTCCATTTCACTGCTAACTGTGGTTTAGTCCACAGAATAAGAATGAACAGATTTGTCCTTTCCCCTCACCAATTAATCAAATGGCCTTTACTTAATCATAAATTTGACATTTTATAATGCTTAGAAAGCTTTATACCAAGGATTGGCAAACCTTTCCTGTTAAGGGTCAGACAGTAAATGTTTTATTTCATCTTTGTGGCCACATATGGTATAATCTCTCTTTTTTTAGACAATCCTTTAAAACCGTAAAAACCATTCTTAGCTTAAGGGTTTTAAGACAGGCCAGGGTTGGCAGGAGTTGGCTGATCCCTGCTCTGCGCTATTCTGATTAAGAATATTTCTGGGGGGCCTAGCTGGTCAGTCGGAGGAGTGTATGACTCTTGATCTTGGGTTTGTGGGTTCAAGCCCATGTTGGGTGTAGAGATCACTTTAAAAAAATAATTGAGTCCTTTCTGCCCGTGGATGCTGCCGAGTAAGCATCGTTAAAGTCTCCCCTCCCACCGCCGTCATGTCTAAGTCAGAGTCTCCCAAAGAGCCTGAACAGGTGCGGAAGCTCTTCATTGGAGGTTTGAGATTTGAAACAACCGATGAGAGTCTGAGAAGCCATTTTGAGCAATGGGGAATGCTTACGGACTGTGTGGTAATGAGAGATCCAAACACCAAGTGCTCCAGAGGCTTTGGGTTTGTCACATATGCCACTGTGGAGGAGATGGATGCAGCCATGAATACAAGGCCACACAATGTGGATGGAAGAGTTGTGGAACCAAAGAAGGCTGTCCCAAGAGAAAATTCTCAAAGATGTGGTGCCCACTTAACTGTGAGAAAGATTTTTGTTGGTGGCATTAAAGACGACACTGAAGAACATCATCTAAGGGATTATTTTGAACAGTATGGGAAAATTGAAGTGATCGAGATCATGACTAACCGAGGCAGTGGCAAAAAGAGAGGTTTTGCTTTTGTAGCATTTGATGACCATGACGCTGTAGACAAGACTGTCATTCAAAAATACTATACTGTGAATGGCCACAACTGTGAAGTAAGGAAAGCCCTATCTAAGCAAGAGATGGCTAGTGCTTCATCCAGCCAAAGAGGTCAAAGTGGTTCTGGAAACTTTGGTGGTGGTCGTGGAGGTGGTTTTGGTGGGAATGATAGCTTTGGTCGTGGAGGACACTTCAGTGGTTGAGGTGGCTTTGGTGGCAGTCGGGGTGGTGGTGGATATGGTGGCAGTGGGGATGGCCATAACAAATTTGGTAATGATGGAAGCAACTTTGGAGGTGGTGGAAGTTATGATGATTCTGGCAATTACAACAATCAATCCTCAGATTTTGGATATGGAGGAAATTTTGGAGGCAGAAGCTCTGGCCCCCATGGTGGTGGAGGCCAATACTTTGCCAAACCACGAAACCAAGGTGGCTGTGGTGGTTCCAGCAGCAGCAGGAGCTACGGCCGTGGCAGGAGGTTTTAATTACTGCCAGGAAACACAGCTTAGCAGGAGAGCAGAGACAGAGAAATGAGAGGAAAGCTACAGGTTACAACAGATTTGTGAACTCAGCCAAGCACAGTGGTGGCAGGGCCTACCTGCTGCAAAGAAGACATGTTTTAGGCAATGCTCATGTGTATGGGCAAAAACTGAGGACTAATTGTATAACAGGTTATTTTAGTTTCTGTTCTGTGGAAAGTGTAAAGCATTCCAACAAAGGATTTTAATGTAGATTTTTATTTTGTACCCATGTGGTTGATTGCTAAATGTAATGGTCTGATCATGATACTGAATAAATGTGTCTTAAAAAAAAAAAAAATTGAGGGGCGCCTGGGTGACTCAGTTGTTAAGCGTCTGCCTTTGGCTCAGGTCAGGATCCTGGGGTCCTAGAATCGAGCCCCGCATCGGGCTTCCTGCTCTGCGGGAAGCCTGCTTCTCCCTCTCCCACTCCCCCTGCTTGTGTTCCCTCTCTTGCTGTGTCTCTGTCAAATAAATAACATCTTTAAAAAATAATTGAAGTTGAATTTTTAAAAATTAAAATTCTAATGATTATATATATTTCTAATATATGCTGAGCAGCATTCTAAGTACTATAAATATATAACACTCAACATTCTATGTACCAGGCAATATAGAACAATTAATTACATGTTTAAATATGGAATCCCTTAAACTTATTACTGAAAAAAAAATTTAGGGGCTGGCTGGCTCAGTCAGTAGAGCATGTGACTCTTGATCTTGGGATCGTGAGTTCAAGCCCTGTGTTGGGGGTAGAGAGTACTTAAGAAAAAAAATTACAAGGTGGACATTGTACCAAGTACTTTATAGACATCCATTCTCAGAGATTTACTGTGCCATGTCCTGGTTGCTAGGTTAGGTGATCAGAGGTAGAAAAATAGTCTCAAGCATACCTTCTTTTACTGCACTTTGAGATACTGGGTTTTTTTGTTTCTTTTTGTTTCTTTTTATAAATTGAAGGTTTCTTGCAACCCTGTCAAGAGCCATCTTTCTAACTGCATTGGCTCACTTCATGTCTCTGTATCACATTTTGGTAATTACTGCAATATTTCCAACTTTTTCCTTATTGTTACATATTTGCTATGGTGATCTATGATCAGCGATCTTTGATTTGACTATGGAAATGGTTTTGGGGCATCACAAGCAGTGCCCAAATAAGCTGGCAAAGTTAGTAAGTGCTGTGTGTTCGACTGCTCCCACAGTGGCCTTTAAGTCTTCAGGTGAAGTGAAGAGTTGCATGTCTCTCACTTTAAATCAAAAGCTAGAAATGATTAAGCTTGGTGAAGAAGGCACGGTAAAGGCCAAGATAGGCCGAAAACTAGGACACGTTAGCTAAGTTATAAACACAAAGGAAAAGTTCATGAAGGAGAGGACAAGTGCTACTCCAGTGAACACATGAATGGCAAGAAAGCAAAACAGCCTTATTGCTGATACGGAGAAAGTGTGAGTGGTCTGGATAGACTAAACCAGCCACAGCATTCCCTTAAGCCAAAGCCTAATCCAGAGCAAGGCCCTAATGCTGTTCAATTCTATGAAGGCTGAAGAAGTTCGGGAAGCTGCAGAAAAAAAGTTGGAAGCTAGCAGAAGTTGGTTCATGAGGTTCATGTTTATTCCAGGACATAAAAGTACAAAGTGAAGCAGCAAGTGCTGATGTAGAAGCTGCAGCAAGTTACCCAGAAGAGCTAGATCTTTAATGAAGGTGGTTACTATACTAAACAATAGATTTTCAATGTAGATGAGACAGCTTCTATTTCAAGATGCCATCTAGGACTTTCATAGCTACAGAGAAGTCAATGCCTGGCTGCAAAGGACAGGCTGATTCTTGTTAGGGGTTAATGCAGGTGGTGACTTAAAGTTGAAGCCAATGCTCATTTACCATCTGAAAATCCTAGGGCCTTAAGAATTATACCACTTACAGTGCCTGTGTTCTATAAATCAAACAACAAAACTTGGATAGCACATGTTTACAACATAATTTACTGAATATTTTAAGCCCACTGTTGAGATCTACTGCTCAGAAAAAAAAAGATTCTTTTCAAAATATGACTGCTCATTGACCATACATCTGGTCACCCAAGGGCTCTGAGGGAGATGTACAAGATTAATGTTGTTTTCATGCTAACACAGCATCCATTCTGCAGCCCATGAATCAAAGAGTCATTTAGACTTTCAAGTCCTATTTACGAAATACATTTTGTAAGCTATAGCTGCCATGGATAGTAATTCCTCTGATGGACCTGGGCAAACGTGAAAACCTTCTGGAAAAGATATACCATTCCAGATGCCATTAAGAACATTTGTGATTCATGTCAAGAAACCAAAATATCAGCACGAACAGAAGTTTGGAAAGAGCTGATACCAGCCCTCAACGATGACTCTGAGGGGTGCAAGGCTTCAGTGGAGGAAGTCACTGCAGATGTGGTGGGAATAGCAGCAAGAGAACTAGAATGAGAAGTGGGGCCTGAAGACGTGACGGACTTGCTGCCATCTCGGGATAAAACTGTACTGGATGAGGAGTTGCTTCTTACGAGCAAAGAAAGTGGTTTCCTGAGATGGAATCTACGCCTGGTGAAGATGCTGTGAAGACTGTTGAAATGACAGCCAAGGGTTTAGAATATTCCATAAAGTTAGCTGATAAAGCAGCAGCAAGGTTTGAGAGGATGGACTGCAGTTTTGGAAGAAGTTCTACTGGGGGTAGAATGCTGTCAATATAGCACTGCACGCTACAGAGAAATGGTTCCTGAAAGGAAGAGTCGATCACGGAGGCACACTTCACTGTGGTCTTATTTCAAGCAATTGCCGTAGACACCCCAAACTTCAGTAACCACCATCCCCCATCCCTCAGAGGCCCATCAACACCGAGGCAAGACCCCCCGGCAGCAACAAGATGACCACTTCGCTGAAAGCTCAGATGATGGTTAGCATTTTTTAGCAATAAATTATTTAATTCAGATATGTGCATTGTTTTTTGAGACATAACACTATGACACACCTAACAGACTAACGGTACAGCGTAAACATAACTTTTCCATGCTGAGGACACAAACTCATTTGATTCACTTTACTGCAGTCATTGCTTCAGGTGGTGATCTGGAACTGGAGGGGCAACATCAGGTTTGTCTGTATCGGCCTGATGAAATCGGTAGTCTACTCACTCCCACTGTCAGCTGAGGAAGTGGGTTTATTGAGGATAAGAGGCCCCTGGTCTCAGAGCTAGAAAGTGAGGAGGAGGATGCAGGGCCCAGGTCCAGCATTCAAGCTTTTAGCTGTCCTTGCGCCCTGCCTATTCGGCATTAGCCTGCAAGCGCCAACTATTACTTTGTTTGTGTGTGTGTAAAACTTACTTGGAGTAGTGCTTGTATTTCTTTTGCTTTTTCCAAGTTTGGAAAACCCATCTGTGTAGAGAGGCTTCTTTCTTTCTGAAGGTACCTTTGAATCTTCATTACCTGAATCGAAAGGTACAGAACTAATCAAAGATTTCAAAACAAGTTCTTCCTATTAAGAAACGTCTAGTAGTTGGGGGTGCCTAGCTGGCTCAGTCAGAATGTACGACTCCTGAATTCAGGATTGTGAGTTTGAGTCCCACATTCGGTGTAGAGATTACTAAAATAAATGAAACTTAAAAGAAAAAAAAAGGTCTAGAAGTTTTGGGTTTTTTTTTAAAGATTTTATTTACTTGACAGAGACACAGCGAGAGAGGGAACACAAGCAGGGGGAGTGGGAGAGGGAGAAGCAGGCTTCCCGTGGAGCAGGGAGCCTGATGGGGGGCTCGATCCCAGGACCCTGGGATCATGACCTGAGCCGAAGGCAGACACCTAATGACTGAGCCACCCAGGCGCCCCAAATTTCTAGAAGTTAACATGAAGGTATTTCATGTGAGGAGGTCTGCAAGGTGGTGGGAAAAATGAGCACAAAGAATGAGTTATAGCATCACTACAATTTTAGCTCATATGCTTCAAGCAGGAAGAAATCTTATGCTTCCTGTATAGAAGTTACATAAATATATCAGAAATTTAAGGGGTGCCTGGGTAGCTCAGTCGGTTAAACGTCTGCCTTCAGCTCAGGTCATGATCCCGGAGTCCCGGGATCAAGCCCCGATTGGGCTCCCTACTCAGTGGGGAGTCTGCTTCTCCCTCTCCACGCCCCGCCCCTGGCTCATGCTCTCAAATGAATGAATAAATAATAAATAAATAAAAGAAATTTAAGAACTTTTTCAAAACTTTTGCTATGAACAGGTTATTGTAACTAGAATGATACAAATCACACAATCCTGGGATGGCTGGCTGGTTCAGTTGGTAGAGCATGTGACTCGATCTCAGGGTTGTAAGTTCGATCACCAAATTAGGCGTAGAGATTACTTAAAAATAAAATCTTAAAAAAAAATTACACAATCCCACCAACCTAAGAAACATCCTTACCATGAGCATTTTGGCATATTTCCTCAGGTCCTCCGTTTCCATACTGGTTTTTATTCTTTAAATCTAGCTGTAATCATGGTGTATGTACTAGCTATTTTCCCTCACTTACAACAACATTCTGTTATCTTTTTCAACTTGAGGCAATCTACTTAAAAATATCCAAGTGGGGGGCGCCTGGGTGGCTCAGTCGTTAAGCGTCTGCCTTCGGCTCAGGTCATGATCCCAGGATCGAGCCCCGCATTGGGCTCCCTGCTCGGTGGGAAGCCTGCTTCTCCTTCTCCCACTCGCCCTGCTTGTGTTCCTGCTCTCGGTATCTCTGTCAAATAAATAAATCAAATCTTAAAAAAAAAAATCCAAGTGGGTTTTCAAGAATTACTATTTATAATCATGTCACTCATACTACAGGTTTCCCAATGCATCCATAAGACATCAAAGAATTACTGGGTAGAGCAGGAGGGGCTGCAGGAGCTTCTGCTTGGAACTTGCCTTTAAAACCAGAAAGGTAAAGTTCCATTCTGATGGAGTCAGAATCATGCCTCACCAGATACTTATTACAAATGGAAAAAAAAAAAGCAACTTCCCAAACGAGTAACTTAGCAGGGTGATCACCTGTTAACAAGCCACCACCTGTGCCTTCTGGGGGGCGGGCACTGAGGATTACTCTGTGGGATCCCTGCCACAGGTGCTGGATCTAAATCTAACCCTCAGCACATACTAGACAAATCAAGGCTGAGGACCCCCCAAATTGGCCTGTATTAAAAAATGTAAACATTAAAAAAAAAATCCTCAAAGACTTCAAGGAAGACTGAAGAATGTTCCATATTAATGTAGACTAAAGAGACATGACAACGAAATCCAAGGGCCAAGATTTTCCTTTGCTTTAATGGATATGAATAGAGTAACGCATGAAGGGGTGGCTGGGTGGCTCAGTCAGTTAAGTGTCTGCCTTCAGCTCAGGTCATGATCCCAGGGTCCTGGGATCGAGTCCTGCAGGGGGTTCCTTGCTCAGCAAGGAGCCTGCTTCTTCCTCTGCCTGCCGTTCTCCCTGCTTGTGCTCTCTCTCGCTGACAAAAATTAAAAAAGTTTTCTTTAACTAAAAAAGAGAGTAACTCATGAAACAAATAAGGTCATCTATAGAACAGATAAGCAATTCTCACACTTCTAGTCTCAGATGTTATACTCTTAGAAATTATGGAGGACCCCCCGTTTTTGTTTACATTCTATCTATATGTGCCAGTAGATATTACAATTAAAACATTAAAAAATGTTTGATACACTAAAAAAACAATGTACTTGTTTATGTTAACAAAAACATTTATGAAAAATGGCTAAAATTTCTAAAACAAAAATAGTGAGAAGATGGCATATTTTCACCGATTACTTAATGTCCGACTTAAAGACAGCTGGATTCTCTTATCTGCTTTTGCATATAGTATATTATGATATACTGTTTTAAGTATATATGAAAACAAATCTTGCCACAAACAGGTGTTTGAAAGGGGAGAGTATTGTAATATTAACCCTTTTCAGAGAACTGTGGATATTATTTTCTGATACTATGCTAAGTACCACTTGACAAATGGTATTTTTTTTTTTTTTTTTTTTTTTTAAAGATTTTATTTGACAGAGAGAGAGACAGCCAGAGAGGGAACACAAGCAGGGGGAGTGGGAGAGGGAGAAGCAGGCCTCCGGCCGAGCAGGAAGCCCGATGCAGGGCTTGATCCCAGAACCCCGGAATCCTGACCTGAGCTGAAGGGAGACGTTTAACCGACTAAACCACCCAGGTGCCCCGACAAATGGTAGTTTCTCAAAGGTTATTTGCAATGTGGACTATGAATCCTTACCAATGAGCTTTTTGTACTCCATACATTTGTGAGAGAAAGTCCTGTGTTTTTTTGTTTTATTTTAAGCTCTAGGCCCAAGATGGGGCTTGAACTCACGACCCTGAGATCAAGAATCGCATGCTTGGGACGCCTGGGTGGCTCAGTCCATTGAGTGGCTGCCTTTGGCCTGGGTCATGATCCCAGGGTCCTGGGATCGAGTCCCACATCGGGCTCCTTGCTCGGCAGGGAGCCTGCTTCTCCCTCTCTTCCCCTCTGCTTTGTGCTCTGTCAAATAAATAAAATCTTTAAAAAAAAAAAAAAAAAAGAGTCGCATGCTCTACCAACTCAGTCAGCCAGGCAGGTGCCCCTAAAACCTGCGTTTTAAGAAACACACGCTGAATTATTTAGGGGGCAAGGAGCACATTTCTGCAAAATGTACACACACCTATACGGATGCATATGTGTATATAAACAGAGAAGGACCAAAGTAAATGTGGCAAAATGTTAACATTTCGGAAATCAAGAACAGAGCAACACTTGGTACTGTTCTTGCAGCTTTAAGTCTGAAATTATGTCAAAATAAAAAGTTAAAACAAACCAAAAAAACCACCTCTTACCAGAACCTACGTGATCCTATTTTTGTTCTTCCAATAGCTTGTGTTTCATTAGGGGAACTCAATGCGTCCCCCCTTGTTTCCCCACGCCCTTGAAACTGGGTCCTGTAGCTAAGTCTCGCTGACAAAATGATGGGTGCAACAGCAGACACTGGTAATCCCACCCCCACTTCTGACTCTTCGTCACATTTCTATCTTGCTCTAAATCATGATTTTAAAGTGGGCTTATGAGGCATATGCATCTTAGTCCCCCAGGGTGTTGATCAAAAATTGCAGGCTCGCAGGCTCAGTCAGAATCAGAAACTGTACCTCCAGCAACTTTCTACATTTGGTAAGACATTCCAAATTCTGGGGAAGGAGGGAAGGCTCAGCATTAGAGGTTCTGCGCGTAACTGCGGAGAGGCCACGGGAGTGGGTCCCCCTCTCTCTCCACCCATCAGGCGCCGCCTCCGGGGTGCAGACGGGGCTGCAGCGGGGACGCGAACACGAGACACCGCGGCAGTGGGCACGCTTCCCGGGGAATGAAATCATAAAGCACCCAGTCCTGTTAGGTCTGGGGGAACTGAAGTTTTCTGGTCTCACTGAAACAGACTTTTAGTTGACACAGTTTAGGGAAGAGGATTTTAGAAGGTTAGAGACTAAGAACCCCCCAGGAAGGGAGACTTTGCGTCCCCCTTTCTGCGGTCGTGAAGGAGCGGGTACACAGCTCTGTGCCCCGGTGTCTGGAGCGGGGCAGAAGGAGCTGATGGGGAGGAGGAGAGGCCAGGTTTTATCCACATGGAGATCAACCTCCCTCAACTTCCCAGCTACCACTCTTCTGCCGGTTTTTCCACAACAGTACTAGAGAGGACTTGATGGGCTAGTGTATTTGGTCTTAACTTCTGCTGTAATTATAGAACACTTAGTTCTACAGCATGGTGTCTGGGTTGAATGGTGTTCCTCAGAAAGGGAGGTGGATGCCTTTAGTAACCCTGACAGGACCTGAGGACAATGCGTCTAGTTTGTGGTACTTTGTTATGGCAGTCCTAGAAAATGAACGCACAGGGGTACCCCTAGGAATTTCAGGGTTTCGTTTTGTTCTTATTTTGGCATACCATTTATTCTTCTTTTTCCTGAGGAAACGGCATTCTCCTCTCCTTGGCTCTCATCTGGTGGTGAAGGAACTTCTGCAACTGTTCTGAGATCCTGGTTTTCCTGCTTCTCTTGATTCTGCAATTCAGCGTGATCACTTATTTTTATCTCTGAATCATCCTGCTACAAATGTTAAAAGGGAATAAAGAATTTAAATGATAAAAAGTCACCACTGCCTTCCAAAGACAGACACCCACACTGAAAAGGGGCTAAAGGAAGAAAACTAGGAGAATTAGATTTCTGGGTGGCAGAGTTGGGAATAGGACATACTAGGGGGCCACTGAGAAGCTTAAATGGCAAGATTAGCTCTCCTAGGGACTATATGGAGTTAGAAAATAAAAATTAGGACTGTGTCTTGTAAAGTTACATTTGAATGAGAGGATAAAAAAGAATAAAATCAGAGTCCTCTCAAAGTAACTGAGGGAAGCCCCTGGCTAATCACCTGATCATTATGCTGAATGACCAACCGAAGAGTGATCACTAGGTCTGAGGCTAGTTGAAAAGAAAAAAAAAAAAAAAAAAAAAAAATCTTACTAATGTTAGTTTCTCTTTCCTTTTTTTTTTTTTTTTTTTTAAGATTTTATTTATGTATTTGAGAGAAAGAGAGACAGAGAAACAGCATGAGAGGGGAGAGGGTCAGAGGGAGAAGCAGGCTCCCCGCCGAGCCGGGAGCCTGATGTGGGACTTGATCCCAGGACTCCGGGATCATGACCTGAGCCGAAGGCAGACGCTTAACCAACTGAGCCACCCAGGCGCCCCTTCTCTTTCCTTCTTACTAGCCCTCACTTAAATGAGCACTTAATTCTTTCATATTTAGTCAACCAATATTTAATTTGTGCTCAATCCTCAGTGAGTGCTTCTCACTCTGTGTGATGACCAGTCTAGACTCGGGTCTCTGCTTTCATGGAGCGGACAGCACACACAGTTTACAACCACTGGATGTCATAAGGAAATTCAAAGAGAAAATTTCCTAAGAATATACCCATTTTGGCACAGGTGGTGGTCAAAATTTGCAGACATCCATTCACCTGGGAGTCAGGGTTCCTGTGGACCGTCCTGCACCTTCTCCTGGTTTTGGTGCCATGGCCAACCGGCTCTCTCTCAGCTTGTTCCTGGCTGCCACTCTGCATCTCAGCCTCGTCACAAGACGATGCAGAAGTTTGACTTCCATCCTGAAAAGAAAGGCATTCATCTGCCATGTCCTATTTTTAGAGTTATAATGTTCAGGAAGAATCAGAATTTAAACTGAATAAAAAACATTTTACAAAAGGTAATTTTAAAACTCTTATACTAAAGGTATAGACCAGGACAAGAATTTTAGAGCATTTGAAAAGAAACAATCAGGGGTGCCTGGGTGACTCAGTCGGTTAAGCGACTGCCTTTGGCTCGGGTCATGATTCCAGGGTCCTGGGATCGAGCCCCACGTCGGGCTCCCCGCTCTACAGGAAGCCTGCTTCTCCCTCTCCCACTCTCCTTGCTTGTGCTCTCTGACAAATAAATAAAATCTAAAAAAAAAAAAAAAAAGAAAGAAAGAAAGAAAGAAAAGAATCACATTTAACAACCCCAGCTTAAAAACTAGGCTAGGAAAGCATTCCAAGTTTTCTTAATGTGAGTAAATAAGCAAATTAGCATTAATTTTTTGAATATACACAAAGCATAGTACTAGGCAGTATGCTCTAATAATTATAGCTAATATAAAAAATTTATTGGGCTAAGTATTTACATGGGTTATCTCATTTATTCCTCAAAGCCTATGAGAAAGGTATTAACACTATCCCCAGTTCGGTGGGGGGAACTGAGGCTTAGAGAATCTAAAGTAACTTGTCCAAGGCCAAAATAAGGGAGTAAGGGAAGAATGACACCCTGTACGACCACAAACTAAAAGTAAAGAGCTCCGTTATCAGAACAGTTGGTATAAGTATCAGAATGTCCCTAACAGCTTTGCTTACGTAAGAACTAACTGTTTGGGAATAGTCGCACTTCATACTAATGGGGAAAGACTAGATTCACGATTCAACACGTGAGGCAGAGAAAACGAACTATGCTTTTTTCTCTCTGTGGTGGGGGGAGGGAAATGAAGCCTGATTTTTTTCCACACCAAAACACAATCCGGATGGGTCAAAGATTTGCATGTAAAAATGAAACTATGGAAGCACTAGGAAAAAAAAATAAGTGAGAAATGATCATGAGTATGAGGAAGGCCTGTCTTCACTATAAAGGAGAGGCTTGATTTGCTTTTGGTGTTTTTACACATAAATTCTAATCAAGAAATAAACTAATATTACACACCTGTGGCTAAAAAAATTAGGAGATCCTGAAGAGATTCTAGTGGAAAGCCGGCCCTCCCATTTCTGGGGCTTCGCTTCAGGTGGTTCCTGACGTGCGGTTTGTTGGTGGGCCACGCGTTTATCTGCAGCAGCTGTTTTCAGAGCCTAGCACGGGCTGCAGTTTAGCTCACTGGTCCCACTCTCCTCTCCCATCTTCTTCCTGAGAGCACTGTACCCCTTCATTCTATTAGTTACCTTTGCTGCTCTAAGGATTCTGAAACCTTTACATCTTGTCCCACACCTACACAAAACCTCCTGTAAAATCCAAGTACAGAATCCTTATACTTCTCTTCACCTCTTGTCCTCCTTTTCTTGCTCAATGTCTGTCATCTATTCTCTAAGTTAACATTTATAGCTTGTTATATAACCTTAATTGAATCATCTGTGCCGTGTCTGTGTAGCTGAATTCTAGTTGATAAATCATTAAGTTTTTTGTAAGGTTTTTTTTTTCCCCCCCCTTAAAGCTTTTGTTTGTTTTCTGGGTCTCCTTTAGGGTCACCTTTTTATCTTCAGCTCTCTCACACTGCAGGCTTCCCCTCAGATGTCTGGTGACTGTAGGCTATCTATCCTAGTTCAGAAAACAAGAAAGACCTCATCAGGGGCTTGGATGTGTGGCAGGGTCTTATCTGGCAGGATCTGATCTACTAGGATCCTTAGGTGGGGAGGAGGTTGTTAGGCAAGGGAATCCTTGAATGCCAGAAGACAGAGGCCTTAGCTTGATGCCATCCAATTTCCTTACAGAGAAGCCTTCCAATATTTCACACGGCCCTGACACCTGGCGCTCCGCATGTGGGAGTGGTGGCTAGAGTGCTTTGTATCCTGATTTTTCACTCCATCTCACGACGCTGCCTGGACCCCACCCCCTGAGAGCTGATTTAGTGAGGCCTATATACCAGCATTTGTAAAAAGCTCCTCATACATTCTCCCATATATCCTGCAATGAGAACCACAATATAAATGTGTTGGAAGTCCAAGAATAAGGAGGCTTAGAGAATGGCAGGTTTTAAACAGACGTAAAATAGAACAAAAGTGAAACACTTGATAATGATGTAAGGTCCAGGATGAAGAGTGGCAAGCAAACTTACAGGAGCTAAGCAACAAGGAGACAAGCGTGGTAAAGGACATCCAGATGCACCTGTGAACTCACCCCAAAGAAGGTCAGCAAATGACAGGTGAAAACAGGTAAACAAATCCAAAGGTGGGGATACAGGAGAGTACAAAGAGGCTATCTGGAGCACATTTCCCAACTCCCTGGAGAGTCAGGGGGGAGGAAAGACAAACTGCTTCCGCTATACACGTGACGCCCTCGTGGTACATGTATCGTTGGATCGCAGACACCTTTAAAGTACTTATTTAGGGCGCCTGGTGGCTCAGTCGTTGGGTGGCTGCCTTCGGTTTGGGTCATGATCCCAGGATCCTGGGATCGAGTCCCGCATCGGGCTCCCTGCTCCGCAGGAAGCCTGCTTCTCTCTCTCCCGCTCCCCCTGCTTGTGTTCCCTCTCTCGCTGTGTCTCTCTCTGTCAAATAAATAAATAAAATCTTAAAAAAAAAAAAAAAAAAGATTCGAAAGAGAGCGAGCAAGCACGAGTGAGACAGCACAAGCCAATGGTGGGGGGGTGCAGAGGGAGAGGGAGAAGCAGACTCCCCACTGAGTGGGGAGCCCGACGTGGGGCTCGATCCTGGGACCCTGGGATCATGACCTGAGCCGAAGGCAGACGCTTAATCAGCTGAGCCACCCAGGCGCCCTAAGCTCAATATTTATAGATTCAACACTTAGGAATTTTTTTTTTTAAGATTTTATTTATTTGACAGACACAACAAGAGAGGGAACACAAGCAGGGAGAGTGGGAGAGGGAGAAGCAGGCTTCCCGAGGAGCAGGGAGCCCGATGCGGGGCTCGATCCCAGGATCCTGGGATCATGACCCGAGCCGAAGGCAGACGCTTAACGACTGAGCTGCCCAGGCACCCCAGGAATTCTTTATCTGACTGAATTTGGACTATCATCATGCTTTTGTGAAATTTTTCCAAAATGGAATGGCCCCTGAGATGTTGAATTTGGAATATGATAGATGATTTTACTCTATTAACTACCATCCAAACTAAAATCTTGATTTCAAATGGCACTAATCATGTACCCTTAATCATTAAAAGAATTATATAGAGACTGAGACTTAGTTGATGTAAAATCTTAAAGCTAGAATTCAGAATCCTTTTTTAAGGTAATCAAACCTGGAATCAAAAGGATTTTGCCTACATTTTTAATTTTTATTCATGTTTATTTTTTAAGTAGGCTCCACACTCAGCATGAAGCCCAATGTAGGGCTAGAAAACATGATCCTGAGATCAAGACCTAAACTGAGATCAAGAGTTGGATGCTTAACTGACTGAGCCACCCAGGGACCCCAAAAGAATTTTGAATATTAACTAACAGTTTTAAATGTTTATAACTTGGAATATAGTTATAGAGATGATAAAGATGGGGGTGGGGCTGGATTTTGAATTCATGTTTATATTTACTTTCATTTCCAGATAGATAATGGATGCTCTTCAAAGCCCAGGGCCTTAAGGCCTTTCTGGATTTTCCTCTATTTCGAGTTTAGAATCCTGGCCCTAACGCAGCATCCACGGACTAGGTCAGGCCCTTTGAAAACCTTCGGTCTAAGGCAGCCACGACAGCCCCTCCCCCATCACTCTGGTTTCCAGTTCACCACAAGCCACTCTCACAGGCCCCATAACATTCAATTCAGCAGAGGAGAGGTTATTTCCATTTAAAGAATAGGAAACTGAGAATTAAGGCATTTGAGTTTTGCAAGATCACATAAAAAGAAATGACAGAATGCTACTTAACCTGGATTTTTGGGGCTTCGAATCCTGTTCCTTCCTTGCTGATACCAAGCTAGCTCTTGTAAGGTTTGGCAACTAGTAATTAATTAACCTTTGCATTTTTATGAGAACATCTTATTCAACAGGTTACTCACTACTAGGCAGTTTCTTTATAACAAATACTATTATCAAAGGATTTATTATTACCAATAATGATCTCTTCAGGGATAAATAGCATGTCTTAAGTCATCACTAGCTGTGTTTACCACTCATTAAATATAATTGTTTTAGTATTTAACAGGTGTTAAAGAAATATTACTTACCCGATTATCATTTTCTTTTTTTACCTTGTGTTTAAGGTGGGCTTTCAAGGCTTTTAACAACTTGTCTGCCTGCAGGAGAGTTAAAGAGTTTATCAGTAGGGCCAAAAATCAAGAAAGCAAAAAAGAAAGGTTAGTAACTTTCCCTTTTTTGAGGATAATTATTCTCCTGTCCTTGTACTCCTCAAATGTCCTCTGGGCAGGCTCCGGATTACCAAGACAGAATTGCCGCCCTCCCCTCCTGCCCGCCACCCCAATTTCACACAACGGGGAAGTCAGACAGGGAAAGAGGCAATGACGACAGACACACTGGGCTAAGCGCCAGCATGAGGATGCCCAGGCTGTTGTGCAGAACACGGGTGGGCTTGGCCAAGGTCCGGACTGCCGGGATGGACTAGAGCTGGTAACTGGCCACACCAGTTCTAAGCAAAGACATGATGTCTGCAGCTGCTGAGGTCTGAAAAATGAACGGGACAGCGGTGGCCACAGGGAAGGGGTAAAGAAAATGCACGGGAAGGCAAGAATGGAGTTTAGGGAACTCAAGTTCAGTGTGGCTGGAGCATGGAGCTGTTCAGGGAAGGAGAGAGAAGACACTGGGAGAGTGCGCAGGGGCCGATCCCGCCAGGCTTTGGAAGGCTGTTAAGAGTAGCAACTTCACCCTCAGAGCAAAGGGCAGCGTCTGAGGAGTCTGTAGCAGGGCGGTAGGTGACCAGTTCTCCACTGCTCAGAATGATCACTCTAGCAGGACGATGTGCAGGATGCACTGGATGGCAGAAAGACGGAAGCCAACAAAGTGGCTGGGAGGCTGGTAGAGGAAAGCAGGAAGGTCTGTGGCCTGAGCTAGAGCAGGACTAAGGCAATAGGGACAGATTCAAAATCTTTTTAGGAAGTAAAATCAGTAGGAACACAGGGGTTGAGGAATAGTGAAACTGTATTACACCCAGGTTTCTGGCTTGGGCAGCTGATGGAACATGGTGGGGGTCTCTCAGATCAGGAATGCCAAACACAGGCAGGCTTCGGGGGGAGGATGGTTACAGGCCCCTGGGGGAAAAGGACTCAGTTTCTCTTCTCACCCTGAGAAACCTTCCCTTCCTGAATGAGAAATACTAATCTGATTGGTTATCTTGTGCTTTTAAAAGGTCAAGCATATTGGCTGGGTTGTCTTCTCTTCTTCCATTCAGCCAGGCAGCTGAGAACCAGAGATTTCCTTCTCACTGTGGGCCCAGCCACCACATCTCATACCATTTATCACTGGGTGTGTGTCCAGGACAGAACAGCAGGGATCCAGATTTGGTTTGGGCTTCAGGGGACAGGAGAGGCTGTAGGGTGTGCAGCACATCCCCCAGCTGGTTTACCAGTATGCCCTGCATCAAGTTCCCAGGCACCATACCAGCTCGTAATAAGGTGGTGCATATTTTCTACCACTGTTGTTCCTTGAATCTCTCTTGGGGTCTTCTCTGTGAAGGGGGTGATTGGCAGGGCAGAATTCAGGCATTCTTGGTTCTTCGATCATTTTTTCCCCCAACCACTTCATTGAGGTATGATCGACAAACAAAAAGCTATAGATAGCTAATATACACAATGTCGTGTGTTTGGTGATAAATACATACCCGTGAAATCTTTATCACGGTCATACACTTATCTGTCACCAATAGTTTCCTACACCCCTTTTGGGTTTTGTCTTTTTTTGGTTTTAAGAACACTTCACATAAGACCTTAGCACATTTGTAAGTATACCATACAGTAATGTTAATCATAGGCTCTATATTGTACAGGTTTCCAGACTTAAAATACCACAGAAACCTCCTCAAACGCGCGACAATGACGAAACAAGGTGCCTGTGGCAGAGCCAAGGAAGGGCATCAAGCAGGCTGAATGCTACAGGGGATGCTCAAGAGTGCCGAGCAGAAGCGCACGTGTTAGTAGCCGCACGTGTTCCCTCATCCCCTCGGCTAGCATGTACCATGCTGCACACTGTTCCAGGCGCTGGACAGACAGTGCTGAACCAGAGGGACAAGGTCTCCACTCTCTAGGAACCTCCAGTGGTGGACTACTGGGCAGTCTATTAATGAAGCTCAAAATAAATGATACGACATCAGAGGCTACCAGAAAATTAAACTGGGGACTGGGGTAGGGTGCTACCGGAGTTGGGAGGGTCAGGAAAGGCCTCTGAGAGGTGGTGACTTTTAAGCCGAGATGTGAACAAGAAGAGGCAGCAGGTGAAGATGTGGGGAAGAGCATCCCAAGTAGAGGGTGCACCAAGGCCGGAGGTGGGCTGGTGAATTGGAAGGACAGAAAGACACCAGTGCCGGGGAGCATGTGAACACTGGGGTGACTGGGGGCCGGGAGATCAAAGATGGAGCCAGAGGCTGGGTCAAGTAGAGGGGTATAGGTCACGGCAAGGTGTGGATTTCTTCCTTGTACCTTCTTAATTTTTTAAGGATTTATTTATCTTAGAGAAAGAGGGAGAGAGTCTGAGATGGGGGTGGGGCGGGGGTGGTGGTGGCGGCAAGAGGCAGAGGGAGAGGGAGAGAGAAACTTAGGCAGAATCTTTGCTGAGCCTGGAGCCTGATGCAGGGCTCGATCTCCTGACCCTGAGACCATGACCTGAGCCAAAACCAAGAGGTGCATGCTTAACTGATTGAGCCACCCCGGCGTTCTTACTTATAACTTTTTATTAATAAAATGTCAAGTCCAGGGGCGCATGGGTGGCTCAGGTCATGATCCCAGAGTCTTGGGATTGAGCCCTGCATCAGGCTCTCTGCTCATCAGGGAGCCTGATCCTCTCTCCCCCTCTCCCCTGTTCATGCTGTCTCTGTCTCAAATGAATAAATTAAAATTTTTTTTTTTAAGATTTTATTTATTTCAGAGTGTGAGAGAGAGATAAGAGAGAGCACAAGAGCACCCGAGCAATAGCAGAGAGAGAGGGAGAAGCAGACTCCCCACTGAGCAGGGAGTCTGACTCGGGGCTCCATCCCAGGACCCTGGGATCATGACCTGAGCTGAAGGCAGACGCTTAACCGACTGAGCCACCCAGGTGCCCCAAATAAAAAAAAGTCATGTCCATAGAAAAGTTGAAATAGTATAATAAACACTCTTATCCTCCCTACCTAGATTCAGCAATCATTAATACAGTCTCATATTTGCTCTATAGTAATGTTTCTTGCCAACCTATTTGAAGATAAGTTCTAGCCAACACGATACTTTCCCACTAAATACATCAGCCACATCTTCTAAAAATAAGGAGCTATTCTACATAACCTCTAATGCATTATCATACCTAGGAAAAATATTAATTTCCTAATATCCTTTGATATGTAGCCCATAATCAAATTTCCTCAATTTTTAGCTGTTTTCTTTTGAAAAAGATTCCCTCCAAATCAGGATCAAACCAAGTTCCTCACATTACATTTGCAGGAGTATTTTATTTTAGGTGTGAGGCAAGTCAATGGAGGGCACTGAGCAGAAAAAGTGGCGCCTTCTAAGTTTCAAATATTGCCTCGATTACAAGAGAATAACTACCGTGAGGCCAGAGTGAAGGCGGGAGAGCAGCGGACAGGCTGTGGCCCAGGTCCGCAGCACTGGTGATGGTAAACAGAGGTCAGATTTCGGGAGTGAAAAGCGGTGAAAGTGGTTTGAGCAAAAAGGAGGATTCAATCCTGCCGAATAGCAGGGTTGGATAGAGATGTACTACAAGCTTTGGAAGATGCAGAGCCTGGTGGCCTTGGTAAGTGTAATTTCAGTGGAAAAGAACAGAGAAATTGAGCAGAAGATGAAGAACAAGTGGTCAGGAGAGGTTTTTGTTGTGTTTTTTTTTTAAGATGGGGAATATTAAGACTTGATTGCATCCATTATGGAAATGAGCCAGCTGAGTGGGAGAAACTGATGGAGGAGTGGAGCTAATTGCAGGTGTGTAGCCCTGGAGGCGGGAACAAGGATCCCCGGCACAACCGACAAGGCTGCCCTTAGGAGAAGGTAAAGTATAAGGGGACAGAGGTGAGATGGCCTGAGGGTTTCATGGTGGAAAGATGAGGTAATGCTCTGCTGACTCCATCTATTTTTCCAATCACCTATGAGCAAAAGTCATCAAGTGAGGGAAGGGAGCTAATTTGAGGTAACATAGGAAATAAGTGTCCTCAAAAATGGGAAAGTTAATGACTACCAAGGAAGCATCTGGGGATCAAATGCTCATTTTACAATTTATGGTCATAAATATAAGTTCAGTCAACAAGGTTAGGTCATTTTCTCCAGGCAGGGCCAGCTGGTTGGGTACAGAAAAAAGGTGGGGGGTGGGGTCGGGGCATAACAGCAACACCATTCTTATACCCAACAAAATTAACAATACCTTAATTTAATAACTAGTTCAATTTTCTTTAATTGTCTCAAAACTGTCTTTCTATAGTTGCTTGTAACAAAGCCTCATGCGGTCAACTTTGTCTGGAAAATAGTACCTCTCAATAAGTATTGACACCTACCGTGTGCCAGATAGGTAAGGGGGTCTGTAGTGCCCAGAAAGACTGCACTATTCTACTCTATGAAAACGGGGGATAAATCCGCTAACCCAGATCAGGTGCCTCAAGAGAACAGCAGGTGGGGCTTTTAGAAAAAGATCTCCGTTGCAGTAGCTCTTCAGAGACCCAAACGATTGTAGGGCGTTAATGTTATCCAGAGCATTGAAATCAGGAAGCCTCCACTGTAACTGTCTTGCCACCGTCTGGAGCATTATTCTAGCACTGCCAACAAGTGATTGAGAATAATTATTCAGTATCTCCCAATAAAATGTACTGCACTTAGTGTTGAAAAGACCTTCCAAGGAGCATGGATGAGATTCTTGTTCAAGGAACTTAACTTGTAGTGGAGAGGATAACGTAATACACAAATAACCAGAGTGCAAGGTGAAAGCCTGCAAGTGCTCAAAGAGAGTACCTGAAATTAAACGGCTTTAAAAAGCACATAGGGCTCCTGGGATTACGGGGGTGGCAGACCCGTGGCCAAGGGACCGAAGAGGAGGAGATGAAGAGCTAAGTCAGTGATAATTCTATTGGACTCTGAAGAGCAGGTGGGAATTATTAATGCAAATAAAGAGGGCGAAAGAAGGGAATCTGAGGCCAAAGAGTCAAAATTAGCTAAGGCAGAAAGATGGACTAAGGTGCCAGGTGTACAGGAACGAGCACAGGCCGGATGCTATGCTGTCTTGGATAAGATTCCAACCAGATTGCAAAAAGCTTAAGGCATTTAAGCTAAGGAATTAAAGCTTTGTTTATGAAGTAGTAGCTCAGAAGTATCTCCAAATACACTCCTTTACTATTAAGCCCTAACAGGTACCTGGGCACTGATAATTTTAACTCACTTAAAAACACTTGTAATGCCTGATTCAGGCATTCACTGTGTAAATACCACACCCTACAGAGTACCAGTAAATATTTTGTGGGAAAAGTCCACTAAAGAATATATAAACCCCAGTCCCAAATTGAACCCCCACATTTTCCCCTCATCGTTTTGCGCCTCGGAGTCAAAGACCTTACGGGTTTTGAAACAGAACACTACCACAATGGTAATTATAAATGAACAATCATTCTAGGTCAGGGCTGAGTTATAAAAATTGGTCCATGGGGTGCCTGGGTGGCTCAGTTGGTTAAGCGACTGCCTTCAGCTCAGGTCATGATCCTGGAGTCCCGGGGTCGAGTCCCACGTCAGGCTCCCTGCTCAGCAGGGAGTCTGCTTCTCCCTCTGACCTTCCCTCTCTCATGTGCTCTCTCTCTCTCTCGCTCATTCTCGCTCTCTCAAATAAATAAATAAAATCTTAAAAAAAAAAAAAATTGGTCCATGGGGTGGTCCTCTAAAAGTCATCCTTTTTTTCCAGGTCCTCCAATAAAGTATTAAGAGATTTGGGATTCATTTACAATTCCCAGAATTGTTAGTTTCGAATTTTCCAGAAGCCAAGGCAATTATTTCCGCGACTGCCTAACAACCTGAATTAGACACAGCATCCCTGAGTTTTCTGGGCCTGCATTTCCTAAATTAATTCGAGTACTTCCAATAACATCAAGCCGAACAAACCTTTTTGAAGTCAAGGCCTGTGTGAGCCCCCCAACAAATCAGCCCCAAAATAAGGTGAATGCTATGGCCCCCTTTCCGTTTTTTGCATAGTTGGAGGGACAGGTGGCTCCGTCCCCGGGATTCCCGTTCTGTCCCTTCCCACCAAGTCTACCGCAGGCCGCTCACCCTGCCCTGCCCGCTACCGGCTCCGTACCCTCAGGTTAGCCCGGAGGCCCAGATTCTTGGCTAAGTTCTGCAGGTCGCTGTACTTGAAGGAGTCCAGCTCCTCAAGGGAAGGTACGGCCATGGCAAGCTGCATCCAGGCGACCACGCAGAGGACGCGTACTCCAGCCTCCGCAGTGGAGTTCAAAACTCTGGCGCCACTGTAAGCGTTGGTTAAACCGAATTTTATAGAGAGTTTAAATTGAAAATGCTCCACTTCTATTGGTTAAAAATGCCCTGAAGGCGGGGTTTCCTGGCGTTGACCAATAGAAACAAAGATTCTCCACCCATCCCCCTCGCCCCTCAACACCACTTTGGCGCCGAAGGGCGTGTCCAGGCCGAGTGTGTGGGGCAGAGCCCCCCCTCCCCGCTGACGATGTCCAATGAGGATGCAGAAACCGTGCTTGGGCGGGGCCAGGTGCGTGTTCGAAACAGAGGCGCGGCTGCGGGAAGATGGCGGCTCGGCCGAGGCGGCATCGTTCGCGATACGCAAAGCTTCCACGGGGTGATTTTTGTGATGGCGCTAAGAAGACAACTGACAAACACTCTTGTACGACTTCTATGGAGTGGGACACGCAGGTAGTGAACGGGTCTTCGCCGCTTGGCCCCGCAGGCCTGGGGACGGAGGAGCCGCCATCCAGCCCGCGGTTGCCGTCGTGGCTGCAGCCCGAGAGGTGCGCCGTGTTCCAATGCGCACAGTGCTACGCCGTGCTCGCTGACTCTGTGCACCTCGCCTGGGACCTGTCGCGGTCCCTCGGAGCCGTGGTCTTCTCCAGTGAGTGGGGGCGGAGTCTGAGGAAGGCGGAGGAGGGCCAGAGAGGGGGTTCCAGCTTTCTCACGGGATGGTCGAGAGCGGGTGGTGAAAAAGACGGGGTGAAGATTTAGAAGGAAATCAACCCCTCTGCCAGGGGTGGGGGCAACCTTTCATGATTTTTGTGGCTATGATGAGTCTATCTGTAGCGGGTAGGTTTTCCCTTTCAGAGCTTCACAGTTACTCCTTCTGACCCGTGTTTGTCTTCCTAGGAGTCACCAATAACGTGGTTTTGGAAGCTCCCTTCCTAGTTGGCATTGATGGTTCGCTCAAAGGCAGGTATGTACTGGGAGTTCTCGACGGGTTTCTAGTCCCTCACTTAGTAAGACTGAGGAGCGTAGAACCGACATGCACAAGGTGAAAATGGTTTGTTCTTATTTGCGCTAGAAGCTTATTCAGTCCTTACAGTGTATTTGAAGGATGTTTCTTTTACCTGTTTGCGACTTGTAGGAACTTGATGTATTAATGAAATGGAAAGGTTGTATTTGTGTGTAGATTTTAAGATCTTTCTGAGGGCCACATCTCTAGTGGCTTGTGCAAGTGAAGTGAGGCTAAGACGGTTATGTCTGGTATGGGAAAAGGGAGAAAAGTACCTTTTGGTGTATAGTGAGAATCATTATAAACTACAATCCTTTGAGATAACTAGGACTTTTAAATTTGCATTTTACTTGGAGTTTGTAATAAGCCATGGTAGGACTATTTCTTCTGTAATCTAGGGAACCTGGGGAAGAACACAAGTTGAATGTTAGGGACTTGAATACCGAGGGTAAACTGCATCTTTCTGTGCTGTGATCTACAAGTGACAACGAAGTGCTCAGTGATTTTAGTATTAGAAGGCTCCTTAATTTTGAGCATTGGCTTTTACAGCAAAACAATTCATTCTGACCACAGTTTTAGGGTTAAATAAGGCATAGGAATTCTTAGTTGCTTTACTCAGTAACCAGAAAGAGTTTTGCAGTTCCTCTTTCCCAACTGAAAGAGCCTAGCTATCCTTACCAGAGTGTCCTCTTTCCACCCAAAGGGAACAGGGAAGAAGAGAATAGTGATTTGCTTGGAATTGGGTTATTTGGGGCCAGAAGCAGAAGCTCTCCAAATGTCTTTCTTAGAATAGGATAAGACATCTAGACACATGCTGTCCAATACTGTAACCATTAGCCACGTGTAGCTGTTGAGCACTTAAAATGTGGCCATCCTGAATTGGGAAATACTGTGAGTGCAAAATATACACTGGATTTTGGAGACTTGATACAAAAAAAATTAATAGTTTAAAAATATTGATTACATGCTGAAATATTTTTGATATATTGGGTAGTATAAAATGTATTAAAACTAATTTCACCTGTTCATTTTGAATTTATTTATTTTTTATTTATTTATTTTAAGATTTTATTTATTTATTTGACAGAGAGACATAGCAAGGGAGGGAACACAAGCAGGGGGATTGGTAGAGGGAGAAGCAGGCTTCCCACAGAGCAGGAAGGCCCTATGTGGGGCTCGATCCCAGGACCCTGGGATCGTGACCCAAGCCAAAGGCAGACACTTAACGACTGAGCCACCCAGGCGCCCCTTGAATTTATTTTTAACATGACAGAAAACTTTAAATTACTTATATAGCTTATATTACATCGCAACTGGATAGTACTGATCTAGATGGTTTCTAAAACACTGGAGGGAAATTCCCAAGTATTTGTGTACTTTTAGAATTAGGGGAGCCATGGGACTTGGCAGGAAGAGATTTGTCAGGAAATGGTTCATGGGCTTATAGAGGGTGAGAAGTCCCAAGAGCTGTAGTTGGCAAGCTGGAGACACAGCAGAGCCAGTGGTTTAGATCTAGTCCAAGGCCACAAGCCTAGAACCAGGAGAGCCAAAGTGTAAGTTCCAGTCCAAAAGCCAGAAGGCTCTAGACCAAAGAAGAGCCTACATTTCAGTTCAAGTTCAAAGGCAGGGGGTAAACAACAATGTCTCAGCTTAAAGCAGTCAGGCAAGAGGAGTTTCCCTTTATTCCTGACAGGGTCAGCCTTTTGTTCTGTTAAGACCTTCAACTGATTAGATGCGGGTCCCCAAATGGGGAGGACAATCTGCTTTACTCAGTCTGATTCAAGTGTTAATCTCATTCAAAAACACATTCAGAATAATGTTTGACCTAATAACTGGGTGCCATGTGGCCTAGTCAAGTGGACCATAAAATTTAACCATCACTTGTTAACTTGGCACCCACACGCATCTCCTAAAACCATACTTAATCTCCAAATAAAGACAATAACAAAGTCATAATTCTGTCTAACATGTTACAACTATCATGCATACAACTGAAAACACACTAACCCCTTCTCTGGAAAAGGAAGTTAAAGTCCTTAAATGATGTTTACATTTCTCTTTGATCTCTTGTAATTTAAATACTGTGATATAAAACTAGTAATACTTAAATAGAATGTATAGTTTGATATAGTAGTATGATATAAAGTATGATCTTATATAATGGAATAAGAGAAGAACAGAGATAAACACTCAGACACACAAACTTACTCATAACAAAGTACAGAGGAAATACTCATGACAATTACAGTCCTCATTTCTGTAACTGGTCCCTTGGTCATAGCTGTATTTGTAACTACCTTCTTCCACTACCCATCTGTATCCCCTTTTGCCTTCAGCAAGCACTCAGCTGGTCATAGTTCTTTTCCTGGTGTGGTAATGCAGACCTTCATTTTTGAAGGACTTGAGCCATTAGTGGACTAATATTCAATGAAATATTTTATATTGCACACATAAGCATAATTTGGGGATTTTTTCACATTTTTGCCCTGTGCCATAAATTAGTATCTATCAGACTTTTTTTTTTTTTTAAAGATTTTATTTATTTATTTGACAGAGAGAGACACAGTGAGAGAGGGAACACAAGCAGGGGGAGTGGGAGAGGGAGAAGCAGGCTTCCCGCAGAGCAGGGAGCCCGATACGGGACTCGATCCCAGGACCCCGGGATCATGACCTGAGCCGAAGGCAGTCGCTTAACCAACTGAGCCACCCAGGCGCCCTATCAGACATTTTTCTATAGGTACTGTGCTTTGTCTGATACCATTAATTCCTACAGAGGAATTAATTCAAATTAATGCAATTTATTTCATGGCTTGCTTTTTGGTTACTGTATTCACAAAAACACAGTACTACATGTGTGGTGTGGGACTTAATTTACCAATGAATTGGGATACTGTATTGCTTGGTCTTTTTTAGTATACACTGACATGAATCTTTTTCTCTGTAGTCATATGATTTTTATACTCTATTGATGCAGTTTTACTGCATAGTATATTTATACAAATACTTTTTCCCCTTACCAAACCACTTTAAAATTGTTTTTAGGAGGTGCCTCGCTGGCACAGTTGGAAGGGCATACAACTCTTGATCTCGGGGTCATTGGTTTGAGCCTCATGGTGCGTGTACAGAGTGAGTGAGTGAGAGAGTGAGTAAATAAATAAATAAATAAATAAAATAAGTTTTCAGTACATGCCTGATGAAACATAATTTTTTTCTTTTTTTAAATTTTTATTTTTATTTATTTTTTTAAAGATTTTACTTATTTATTTACTTGAGAGAGAGAGAAAAACAGCATGAGAGGGGATAGGGTCAGAGGGAGAAGCAGGCTCTCCGCCGAGCCAGGAGCCCGATGTGGGACTCTACCCCAGGACTCCGGGATCATGACCTGAGCCGAAGGCAGTCGCTTAACCAACTGAGCCACCCAGGCGCCCACAGTTAATTTTTTTCTTAAAACATTTCTTCATAGGGACTCCTGGGTGGCTCAGTCGTTAAGCATCTGCCTTCGGCTCAGGTCATGATCCCAGGGTCCTGGGATCGAGCCCTGCATCGGGCTCCCTGCTCTGCGGGAAGCCTGCTTCTCCCTCTCCCACTCCCCCTGCTTGTGTTCCCTCTTGCGCTGTGTCTCTCTCTGTCAAATAAATAAATAAAATCTTAAAAAAAAAAAATTTCTTTGTAGTATTTAGGATACCTGGGTGGCTCAGTCAGTTAAGCAGATGCCTTTGGCTCAGGTCATGATCTCAGAGTCCTGGGCTCCCTGCTCAGCAGGGAGCCTGCTTCTCCCTCTGCCTTTGCCTGCCGCTACCCCTGTTTGTGCGCTCTTTCTCTCTCTCTTTGATAAATAAATAAAATCTTAAAAAAACAAAAAATATTTCTTGGTAGTATTTGGATATGTCTTATGTATCAGCAGATATGGTGAGTGACTTACCCAAGTGGTATAACTAGAATCATTACCTGTTTCCTCATCCAGTAATCTTTCAGAGGATAAAAGAAAAGAAATAGATGGCTTGCTAGGGTAATAGGATTTCTTTTCTTTTTTCTCTTTTGGCATTTTGTCTGGGTATTTTTTTAAGTTAATTTTTTATTACATTTGCAAAAGAAAAATCCTGATTTGAGTTCTATTAATAAATTGCTTGGTAAACCCCAACCAACTTGATTATTTTTCTTAAGCTAGAAATTGGTTTAATAGTAGCTAATTTATATGGTCATGTGTAGTTTTTTTTTTTTTTTTAAAGATTTTATTTATTTATTTGACACAGAGGGAGAGACAGCGGGAGAGGGAACACAAGCAGGGGGAGTGGGAGAGGGAGAAGCAGGCCTCCCGCAGAACAGGGAGCCCGATGCGGGGCTCGCTCCCAGGACCCTGGGATCATGACCTGAGCCGAAGGCAGACGCTTAACGACTGAGCCACCCAGGCGTCCCAGGTCATGTGTAGTTTTATATGTTAAAATGTTAATCTGATTTTAGTATGATTTTTCTGCTTTTTCAAATGTAAATTATTCTATAAGTGACAGTTGTACATCCATAATAATCTAGGATATAATTATATTAAAAGCTGAGTTAACCTTTCTTGAATATGTCATTTCTTCAGTCTTAGTCCTATTATAGCACAGTTTTTAGGAGAACTGGTTCCAGAGACTGGTTATTTTATATTTCTTCTCTGATTTTCTTACCCATATTCTATTTTTCATGCCAGCACTTACAACCTTTTATTCTGTACTTCCTGTGGGATTCCCATTGGTTTCCATTTGTATTCTACCCATGCTGCCCTGGCTGCCTTGAGAGGTCACTTTTGCCTGTCCAGTGACAAAATGGTGTGGTGAGTAGACTTAAGATATTCTTTATCAAATACATTTTAAAAGAGTTTCCAGAAAAGGCAGAATGTTCGTACCAAAGAAAATGCTACAGCAAGGCACTGTCTCTTATACAAAAAGATGGGCAGTGGGACCAAAATATAGTTTCATAACATTATGCTCATTTTAGAAGTCTTATGATCATACCATGTCTTAATAAGCTTACCATGGAATAGATGAGAGGATATTCTTTTTTACAGAAACTTCTGGAAGATAAGCTTTTTGCAAAATAATGTGGTAATAGGCACTTTTTGGGTTTGTGCCCAGCCCCTTTTTCTTTCCCTTTAGAGTGGGACCTTGTGGCCATGTTTTTTTTTTTTTTTTTTTTAAGATTTTATTTATTTATTCATGAGAGACAGAGAGAGAGGCAGAGGCAGAGGGAGAAGCAGGCTCCCTGCCGAGCAGGGAGCCCGATGCGGGACTCGATCCCGGGACTCCAGGATCATGACCTGAGCCGAAGGCAGACGCTTAACCGACTGAGCCACCCAGGCGTCCCTGTTTTTTTTATCACATGTGATACCACTCCCAGGTGATAGGATCAAGAATGAATACCTGACCTAAGCTAAGCCAAATTCCTATTCTAGGAATTTGAAATAAGGACCCAGAGACACTAGTCATTTGTAGATGGTACTGGTGCCAGAGTTGGGAAATGAAAGATCTAGGTTTAAGGTAGCGATTTTCTGTTATGCATGTGGATGTGGTGAAATCTTGTCTGCAAAAAAGAATGAAGCAGATAGATACCCAAAGAAAAGTAAAAAATAATGACTGTGGCCTCATAGAATCAGATAAAGTACCATACTTGTTGTTTCTTCTTATGTAGTACTTTGAATATTTATCTTCCTAATACTACTGTCACTTAAGCTTTTTTTGTTTATTATAACAAACTGAAACATCTATCATAGTCTTTTCTGGACCATTAAAAACAAAAAAACAAAAACAGCCACTGATGACCTAGTTTGTGCCAGGCAGTATGCTTACCTCACTGAGTTCTTAATAGAAGAAAACTGGGACTCAGAGAGGTTGGAGGAGCTGAGATTTTAATCTGTCTTAACTCCAAAGCTTATTTTTGTTTCATTAAACAAAGTTTCCTTTTTCTCATTCAATGTGCTTAGATCGGTGTCTCTAGCTGAGCTATATATGACAAAATAATAAAACTCATAAGTAAAGCTCGTCCTTCATTCATGAGGGTGTTCAAAATGCATTAGGTATACTATTTGTTCTTCACTGCAAATTTTCTTTTTTTCTTTCTTCATTGCAGATTTTCAACAAGAAATATATACTTGAGATGGATTGATAATTCACTCCCAATTTCTAATTTCTTCCTAAATATTTTTTTTTAAGAGTTTATTTATTTATTTGATAGAGAGAACACAAGTAGGCAGAGCAGCAGGGAGAGGGAGAAGCAGGCTCCCTGCTGAGCAGGGAGCCCAATTTGGGGCTTGGTACCAGGACCCTGGGATCATGACCTGAGCCGAAGAAGGATGCTTAACTGACTGAGCTACCCAGGTGCCCCGCTTCTTAAATAATTTCTATCTAGAATTAAGTTTAAAGAGGGGGGGAAAGTGTTTGTAAATGTGTGCTATTAGTAACCTCAAATCTTCTTTAAAAACAGTTAAAAGTAGTTGTTCCAGCTGAGCTGTAATTGAATTTTTGCTTAGGGAAGTTAAGTTTTTTGTAACAAAAAATTTTTGATATAAATTTTTAAAGTATAATAGGATTTTAAGTAATTTCTTAATCTTTAAAATGAGGAGTTGGGACTCAAAGGTCAGTATATTCTTTTTGATTAAGTAGAAATTAGGCAAGTATAGGTAGCATGAGTCTGGGAAGATAATAATCTATGTCTGTGTGTATCAGAATGAATTTGGTTGCGAGTAAAAGAAAACCTGATTGACAGTGGCTTTAACAAGTAAGGAGTGGGGTAATTGGCTGCTCCAGGAGTCCTCCAGTGGTTCAGCCACAATAGGGCTCTAGATCAGCATCTCTGTTTCTCTTGGCCTTTTCCTCTTGGAATCTACTGCAATTATAAGCATTACATATATAGGCAATAGCATCCCCAACCAGGAGAAGGATATGGGAAGTGGGAACACAGGGAATGATCTCATTTTATCATCAAAAGTGTCCTTATTATTGGCCAGAACTATGTCACATGATTGCCTTAAGGTGGGAAAGCAAATATGTGAGAGGAGGGAATAAGATTGCCACACTTGGCTTAGCACAGTTCTGATTCATCTGCTAGGATTGAAGATACTCCTGTCCTAAACAAAATCTGGATTCTTGGGCGCCTGGGTGGCTTAGTCAGTTAAGCGTCTGCCTTAGGCTCAGGTCATGATCCCAGGGTCCTGGGATTGAGCCGTGTCGAGCTCCCTGCTCTGTGGGGAGCCTGCTTCTCCCTCTGCCTCTGCCTCTCTTTCTCTCTGTCTCTCATGAATAAATAAAATCTTTTAAAACAAAACAAAGCAAAATCTGGGTTCTGTTAACAAGAAAGAAGTTAGGAATGACTACTTGGTAGGTAACCAACCACATTGTCACCATATGATAACTTTTCTTCTAACTGCTATGTGATTTAGTTATTTGTACGACCTGGTTTATGTGTTTTAATTTGTCATGGGATGATTTTGTCTCCTGTATTCCTGGCTGGTAAGGGGTGAGATGAGACACAGAGTCTCTGATGATTTCTTAATTGAGAATGTGTTTTTCCTACAAAATACAATATGAATGTTGAAATGAAAATCTGTAAGGAGGCTGTCTTTGCCTGACATTGCTTTAGAGGTCAAGTTTCGTTCATTGATAATCTTATCTGTAGGATGATACTAATATTTTCTCTATATTTTCTATCCAGCTATCTGTTAAAAACAAAAGCCATAGTAAATGCCTCTGAGATGGATATTCACAACTTGTCTCTACCAGAAAAAGTTGCAGAGGTAAAATTTCATGATGGTTGTATGTTTCCTGTAATACAGGCATACCTCAGAGATATTGTGGGTTCAGTTCCAGACCACCACAGTAAAACAAATACCATAATAAAAAGCAAGTCAACTTATTATTTTGGTTTCCCAGTGCATATAAAAGTTATGTTCACATTATACTGTAGTCTACTAAGTGTGAAATAGCATTATGTCTAAAAAAAAACAATGTACACACCTTAATTAAAAAGTATTGCTAAAAGTGCTAACCATCATCTGAACTTTCAGGGAGTTGTAACTGTTGATCACAGATCACCCTAATAAATATAATAATAATGAAAAGTTTAAAATATTCTGAGAGTTACCAAAATGAGACAGAGCCATGTAGTGAGCAAATGCTGTTGGAAAAATGGTGCCAACAGACTTTCTCACCCAGGGTTGCCACAAACCTTCACTTTGTAGAAAATACAGTATCTTTGAAGTACAATGAAGCAAAAAGCACAATAAAATGAAGTGTGCCTGTATAGACAACTCCTGGCAGTTTATTCCAATGAATTCGGTGGTGATAAAATGGTGTAATACTCCAATACTCCTGTATTCCTGGTTTGGCATTCCTTACTGAATTTGTGACACAAAGCCAGATAGTGTAATGTCCAGTTCAAGAGGAGGAAGAAAGCTGTTTAGCTCCTGGATTTCCTCTACTCTCCCCTCTGTGCTGGGAATGGACACCATCATCTTTCTTAGATCTGTCCATCCTTTCTTTTTTTCTCTCTTTTTTAAAGATTTTATTTTTAAATAATCTCTACACCCAACGTGGGGCTTGAACCTACAACTCCGAATCAAGAGTCATAGGCTCCTCCGAATGAGCCAGCCAGGTGCCCCAGATCTGTCCTTTCTGTAAGCACTTCATGTTTAGATGTCTCAGGAAAGTGGTGAAATGATCATTTAGGAATTCTTATCAAATGGATTTTCCTAGTGGTTGATAGTTTTGAAGTTGAAGAAAGCAACTTTGTTTTGGTAGCTTACTGACTCTTTCTGAGTGGAAATTTGGCTAAAACGTCACTACCTGCAGAAGAACAACCTTAGAATTTATTGTTCATTTTGTTTTCAGTATTGTTAATAGTTTATTCCTTGCTCATTTTACATTTTATAACCAATGGCATTTATTTTCCAAAGTTTAAGTATCTTTTAGGACAGGGGAAGAATGATTTTAGGGGGTGTTGTTTTGCATAGCTAACTAAGCTCATGAAACCATGTTCTAAGCCAGGTGTTGGCAAACTTTTTCTATAAAGGACCAGATGACAAATATTTTAAGCTTTGTGACCATTCGTTCGCAAGTACTCAACTCTGCCATTGTAGCACAAAAGCTGCCTTGGACAAATATATAAACAAACGGGTGTGGCTGTGTTGCAGTAAAACTTAATTTACATAAATGGGCAGCAGGGTATCCCTGTGACTACAGGGAGCCAACCTTCGCTCTAAGCAACCAAGTTGATGAGAGGGGTCAGTAACTATTTTCACTGGTATGGGAGATAACTTCTAGAATGGCAGCCTGAGGAACTCCATGGACCAACCCCCCCCCGCCCCGGCAAAACTGCCATATCTGAATAAAATTACAAAGGAAACAACCATTTTAAATCAGTAAGAAATTTTCCTCAAGGCATAAAACAAATGAGGAGACATTTATTTAAGAAAACGTACAAAACTTCTGTAAGAACAGTGAAACCCGGTGGCATTTGAGCCTGCTCCCTCTGTCTCATGCCTCTCTACCTCAGAGGAAGGGAGGCTCTGGGCAGCTGTAGCCAAGAACACAGGGATCATTTTTTGCCCTAGCTCCCAGTTGAGGGCTGTGGTATCTTCCCAGGAGGGGCAGGCTATCAGGAATTCTCATCAGAAGCTCTATTCCAGTCAAAAACGGCCACTGGTAGGTGCGAGTTCTACCACCGGCACAGCAGGGTAAGTACTAGGAGCCCATTCACCCTCGCCCCGGCTTGCATGTAGGCCAGAGGTCTCACACGGCAGAGGTAAGCCAAGAAGAACAGAAGCGGGCACCTATACCCAGCACTCTGCTTGTAAAGCGAGGGTGTCATTCCGAGAGACACTGGCCCCTAGGTTGGGAGGGGCCAGGCTAAGAGGCAGACTGTAAAAACTGCCCCTCTCCCCCCGCCACACAAGGGAACTGCTGCCCCAAACAGTAGAGATTTTGAGGAAAGCAATCAAGAGGAAGCTGGTAGTTCCATGAGAGCAACAAGCTAAGCCATAGATTCATTTGAAGGTTACCAGACACAATCAGTGAATAGACAGCTAAGAAGAGCCCTCCTGGCGTCAGAAGAACAACAAAAAGACTGGCTACCAGGGCACCTGGGTGGCTCAGATGGTTAAGCGTCTGCCTTCGGCTCAGGTCATGATCTCAGGGTCCTGGGATCGAGCCCCGCATCGGGCTCCCTGCTCAGTGCAGAGCCTGCTTCTCCCTCTCCCTCTGCCACTCCCTCTGCTTGTGCTCTTCTATCTCTCTGTCAAATAAACAAATAAAATCTTAAAAAAAAAAAAAAAAAAAAAGACTGGCTACCAGTCTTTTAAAGACTACCCCTACAAATAGGGGGAGGGGTCCTGAATTTAACTGGATTAGACTGTTGAGCAATTTATGTCCCAGGGCATTGTCCAAACCTGTAGAGCACTCAGCCCAGCAATTAGTGAAGGCGAACAGCTTGAACAGCTTGACACTTGACACGAAGATCAGGGAAACACTGAAAGAGAACCTACTGAAACCACTGTCCTTCCAGGTGACTGCACATATTCAAGGCTGGGTTCTCTGAGGACTGACAGCAGACTCTCATATGGTGGGGAAAAGAGATATCAGTGAAATACTCTCCAGCTCACTAAAACAGATAAGTAGACAACAAGCTGAGGACTGGGTGTTTAGTATCCAGAGTTACTATAATATATTATTTGAAATGTCCAATTTGTGGGGTGCCTGGCTGGCTCCATTGGTGGATGTGTGACTCTTGATCTTGGGCTTGTGGGCTCGAGCCCCATGTTGGTTACTTAAAATCGTAAAAAAATTTTTTTTACAAATAAATGTCTAGTTTGCAACAAAAAATTAGAAAACACTCAAAGAGCAAAGTATGACCCATACATGGGACAAAAAGCAGGCATCTATAACTGCCTATGAAAGGGTCCAGATGTCGGACTTAGCAGACAAAGCCTTCGAAGCAGCTATTATAAATAGGTCCAAAAAACTAAAGGAAACTGCTTAAAGAAGTCAAGGAAGGTATGATGACAATATCTCATCAAATAGAGGATATCCTTAAAGAGTTAGAAATTATAAAAAAGAACCACTTGGAAATCCTGGAGTTGAAAAGTACAATAACTGAAATGACAAATTCACTAGAGGGGCTCAGCAACAGATTTGAGCTGCCCAAAGAAAGAATCAGCAAATTGGAGACAGATTGATGAGGTTATGGAATCTGAAGAAAAAAGAATGAAGGAAAGTGAACTGAGCTTAAGACATCTCTTGGGCACCATCAAGCATACCTAAATATTCTTTGGTAAAAGGGATACATACCAAAGGAGTAGAGAAGTAGAAAAGATATTCAAAGAAAAAATAGTAGAAAAATTCCCAAATTTGATGAAAAACATTAATTTACATATCCAAAACCTCAACAAGCCCACGTAGGATAAACACAGAAGAGATACATACCCCAACACATCATAGTAAAAATGAAGAGTGAACAAAATCTTGAAGGCGACAGAGAAATGATTCGCCACATCCAGGGGTACTCCAAGAAGATTAAGAGGCTCTAGAGTTACCTATTTAAGCAGCATTTCCTGATGAACTTTTATTATTCTTCTATCTTGGATGATAATAAAAAGATTTAGTGTAAATTATGTCAGAAATAAGATTTTTGCAAATTATGTCAGAAATAAGATTTTTGTTGACTTCAACAGAAGATTGTTATCCATAATTCTGTATTCAATGATAACTTTATTTACTAAGCACATGTTGTATGCTAAATAATACCATTAAGTTTGGTTCTTGATTTAGCTATTCTTAGGTGAAAGAACTATTGAAAATTCCCTAATTACCACAAACACAGGTTCTTAACCCAACAGCCAGGGCTAGAAGGCCATTAGCAGAATATTGAAGAAAGGCGTTTGTTACTGTGAACAAAGAGGGGAAAAAAGATTCTTGCCACTAGAAAAAGAGGGGAAGACTTATTGATGCTGCTCTCCACAAACTTTCTTACCCCACCGTATTCTTGTCTTCCTTCCCAATACTTGGCGTTTAAACCTGGTGAAAAGGGGTAGGAAGGAGGGAGACAGAGAAGAGTGATGCTCAGCAGTGGCTGGTCTTTTTTCATATGAAACTTTGTATCTGAGGATCTTACTGTGCTCTGGGTTTGTTGCATAAAGTTCTTTCAGAAATAGAACAAGCATATTTATGTAGTGTGTTGAGACATTGTCATCTCTCAATCACTAGTTTAAATTTGAAGTGGTTTCTAGAATCATCAAATTGAGTGTTAAGCTTAAGATGCCCTGATACCAGGGCACCTGAGTGGCTCAGGTCACGAACCCAGGGTCCTCTGCTCAGCAGGGAGCCTGCTACTCCCTCCCCCTCTGCCTGCAGCTCTGCCTCCTTGTGCTTGCTCTCTCTCTGTCAAATGAATAAATAATAAAATCTTAAAAAAAAAAATACCCTGATACCTATTCATTTTTCTTCCCAGCTGAAAGAGAAGATAATGTTAACACATACTCACTTACATTCACTGATGAAGATTCTGAAAGAAGTAACTCCCGACCAGCCCAAGCCAGAAAACTGATCCAGAATTAAAGCCTAAGTATCAGGTTCAGGCCTTATTGCTATCTTCTATCAACAGGTGCTATTTGATCAATTCTTGAGAAAGATCAGCTTCAAGAAGGGCTGGGAACTGTGGTTTATTATGCTTACCTCTAGGCTGATTTTCCAAACGATTTGTGAAGCTGTTTCTAGAAGATGAGAAACTAAGGAAGCTTCTGTCCAGGTTTTATAGCTATTTGCCTTAAGAACTTATTTTAGATTATCAATTATATTTATTTCTGAAAACATTTTACTGCAAATTTAGGTTGATTAGGAGGCAATGTCCTGTGAGTGGTCTGATATAAAGATGCACGGTTGTTATGAAAATAGAGTTGTATTTAATGTTGACTACTGTTATTTCTACATGGAGCAGTTATGGTGAAGACTGAGAAACCATTTTTTTTCTTACGTAAAATATCGGTATATATATATATTCTGTAGGTGATACTCAATAAATTAATTGGATAATATACAATTTGTCTTTCTCTTTTCATTTCTAAACTGGGTAATAATGAGAGGTAACCGGGTAGTAATGAGAGGAATGATAAACATCAAACATTCACCAAAATGCTGTTTTTTCATGTTTTGCTTTATGTACCACTTAGGCTCAGTACCTTATCATTATTATTCATTTAATAAAAGTATACTAACTTCTGAGGATAAAAGGTAAGCAGAAAGCAAAAAGCCACTCTCTACCTGCACAGAGTTTATATCTCATTAGAGGTGGACATTCAAATAACCAGATGAATACATGTGAAATGACTACTCTGTCTTGAAGCAAAGGGACCTAGAGCTACCAGCACATACAGCAGGTAACGGACCCGGTCTGGGGGTCAGGAAGGGCCGCTCTGAGGAAGTGACATTTCAGCCTTGGTCTGAAAGAGTAGGGGTTATTTAGGGAATGGAGGGGGAAACCTGTGCAGAGGCCCTTAAAAGAACACGTGCAGGAGGTGCACCAGTGGCCAGAAACCAGAGGGTGCAAGGACTTACTGGCCTCCTGAAGGATGTTTTTATCCCAAGAACAATGGAAGCCCTTGAAGAATTTGCAGAGGTGGCCCATGGCAGGCTTGGTGTCACTTTTGTAGAACTTCATTATGGTTGTCGTGGAGAATGGGTTTATAGGGGCAGCAGGCAGACCACTGAGGGGCTGGCAAGAGCACAATCCAGACATGATCTAGCCAAGTGGTGGGGGCATAGAAAAGTGGACTCGGTTCAGATGTAGCTAGCAGCCATTTTCTTCTTCTTTCCACTTTATACTGCATAAAGGCCATTTCCCTTTGAAAATATTTTAAACAAGAAAATTCTGATTTGCTTTATGCTTTTGAGTTGCATAAATAAGGGTGAAGCCTCTGGCAACAAATAGTACCAGAAAAACTTACTTTCTACTCCTAAAGAATGGACCTAATAAATTAATACTATATTGAATCATCCTGGGGTTTTTATTGTCTGTGGGTATGTTCTTATGTAGCTATTTCCCTTAAATTCTGGATTTGCTGATTTGGCAGAAAATTAAATGGGAAGTTAAATGCTTGAACTTAACATCAAATTAAGCTGGCTGTTTTAAATAGTTTTTTTTAGGGCCTTCTGGGTGGCTCAGTTGTTAAGCGTCTGCCTTCGGCTCAGGTCATGATCCCAGGGTCCTGGGATCGAGTCCCGCATCGGGCTCCCTGCTCTGCGGGGAGCCTGCTTCTCCCTCTCCCACTCCCCCTGCTTGTGTTCCCTCTCTCGCTGTGTCTCCGTCAAATAAATAAAATCTTAAAAAAAAAAAAAAATTTTCCCCAAATACAAATTACATGCTTACTCTAGAAAAAAAAATTCAGACATAGATGTAAGACAAAAATAAAGGGTGCAAAGTACACTTCCTTTCCATCTTTGAGAGGCATAGGATAGCATGCTGGGAAGTGAGCAGGCTCTGGAGCCAAACTATTTGGATTCACATTGTGGTTTGGATACTTATTAGCCATGAACATGAAGAATTTATTTCAACTCTTCTGGTAAAATAGGGATTAACAACTAGGGTTGGTTTTTCCTTTTCTGGGGACAGCATCCATAGGCATTCAGAATGGTCCAGCGTTTGACATACCACTGAAGGCTGTCCTACAATACAGCCTCTAACAAAACTAGGCTGTCCCAGATCCCTGGTAATAGAATCGTTTACCTTTATACCAAGAAGATTGGGAAAGCCCCAAAATCTGCATGTGGCGTGTGCCCAGGCTGACTTCAAGAAGTCCATGCTGTGAAAACCTGTAGTTCTTACTGAGGTGGTCTAAAATGAGGAAACACGTCAGCAGGGCCTAGGGTGGTTCCAGGTGTGCTACCTGTGTTCACAACAGGATCAAGCGTGCTCTCCTTACTGAGGAGCAGAAAATCATTTGTGAAAGTGTTGAAGGCACAAGAACAGAGTCAGAAAGCTAAATTTAAAAATGAAGCTTTTTGGAGTAATAATTCAAAAGGCTTGTTCTGTTAAAAAAAAAAAAAAAAAAAAAAAAAGCAAGGGGTACCCAGCTGGCCCAGTCAGAAGAGCATGCAACTCTTGATCTTGGGGTTGTGGGTTCAAGCCCCGCATTGAGTGTAGAGATAAATAAATAAATCTTAAAAAAAAAACCCCAAACAGGGCTGTAGTGAAGATTGAGTTAATGAATACATCTAATGTAATTACAGCAGTGCTTAGCACATACTAGGTGCTCAATAAATATAATCTTTATGCATGTAGATGTACACATATAGACATAAAACAAAGGCAGTTTTATCTTTCACATTATTCTGCAACCTGCTTTTCACACAATAAATGTCACAACTTTCCATACCAGCCCATACGCAAACTACCTCATTTGTTTTAACACCTACATGATTCAGTGATGTGAATGTATCAGAATCTGACCATTCTTGTATTGGATCCTTATACCTATCTTTGCAGATCTGTGCTGATAGGAGTGATTATTAAAGTGGCAAAGTCAGGGGCGCCTGGGTGGCTCAGTTGGTTAAGCGACTGCCTTCGGCTCAGGTCATGATCCTGGAGTCCCTGGATCGAGTCCCGCATCGGGCTTCCTGCTGTCAGCGGGGAGTCTGCTTCTCCCTCTGACCCTCCCCCCTCATGCTCTCTCTCTCTATCTCATTCTCTCTCTCAAATAAATAAATAAAATCTTTAAAAAAAAAAAAAAGTGGCAAAGTCAAAGGGCATGTCCATTTACAATTTTGATATTATGCCTTCCATAAATGTTACACTAATTGATAGTCTCACGCATAGTTGACTTTTTTTTTTTTAAGATTTTATTTATTTGTGAGAGAATGAGAGACAGAGAGCATGAGAGGGAGGAGGGTCAGAGGGAGAAGCAGACTCCCTGCTGAGCAGGGAGCCCAACGCGGGACTCGATCCCGGGACTCCAGGATCATGACCTGAGCCGAAGGCAGTCGCTTGACCAACTGAGCCACCCAGGCGCCCAGCATACTTGACTTTTTAAACAACCCTTTTAAAGGACACCTTTAGGTGGTGTAAGAGTAAAGTCTAGCAAACATCAATGATTGTCTGATATTAACAGATACTAAGTCTACTTTGCTATAGTTTGATATCATTTAGCACTGTATGTATGTTGAATAAAACTTATTTTCAAAATTCCAGTCATAAAAACAATAAAACTGCATACTGAAGTTGAGTTGTAAACTTTTAAGCTCCTGAGTTAACAGCAGAAACTATCTCTATTTTTGTAACCCTAACATCTAGCACAGTACCTGGGAGTGGAGTATATCAGCGTGTGCTAAATGATTAGTCATAAATCACAGGAACTATTACATTAGTAATCGTACCACAAAAACCACGTAGCTTGTGTTCCTGTCCACTTGACAATAGCCAATCCCAAGGAAGTTTGTAACATCCACTTTACTTTAAACTTAAACTTTCCCCTGAATCGAGAAGGATCGCTCTTTTTTTTTAAGATTTTGTCTGTCAGAGAGAGCGAGCCAGCACAGAGGGAGAAGCAGGCTTCCTGCTTAGCAGAGAGCCCGATGCAGGACTCAATCCCAGGATCCCGGGATGATGACCTGAGCCAAAGGCAGCCACTTAACCAACCGACTGAGCCACCCAGGCGTCCCTCTCTTCTCAATTATAGTGTTAAGCCTCTTTAGTTAAGCTAGCTAATAAATATTCAATGTAAAAACATTTAAAATGCTTTATTTCAGATAGGAAGGATTCCCTGCAATAGTTTAAACATTATTGTACTTTGCTATTTCCTTATCAGAAACTGAACATTTGGGGCACCTGGGTGGCTCAGTTAAGTGTCTGCCTTCGGCTCAGGTCATGATAACCTCAGCATCCTGGGATCGAGCCCCACGTCAGGCTCCCTGCTCAATGGGAAGTCTTGTTTCTCCCTCTGCCTCTCCACCCACTTGTGCTCTCACTCATAAAATCTTAAAAAAACAAAACAAAAAAAACCCATTTGCTAATACCTAGCATAAGGTTGGCCCTAAAGGTGGGAATGACGTTAAGTTTAAATGGAATGCCTTTGTTCACATGGCTGCCACGTCCCTTGGACTACAGCAGAAACTGCTACGACTTGGTACCACCACCCAGATCTTTGGTCTTTTCTGACATCTGGAGCCTACCTCAGCCCAGGTCTCTGGCTTGGCTCCTCCCATCTCAGTAATCTGCATTATTAGAAATTACCCGTTCTGGGACACCTGGGTGTCTCATTCAGTTAAGTGTCTGCCTTCGGCTCAGGTCATGATCCCAGGGTCCTGGGATCGAGTCCTGAGTCGAGTCCCACATCGGGCTCCCTGCTCAGCGGGGAGCCTGCTTCTCCCTCTGCCTGCCTCTTCCCCTGCTTATGCTCTCTCCCTCTCTTTGACAAATAAAATCTTTAAAAAAAGTAGTCTAAAAAAAACTACCCATTCCAAGTAATGAGTAACACAGTGAAGTTTCAGTGCATTCTCAGCCCATGCTGCTTTATTGCCAAAATACACACACACACACACACACACAGGTGCAGAGTTTCCAACTCAATATAGCAGTTCCCTTTTACATCAAAGAATAAAATTTCTGAAATCCCAAGGATGCATAGATTAAAAAGCTGCCTTTTGTAATACTTTATAAATATTCAATGAAATTCTTTTTAACATTATATACTAATGGTGCAATGAAGAAAATACAGAACAGCAAGTAAAAACAGTGAGCAACAACCGTACTTATAGGAGAGTAAATCAAAATATGTTAATGATACTCTAATATAATACAACTCTGATGGGTGGGTTTAAGGTAAGTGCCAAGACTATTACTGTTATTTAAGGACTGATGATAATGTATTGCCAGAATACTGTTCTTATCTCTGGGAGGAAAATTGATAGCATGGCATACTATCACCAAGGGAGACAAAACCTTTTGAAAATTGTCAGTAACCTTCCGGTATCTATTTTGATTTTAATGGAGGTTTAGGAGTAAACGTTCCTAGAGAAATCTGTGACACCTGGTTTTTTATCTATGTGCCTTTGTGGAATAATGGGAACAGAGTTGAGAGAAACTCCTTCCTTGTATCTTTACTGGTTTCATTGGTTGGCAGATGTAATCAGTAAGTGGCAAGGAGAAAATTTACAAATGGGAAATGATATCTCACTTCCTGTGTACTTAAGTGGAGACTAAACACTGCAATGATTGTAAGTTTAATTCAGTTCTGAACTCCTGGAAAGTTACCACTTACACTTAAACATTCCCAGAGGCATTTGGAGTGAAATCCCAGAGCAAACAGGTTAAAATGACTTAAGAAAAATTAATTTTCAATCATAGAACATGAAACCTTGGAGGGGCCTATGAGAATCATCTAGTCTAACTCTGAATTCTCTACTGTTTACACCACTCAGCTGTGAATTCCATTTGTATTATTACTTGTCATGATTATTTGCACTTAACAGGGTTTATTTCAAAGTCAGGAATCTTCTCAAAAATCTTAAGCTACCACAATAAACTGATCTATTTTCTTCATCAAGTAAGGAAATATATGGCAAGTGTTCTTCTTTTTTTCTCCAAAAGTGGGAAAACCTGCTCCTGTTTACCTGGCATCAGAAGCTTTAGGCAACAAATTATGCAGTCTGAGCAAAATAAAATGGCTAAAGCTCTGGCTATAAAATTTTAAAAACAAAACATTTATGTAATACAGTAACAAAAAAGAACCCAAACCACAGATTTGTCAATACTTTTAGCACTGTTTCCACAAAATGGAGCAGTCTCCTTGGCTGCAGGGAACCTTTATGGCTGGTCGGTACCAGTAGCATCCAGAAGAGTTGACTGGTTATCTGAAAATCCTGCAACATCTGAAATACGGGCATATTGCTTCCATTCACTTCCAAGATACTAGTTTTAAAATATCCTAACTTAAGCCACATAAATTTTCTCAGACAAACCCCATACTTTCATTTTATATACTCTACACTGGCAATTCCCTACTTTCCTACCCTTTCTGAAACTCTGCACCTTTCTGATTATTATAGCCATAGCAGCTTATTTATTCAACATGCTTAGTTTGTGCCTTTGTTTTGTTTTTAAACATGCTTGGGGACTAAGGGAACCAGGCAAGAGGTTAGAGGGTGAGCACTGTCATGCTCTCTATTCCTGACAGTTTGAATGTCTTGTGGTTGCCCCTGTTTATCTTCTAGCTCCCATTTTCAATGGAAGTTAAGATAATCTTTAATTAGAAAATGAAAACTAATAATCCAAAAAGTAAATTCAGGCTACTGGTTTAAGTCTCTATTGCTTCATTAATAAATGCATATATAATATCTATCTACTAGCCACCACATAACACTGGACATTTTCAATCATGCATTAGAATATTAGTACTCTAAAATCAGAATTCCGGGCCTGCCACTATTTCTTGCACTTTCATTCAGACCCAGTTTTAATAAACATGCAGAAAAGACCCCCTGATTCAGAGGAATTAGGGGAAATAACAAGGATGCATGCAGTTTCAACTGAAAATGTGGGTTAATAAAGTGATTGCTTAGAAATGCAGGCAGGGCAGGTGCTCCACATCACAATGCTGCTTCAGAATAGAGGTACAAAGTCACACACAAAAAGGTGAAAATCAGGACCACTACTTAGTTACAAAAGGCTTAACTGCGAATCCTGGCCCTTTTGGGTAGAGAATGATGTGAAAACTCTGGGAAAAGAAAGAGAATTGAAAGATGTACAGTCTTTTGGAGCAGTTAAGTTTTCTTGGCCATTTATTGACAGCGGTAGCATAGAAGAGCATACGTGTATAGAGATGGTGAAGATGCTCTTAGGCAGAATGGTTTGATTCACATTAATGAACTTTATCTGCACAGCCCCCTGGGGAAAAGGAGTTTATGAACAGCAGAGCTGATATAATGTAAACTCAAAATCAATGCCCTGAAATTCAGCATAGATTTGTACGTTGAAAACTATCAGCCAAGGAATTCTTCCAAATAGGGTATGGTTAATAGCCAAGCAATGTTCTGAATAAACTAGAAGCAATTTGCTTGCACCAGCAGCACCATGAGAATGTAAACTCCTGGAGGCCAAGGGTCTCTTCATATTTTGCATATCACAGGTACACAAAGAGTAAACATGAGACCACAACATTGAAAAGTAATAACCGCATACGTAGAGACTACAAAAACTTGTAGCACATTTTAGCATTTACAACTATTAACGTGGCTGTTATTAGTCTTTAAGTAACTAAATTGTTGACATCACTATAATACACAGCGGTGTCCTCATGATTGTGCAGATGACTAAATATTGCTTGGTTATTCCAATGTCTCTAACACCAAATGACGGCGTAGGACATTTAAAGAGGAGCTATAATCCATTTAATATAATAGCCTTCTCCCTATCCTCTGGAGTTGCCATATAAGAAATATTCAAGAGGCACTATTTTCTTAAATCTGCTCCACTTTTAGTTTTTTCCCTGGGAAAACAAGGGAACAGAGACCCAATCTTTTCAGGGACCTTCAAGGTGCTAAATGGCCAAAATGAACACAAGGTAAAAGGGAGTAAGAAGTCAGCTTCCATTCCTCTATTATATCCTGATGTGAGGTGTGAGATCCCTCAGATCAAGAAACTAGTTTGCTGGGCTCTTATTAAAGAGTCACATGCCAAAGTCCTCAACACATGTACATCAGACAAGGTTTATAAAACCAACATGCTGTCTTTGGCTATTCCCTTCAATCCTTTGCTTTACATCTTTAAATTCTAACTCCCCTAAACTAACCAGAGGCATAAGGAAAAGCCAGCTATCCAAGTTCTTGGTTTGTTTTTAACCCAAACACACACACACACACTTTTCCATTCTTAAAATGCACCCAGAGAATGAAAGGAGAAAAGAAAAGGTGACAGAGCACAAAGTCGCCTATTCTATAAATGCCTGTTGCTGAAAAGAACATCAGAAGCAAAATCCCCACCTGATGGCTTCAGTGGGGCTACATCGGTAGGAGTACATTTGTTTCCTGGTTAACCACTAGAAAAATTTCATTCATTGGCTCTACCCCTCTGCTTTAGGAAACAAACAGGGTCTCTAACCTTTACACCTACACAAAAGTTGCTATTTCTCACACATGATTTATTCATATACATTCAGCTTTTAAAGTACCTTTTATATGTTCTTTGCCTAAAACATCTTCCTTTGGTGCAACTCTGTTCATCACCAGAGCTTCACCAACTCAAGTAGTAATATTTATTCTATTGTACAACTTTGCTAATACAATTTACTATACATGCAAAACTGTTATTGCTACAAAGATTCTACCTCTTGAAAATTATTATTCGTTTTATGGCTTTTATTTATTTTTTGCAATAGGAAATATCCTTTCCTATGTACTGTGCTATTTTGCATTCATTCATTACCTTTTCAGAGGTATTTTTAAAAATATTTAAATGCTTTTTGGAAATAGATTCTCCCAGGCACTAAACTACTAGAGCCAAGAGTACAACTGCTTTAAAAAGTACACTCTGAGAATCTAAACCTGGGTCCCTGGATATCTGCTGCTACAGAGTCTATTTGTTTAAGCTTGCTTGTGTACTGGAGACACACCACATTCCTTTTGCATTACATATCATGGTAACTGTAAAATCTGTGTCAAAAAATCCTGAACTCTCCTAATACTGAGACTTAAAAATCACCTCCAAAAACTGCCCTTTCCAAGTTCTCAAGGCAGCTTTTAGGGGTAGGAGTTTCTTTTCCACAGAAAGCTATCTTATGCTTTCAGAACAAAATCATTTATTTTTACAAGCAGAAAAAAGTGAAAGCTGCCTGAGGTGGCTTACTATAACCAAGCAAAAGAGTTAGTTATTACATGGCAACCTGCTTAGGCTCCATCTAGCTACACTCCAATTCTTGTGAAAAGGTCTGGAATGCCATCAACACGCAATTCAGACTGTGAAATAGGAAAAGCCTGTGACAAATTAATGTAGGACACTGAACTACTGACCAGTGTTCTTCCATAACAATTAGCATGCCACAGACAGGAAATGTAAATGGTCTGCAGATTAGAAAAGCACTTGACTAACATAGCATTTCAGTAAGACATGCAAAATAAGAAAATAATTTCTTGATGCAAAGGAGTGGATTAAATAATAAACCTACAAGACACACTGTGTGAAAACAGCATAAGAACAATCTCATCTCAAACTAAGAGAACAAAGCAGAATCATGAAATGGGGCCTCATTTTGATTTGAGGTTTCATAAGACACAAAGGCAGCTGGTTTCCAGCTACCTCAGAAAAAGCTTAAATATCCTCAAACACAGTATTTCACACTGTAATCCCACAGTTCTATTCATAAATGAGTTTTTGGCCTTAATCTCCTTTCCCCAGGGAGAATATCATGATTCCGATATTTATGAAAAAAGAAAAGGTCTCGATTTTCCACTCATGTTACACTACTGGTTATTATCAATAATTCATCCTGAAGTTTAAATTATTACTAGGCTCATGCACTAACCCCTAACATGGCACTACAATATGCTACCAAGCACTAATGCTTACAAAACTATACACATCTCAAAATGGAAGACATTGGTGATTTTGTTGTTCTTAAACAACTTGTAACATTTGTCCACAAGTATTAAAATATACATATATATATATTTCTATTGCACATACCCCGTTTTTGTTTAACTTTTTAAAAGAAAAACTGCCAGCTGACATGATGAGCAGAGAAGGAAGTAGGCACAGCTACTGATCAAGGTGTAGTCCTGCCTAAAATTACAGCTTTTCCCATTAAGAAGGGGACAAAATAGCCCAGGGGGGAAAATGTAGGCATAATTAAGCAAACACTGGGCTAGTACACTGACAAAGACCCATTTTGTTAGATACTATCTGGTGACAACCATTAAAGATTCAAAGAACAACTTGAACGAGAGCATTCAACAGTGGTTCCTTTAGCTATGAAATAAATACAAAGCAACTGGAGAAGATGAGTCTGATACATACTCAAACAAATGGGCCAGAGATGGTTTCACTGGTGCTGATGGTATAAAGTCCCTATCCCCTGCCAAATGGTCCTACCCAAAACACTGCAAAAAGGACATGGGGAAGATGGATAACAGACAACTAAAGATATCAATTCTCAACATACCAATGGAACTCAGTTCTGTCTTTAACAATTCCAAAATAGTTAAAGAAAATATCAGGAAGTTGGCTGAGAAGTTACTTAGAGAAACATTTAAGTTACCTTTATCCAAAGTTACTTCTATGATTTACCACTCAGTATTTGCCCTCAAAGGAAATTATATTTTATCTATATTATGGAATTATTTTACTAAAAAGCTTTCTTATGTCAATTCAAAGAGGTTGACCAATTTAACTAATCGTTAAGAGTGCTCAACAATTCCCATTTTTGGCCATTTCTCTCACTGCTAAATTTTGGTAAATCTGCCCTAAGTTTTTAGCATCACAGCATGTATGACCCTAGGCAAATTCCCTAAATCACAGATATGATCTAAGACAATTTGTTCTTAATTGCATCTAAGAAGTTTCAAATTCTTTCTCACAAAGACTCATAGCTTCCTTCTTCGTATATAAAGACCTGACAATTCATACAGTGGTCCTCTGTAGATTTGGAAGCAAGAATAGCTTTACATTATAATCTGTTCATCACATGGTGTAAGTTTTAAGGAGAAGAAGAAAGATCCATATTTTTGTTGAACTATTTTTCTTGAGTTTTTTTCCAGACCCCAAATTTCTTCTAAATCAACCACAAATTTGGGAACATTGCTACTGAAGTGTTTGGTTACAACCAGGGAAAGTTACCTGAGTCCCAGCCTTTACAGCCTAACATTACACCTCACCTAAAAAAATAAACCAAACATCTGAATACCCATCTTGGATCAAAGGAACAAAGTTATTTATGTTTTTAGAAAACTGGAGCTACAGAATGTAAGATGCCATAAAGTTAGATGGAGCTGCATAAAGCATTTTTGCTTCCTTTTCGCAGGAGAAAGGAATTATCTGCAAACTCTTTTGTTTTCCCCATTCCTTCATGCCCAAAGTTGAAGGCAGGTCATACTAGAGGATCTGCCATATCTTCTGAACAGAAAAACCACTTAAGCCACTTGTTCCTGCCTTAGCAGCATGGAAAACCAAGTCTCAAGTGCTATGTTAAGAGTCTACAAAAAAGAATGAAGTAATTTGCAATACAGGAGCCTCTCATCTGAGGAAGGTGAAAAGGGTTCCACCAGTGGACTTGAAGCTGTTTTGTTTCCTTTTCCAACCTTTCAGTAAACTCAAGCATGCATTCATAGGGTTAGCAAATGTACAATGTGGTCTTTCCTTAGAAAAATGAAAAATCATTAAAAAATACGAAATGTCCAAAGACTTCTGAGACAGAAGTCAACAAAAGCTTCCTGCTCTAGGAGAAAAATCCCTCTTCACATCCAAACTGTAGATTTACACATATAAAGATGTGTATTTTACAGAGACTCTGTTAACCTTGCATCCTCTTGTCTTCATGCTTCTTTATCACATCAAAGGTTCTATTGCAAAATTGGATCTTTGTTCTTTTCCAGCAAATGTACTTCAAAGGATGAGTCAGGATTTAGATATTTAATATCTGTAGTTTTTAAGCATATCTTTCATTTCATATTAGAACACATATTTGGAATTTACTCCTTGCAGATTCAACTGTGCTTATGACAGTGGCTGAAACTGGAAGACATTAAAAAAAAAAAACCTGATGTCATCCATACTTGCTATTTATTTAGTCTTCTTGTTTGAAACAAAAGGTAAAGAATTCACAAACACCAACATCTAAGCACCTGTTTCAAATTAAACATCAGCCTCAGCTTCCAAAATAACTTCTTTATAATTAAGCAAAAAGCAGAACATGCATGTCAGTTGCTTCTTTCTTCCTGGAGAAGTTGGCAAGACAACTGCATCCTAGGAGCTTCTTAATGTTGAATCTGAGAAGTGGAACAAAAAGAAAAGCAGCCTTTTCCGATCCAAATCATGGAGGTAAAATATGTAGAGAAGAGATATCCACATTTCAGGAATAGGGAAAGTGGCTGGATAAAAAGACTACCTACTCCAGGAGACAACACAGAATACCTGGAAATAAAAAATAAATTAAAAACAGGGAGGTTAAGGCAGGTACTTCTGCATGAGCTCATGTTTAAAAATAATATTTAAAAACACATAGAAAGAAAATACATTTTAGATTACACGCTGTCTAAAAGAAAATGTCCAACGATAACACCAAATTCAGTATTGTCATCAGAAAAGCAAGTCAAAAAAATATATAAGCATAATACAAAAAAGTTAGATTTATGTAAAAACTAAAAAAAAAAAAAAAAGGGATACACATGTCCAAGGGTTCCTGGTTCCTCAGTCGGTTAGGGCATCTGACTCTTGATCACAGCTCCAGTCATGATCTCAGGATCGTGAGATACAACCCTGTGTCAGGCTCAGCACTGAGTCTGCTTGAGATTCTCTCTCTCCCTCTCCCCCTCACCTGCTCGCAGGTGCTCTCTCTCAAATATATAAATCTTAAAAAAAAAAAAAAAAAATACTACAAAGCTGTAGGTAATCAAAACAGTATGGTACTGGCACAAAAACAGACATATAGATCAAGAGAATAGAATAGAAAATCCAGAAATAAACCCACAATTATACAGTCAATTAATCTTCAAAAAAGCAGGAAAGAATGTCCAATGGGGAAAAGATGGTCTCTTCAATAAATGGTGTTGGGAAAACTGGACAGTTATGTGCAAAAGAATGGAACTGGACCACTTTCTTACACTATTAACAAAAATAAACTCAAAATGTATTAAAGACCTAAATATGAGAACTGAAACCATAAAAATCCTAGAAGAGATCACAGGCAGTAGTGTCTCTGACATCAGCCACAGTAACATTTTTCTAGATAGGTCTCCTACAGCAAGGGAAATAAAAGCAAAAATAAATTATTGGGACTACATCCATATAAAAAGCTTCTGTACAGTGAAGGAAACAATCAACAAAACTAAAAGGCAACCTACTGAATGGGAGAATATATTTACAAATGACATACCCAATAAAGGGTTAGTATCCAAAATATATAAAGAACTGATGCAATTCAACACCAAAAACCCCCAAAATCCAATTAAAAAATGGGCAGAAGACATGAACAGACATTTCACCAAAGACGACATACAGATGGCCAAAAGACACATGAAAAGATGCTCAACATCACTCATCATCAGGGAAATGCAAATCAAAACTACAATGAGGTATCACCTCACACCTGCCAGAATGGCTAAAATAAAAAACAAGTGTTGGTGCAGATGTGGAGAAAAAGGAACCCTCTTGCACTATTGGTAGGAATGCGAATGGGTGCAGCCACTGTGCAAAACAGTATGAAGGTTCCTCAAAAGTTAAAAATGAGGGGTGCCTGATTGGCTCAGTCGTTAAGCATCTGCCTTCGGCTCAGGTCATGATCCCGGGGTCCTGGGATCAAGTCCCACGTGGAGCTCCCTGCTTGGCGGGAAGCCTGCTTCTCCCTCTCCCACTCCCCCTGCTTGTGTTCCCTCTCTCGCTGTATCTCTCTCTGTCAAATAAATAAATAAAATCTTAAAAAAAAAAAAGTTAAAAATGAAACTACCCTACAATCCAGTAATTGCACTACTGGATATCTACAAAAAAAAAAAAAAATACAAACACACTAATTCAAAGGGACACATGCACCCCTATGTTTATAACAACGTTACATACAATAGCCAAATTAGGAAGCAGCTTAAGTGTTCACTGATAGGTGAATGGATAAAGAAGATGTGGTATATACACATACACAATGGAGTATTATTCGGCTATAAGATGAATGAAAGTTGAAAGGCCAAAAAGCTGAACAAGCCAAAAAGAATGAAATCTTGCCATCTGCAACATGGATGGAGCGAAAGAGTACAATGCTAAGTGAAATAAATCAGAGAAAGAGAAATACCTTATTATTTCACTCATATGTGGAATTTAAACAAAACAAATGAGCAAAGGAAAAAGAAAGAAACCAAGAAACAGATTCTATTTTTTAAGATTTTATTTATTTATTCGACAGACAGCAAGAGAAGGAACACAAGCAGGGGGAGTAGGAGAGGGAGAAGCAGGCTTCCCGTGGAGCAGGAAGCCCGATGTGAGGTTCGATCCCAGGACCCCGAGATCATGACCTGAGCCAAAGGCAGACGCTTAACGACTGAGCCACCCAGGGGCCCCAAGAAACAGATTATTAACTACAGAGAACAAAATGATGCTTACCAGAGGGGAGGTGGGTGGCAGGATGGGTGAAATAGGTGATGGGGATTAAGGAGGACATCTGCTGTGATGAGCACTGGGTGAGGTATGGAATTGCTGAATCACTGTATTGTAGATCTGAAACTAATATAACACTGCATGTTAACTATACTGGAATTAAAGGCAAATGTAAATTAATTCAGAATCAAATCAGGAGGAAGAGAATTATAGAATCTGCATTTGTTGCAGAAGCAGCAGAAGTAAGAGTAAAAAAATAGAGAATATCCACAGAAGGGCCTTTAGAACACCATGGGCAACAGAGCTGTTTCATTATATAAGCTTACTCAGGCCAATTCAAAGCTTGCACCAGCCATTAGACTGTTCTGTAGTTCAATTATTATTATTATTTTTTAGGATTTTATTTGAGAGAGAGACAGAGAGAGCAAGAGAGCATAAGCAGGGAGGAGCAGCAGAGGGAAAGGGAAAAGCAGGCTCCTTGCTGAGACTAGACCCTAGGACCCTGGGATCATGACCTGAGATGAAGGCAGACGCTTAACTGACTGAGCCACCTAAGCACCACCTGCAGTTCAATTCTAATGGCAAGATAACTGGTAGTAATGTTGAGGGGGAAAGAAGATACAAGCTAGTTCCTTCCAGGAGGAAATATGCTAAAAGAATTCTACGTAGGGCGCCTGGGTGGCTCAGTCGGTTAAGCAACTGCCTTCGGCTCAGGTCATGATCCTGGAGTCCCGCATCGGGCTCCCTGCTCGGCAGGGAGTCTGCTTCTCCCTCTGACTGTCCCCCCTCTCATGTGCTCTCTCTTTCATTCTCTCTCTCAAATAAATAAAATCTTTAAAAAAAAAAAAAAAAAAAAAAAAGAATTCTATGTAAACCAAATAAGCATCAAAGATGAGCACCTTTTCCTAACAGGGAACCTATCTAGACTGTCTTATAAACAAATGCCTTCAGGAATACTTACTAATAAAAATACATACATTCATCATAGATAAACTCCACCTCCCCCCCATCTATATCTTTATATCAGGCAATAACGCTAGAATATCATAAGCCTGTTCTCTCTTCAAAAGACCCAATTTCAGGCTCCTGGATGACTCAGTTGGTTAAGCATCTGCCTTTGGCTCAGCTCATGATCTCAGGGTCCTGGGATCGAGTCCCGCATCAGGCTCCCTCCTTCTCCCTCTCCCTCTTCCACTTCCCCTGCTCATCCCCCCTCTCTCTCTCAAATAAATAAATAAAATCTTTAAAAAACAAACAAAAAACCCATAATACCCAATTTCACATTCACTCAGTCACCATTCATTTTATTCACTCTAAACACAAATATGGATCACAAACTGTAGGACCTACTGAAAAGTGAATGAGTAGTAGTAGCTTAGTATGAAAGCCATAGTTCTGACCATGACCTACAATTCCCCCTAAGGTCTACACCACCTTCCACCATATCCTTTCTGACCCCAACTCTATTTCTTTTTCTTCTTCTTTTTTTTAAGATTTTATTTATTTATTTGACATAGAGAGACACAGCGAGAGAGGAAACACAAGCAGGGGGAGTGGGAGAGGGAGAAGCAGGCTTCCCACAGAGCAGGGAGCCCGACGCAGAGCTCCATCCCAGGACCCTGGGACCATGACCTGAGCCAAAAGCAGACACTTAATGACTGAGCCACCCAGGTGCCCCCCAACTCTATTTCTATCTCCTCCTCCATCATGTGCTCCAACCACACTGGACTCCTTGCTCTTCCTGGAATGTCAGGCATACTCCAACTTTATAGCCTTTGTACTGGCTGTTCCCTTTGTGAGAGGACCCTTCCCCAGGTATCCACATAGCTAGTCCTCTCACCTCGTCTTTACTTAAATGTCATTTTCTCAATGAGGCCTACTTTGAGCCAGTTTAAGATTATACTATCCCTCCATCCCATCCACAGACACACTTCTACCATTCCCCTTTACCCTATCTACTTTTCCTTTTATCCATAGCCTGTAACACTATCTAAGTTGCTTCATAAGGTATTTATTATGTTTCTTCATTTACTGTCCTGTCTAAAATGTAAGCTCCAGGGGTGCCTGGGTGGCTCAATCGTTAAGCGTCTGCCTTCGGCTCAGGTCATGTCGAGCCCTGCATTGGGCTCCCTGCTCAGCGGGGAGTCTGCTTCTCCTTCTCTAGCTCCCCCTGCTTGTGTTCCCTCTCTTTCTCTGTCAAATAAGTAAATAAAATCTTAAAAAAAAATGAAAATAAATAAAATAAAATAATAAGCTCCAGGGGTGCCTGTCTGACATGGTCAGTGGAGCATGCAACTCTTGATCTCAAGGTTGTAAGTTTGAGCCCCACACTAGGTGTAGAGATTACTTAAAAATAAAATATTTAATACATAACATGTAAGCTCCATCAGGAAGGAAACTGTTTTGTTTACCAATGAATCCCAAACACCCAGACTAGCATGTGACCCAGGTAACCACTTGATAAAAATTTGCTGAATGAATGAAGAGCAGGGCTGTTAAATACATTTAGCCAACATTAGTTAACATGTAAATAGGTTCTAGAGTTAAGTGAGGAAACCAAAACTATACACACTGATCTACAAAATCTTCAAATACATCCCTATAAAGTTGATGACTTACTAGGCACTTCTAGGTCTTTGAGGTCACTTGTTTAGTGCTATTGATTATACAAATAAAGTAACTTTGTATTAGAAAATCTGACTTCCTGGGAGGACAGAAAGGGAAATCAGAATTTTTAATGTAGTACTTGGGCTAGCCAGACCTGCCTCAAATGACTCTGGGTGTAGTCAGCTTCTAAGATGGGCCCCAGTTATTGTTGCCTCCCGGTATTCACACCCTTCTACAGTCTCCTCTAACAATGAATCAGGGTATGATAAAGAATTTGGCCTTTGTCCTGGGAGGGAAACTCTAAATCCTTGGAATTTACAGTAAATGAGCCAGAAGAAATTACACAACGGAGTCCTAAATAATTAATGGGTCAAAGAAAAAATGACAAGGGAAATTAGGAAATACCTTGAGATAAACGAAAACAATAACACAACAAACCAAAAATTATGGGATGCAGTAAAGCAGTGCTAAGAGGGAAATTTATAGATCTAAATGCTTACATTAAAAAAGAAAGATCTCATGGGGCGCCTGGGTGGCTCAGTCATTAAGCGTCTGCCTTCAGCTCAGGTCATGATCCCAGGGTCCTGGGATCGAGCCCCACATCGGGCTCCCTGCTCCGCGGGAAGCCTGCTTCTCCCCTTTCCGCTCCCCCTGCTTGTGTTCCCTCTCTCGCTGTATCTCTCTCTGTCAAATAAATAAATAAAATCTTAAAAAAAAAAAACAAAACTCAAATCAGCAACCTAACTTTACACCTTAAGGAACTAGAGAAAGAATAAACTAAACCCAAAGCTAGCAAGAACGAAAGAAAAAATAAATATCAGAGCAGAGATAAATAAAAGAGGGAATAGAAAAACAGAGAAAACCAACGAAACCAAAATTCGGTTCTGACAGGGTTGTGAGAATCCCTGAATTTGCAGCCAATTGATCAGAACTGCAGGTTGCCTGGGAATCCTCCTAAGTGTGGCTGCCTTTTAAAGTGAGGGCAATCTTGGGGTACCTGGCTGGCTCAGTACATACAGCATGCGACTTTTTTTTTTTTTTTTAAGATTTTATTTATTTATTTGAGAGAGAGAGAATGAGAGAGAGAGCATGAGAGGGAGGAGGGTCAGAGGGAGAAGCAGACTCCCCGCCAAGCAGGGAGCCCGATGCGGGACTCGATCCCAGGACTCCAGGATCATGACCTGAGCCGAAGGCAGTCGCTTAACCAACTGAGCCACCCAGGTGCCCCAGCATGCGACTCTTAATCTCAGGGTCATGAGTTCAAGCATTATGCTGGGCATGGAGCCTACTTAAAAAAAAAACCAAAAAACCACCACCACCACCACCACCACCACAAAACCCACAAAGATTAAAGTGAGGGCAGTCTTGTTGGGAACAGGGCCTCTGACTTGCGGGATCTGCATTAACTCTGGATGGTTAGTGTCAGGACTATATTGCAGTACACTAGTTGGTCTCAAAAGAGTGACCAAGTGAATGAGGAGAAAGTGATGATGAGTGACTTCTGAGACATACATGGAGCTGTGACTTCTGCACTGTTCTCTTGGACTGCTTATTCTGGGAGAAGCCAGATGTTGTACATGAAGACATTCAAGCAGCCTTGGAAGAGGCCGACACTGGAAGGAACAAAGGCTTTCCACCACCAGCATGAATTTATCAGCCACGTGAAAGAGCCACCATGGAATTAGATAACTGCCACCCCAGCCAATCTTGACTGCAACCTTAGAAGAGAATCCAAGCCAGAAAGCCCCAGTGTTAAACTGCTCTGTAACTCCTGACCCACATAAACTGTACGAGATAATACATGTTTACTGTTGTTTTAATCCACTAAATTTTGGATAATCTGTTATGCATCATTGAATAAGTAATACACTTTGCTTCCTCGAAGGACAGAAAGAATGATATATCATGGGAGTTAATTACTCCTTTCTTAAAAAATAAAAATTCAGGGGCACCTGGGTGGCTCAGTCGTTAAATGTCTGCCTTCAACTCTGGTCATGATCCCACGGTCCTGGAATTGAGATCAGCATCAGGCTCCCTGCTCAGTGGGAAGCCTGCTTCTCCCTCTCCCACTCCCCCTGCTTGTGTTCCCTCTCTCTCTCTCTCTGTCAAATAAATAAATAAAAACTTTAAAAAATAAAATAAAAATAATAAAAATTCGGTTTGCTCCGGGGTTTCAACATCCAAAAAAAAAAAAAAAAAAAGAAATCTCCTTTCTTACTTTGCTATGTAAATTCAGAACGCATTTTACAAAACACAATGGCTATACTTATCATTCCAGTTAAGTTTTTAAGTGTCTTATTAAAATAGTGCTGGGTCAGGGCACCTGGGTGACTCAGTCAGTTAAGTGGCTGCCTGTGGCTCGGGTCGTGATCCCAGGGTCCTGGGGATCGAGTCCCATGTGGGGCTCCCTGCTTAGTGGGGAGCCTGCTTCTTCCTCTCCCTCTGCCCCTCCCCACCGCTCATGCTCTCTCTCAAATAAATAAACAAAATCTTGAAAGAAAAAAAAAATAGTGCTGGGTCTAATGGACAGTTTCTGCCCCCAGATATGGATAGGCTCTACTAATGTAAAATCACTGCCTGAGCAAAAATTTAACTTCTCAGTCATTCAACATTATTGAGTGCTTCCTTTCTTTGAAAATTTTAAATTATTTACTTGAATAGGTAACAAAAGCACTAACAGGAAAAGGTACAATAGGATATACAATGTTTCTTCCATATCCATTTATTTATCTATTTTTATTTAAATTAAGTTAGCCAACATATAGTACATCATTAACAGATGTACATATGTACATCGTAACATTTCAGATGTAGAGTTCAGTGATTCATCAGTTGCTTATAACATCCAATGCTCATCACATCATCTGCCCTCCTTAATGCCCATCACCCAATTCCATATCCTTTTAGATATCCTATGGCTACATAACATCTGTGTAAGTAGATTTATTTTCTCCCCACAAATGAAAGTATACTATACACCATGTTCTGCACCTTGCTTTTCCCTTTAATGTATATTAGTGATCATTCCATATCAGAATTAAAGCTACCTTTTTTTTTTAAAGATTTTATTTATTTGAGAGAGAGCACGTGAGAAAGTATGAGTGGGGGAGGGGCAGAGCAAGAGGGAGAAGCAGACTCCCCACTGAGCAGGGAGCTCAACGTGAGGCTCAATCCCAGGACCCCGGGATCATGACCTGAGCCGAAGGCAGATCTTAACCGACTGAGCCACCCAGGTGCCCCAAAGCTACCCTTTAAGTACAGAAGCACCTACATTTATTTACATCAATTTCCTGCAGATAGATATTTAGATGTTACTAATATTGGGCTATACCAATGTCAAGTTTCTATTACTATCTACCTGGATTTATTTCTTTTTTTTTAAAGATTTATTTATTTGAGAGAGAGTGTGTGTGTGTGTGTGCACACAGCACGCACAAACAGGGGGGAGAGGGAGAATCCCAATTAGCACAGTACCCAAAGTGGGGTTCAATCTCAGGACCTGAGATCAGGACCTGAGCCAAAACTGAAACCAAGAGTTGGACACTTAACCAACTGCACCACCCAGGTGTCTGCCCTCTATCTACCTGGATTTAATTAAGGTTCTAAATTCAAGCAACAAAGCCTCTGTTCTAAAAGCATATGATAAAGACTCTATCACCTAAATTTGTCCCAGCCGTTTTTATTCCTTTTCTTTTTCTTTTATTCCTTTCCTTTTTTTTTTTTTAAGATTTTATTTATTTATTTGAGAGAGAGAGCATGAGAGAGAGGGGGGAGGGTCAGAGGGAGAAACAGACTGCGGGACTCGATCCAGGAACTCCAGGATCATGACCTGAGCCAAAGGCAATCGCTTAACCAACTGAGCCATCCAGGCGCCCTATTCCTTTCCTTTTGTACATTGTAATACAGATCTTCCTTATGATCTGATAAACCCAACCTAAGCTGAAAATATCCTAAGTCAAAAATGCATTTAATACACCTAACTTACCAAACCTCATAGCTTAGCCTAGCCTACCTTAAATGTTTAGAACACTTATATTAGCCTACAGTTGAGCAAAATCATCTAACCAAAGCCTATTTTATAATAAATTATTGAATACCTCATACCTCATATAATTTATTGAATACTGTACTGAAAATGAAAAACAGTTGTGTTTACCCTTGTGGATCACGTGGCTGATTTACAGCTGTGCTTTGCTGCCAGTGTCCAGCACCATAAAAGCATCACACCACATATTACTATCCAGGGAAAAGATCAAAATTTAAAAACTGGGGGCGCCTGGGTGGCTCAGTCCTTAAGCGTCTGCCTTTGGCTCAGGTCATGCAGGGTCCTGGTTTTGAGCCCCACACTGGGCTCCCTGCTCCGTGGGGAGCCTGCTTCTCCCTCTCCCAGTCTCCCTGCTTGTGTTCCCTCTCTTGCTGTGTCTCTCCGTCAAATAAATAAATAAAATCTTAAAAAAAAAAAAAAAATTAAAAACCACAGTATGGTTTCTACTGAATGTGTACTGCTATCACACCATCAAAAAGGCAGAAAATCGTTCAGGCGAACAATCATTAAGTCAGGGACTGTCTGTATAGCTGGGATTTTTTTACTTACCTTTTTTTAAAATTTGTTTTTATTGTGGTAAAATACACATAATATAAAATTTATCATCTTCACCCTTTTTAAGTGTTCGGTTCAGTGGTATTAAGTACATTCATATTGTTGTGCAAGCATCACCACCTTCCATCTCCAGAACTTTTTTCATTTACAAAACTGAAACTCTGCCCCCATTAAATAACTCCCAATTTTCCCTTCCTGAAGCCCCTGGCAACCACCATCCTACTTTCTGTCTCTATGATTTTCACGATTCTTTTTTTTTTTTTTAAAGATTTTATTTATTTGACAGAGAGAGACACAGCGAGAGAGGGAACACAAGCAGGGGGAGTGGGAGAGGGAGAAGCAGGCTTCCCGCGGAGCAGGGAGCCTGATGCGGGGCTCGATCCCAGGACCCTGAGATCATGACCTGAGCCGAAGGCAGACGCTTAACGACTGAGCCACCCAGGCGCCCCTTCACTATTCTTAAGTACCTTTATCAGTGGTATACAATATTTTAATCCTTAAGGCAGCTGTAATTGAATGATTTCCATGTAATACAATCAATGTATATGACTAAGTAGATGTTATGAGTTGAACTGTGTCCTCCCCAAATTCATAAATTGGAAGTCTACTCCCTAGTACCTCAAAATGTGACCTTATTTGAAAATAGTCAATACAGTCATTGCAGATATAATTAGTTAAAATGAGGTCATACTGGAGTAGGGTGGGCCCCTAATCTAACATGACTGGTGTCCCCATAGAACTTAGGACACAGACACAGGGAGAATGCCATGTGAAGACTGGAGTCATGCTGCCACGAGCCAAGGAACTACCAAAAGTTAGAAGAAAGGCCTGAAACACATCCTTCCTTAGTACCTTCAAGGTTGATTTTGGATGTTTGATCTCCAAAGCTGTGAGACAATATATTTCTGTTGTTCTAAGTCACCTAGTTTGTTACAGCAGCCCTAGGAAACCCTGTTTTACAGATAAAGTTGTCAATTATTAAAGCACATATCACTTTTTGTTCTTTGAGCAATAGAACATACTTACATCTGTGGTAAATTCAGAAGATAGCAACACTATGGCTAGACTCATACCTAGAAATATTAATGGTGTAGTGAAAAGCTTTAGAAATTAAAGATTAGGGCGCCTGGGTGGCTCAGTTGGTTATGCGACTGCCTTCGGCTCAGGTCATGATCCTGGAGTCCCAGGATGGAGTCCCGCCATCGGGCTCCCTGCTCGGCAGGGAGTCTGCTTTTCCCTCTGACCCTCCCCCCTCTCATGCTCTCTCTCATTCTCTCTCTCGCAAATAAATAAAATCTTAAAACAAACAAACAAAAAACAACAAAAGAAATTAAAGATTAAAATATCAGTATTTATCTATAATTAAAACAAGTGAATATATCCTAAAATTTGCCTAGTAGCACTTATATTTTATCATTTGATCTTCAATCTAATTAAAGCTGTATCTTTCTTCTTTATCCAATAAAAATTACTGGTTTGGGCAAATGATCAAGTTTTTCTTTTTTATACTTGATACACTGCTTTTGTTGAAAATACAAGATTTAGCTTAAATGTAAGTAATTTCTAGTCAATGGGGCGCCTGGGTGGCTCAGTCGGTTAAGCATCTGCCTTTGGCTCAGGTCATGACCCTAGGGTCCTGGGATCTAGTCCCACGTTGGGCTCCCTGCTCAGCAGAGAGCCTTCTTCTCCCTCTCCCTTTGCCCCCTACTCATGCTTGCTCTCTCTCTCTCTCAAATAAATAAAATCTTAAAAATTTCTAGTCATTTTTGGTGTTCATTTTCTGTTGAAGCTTATTGTTCTACTTCTATCTAGCTATTTTTCAAGCTGCTTAAACAGTATCTGGAAGCATTAGCGACTATTACTCACTTGCCAAATCCTGAGTTCTGATTTTTGCTTTCTTCTCAAGATGAATATAAAAGCACCTGGAAGCCAAAGAAAATGTTCTTCCTGTAATAAGGAAAAATAAAAACAACATTATAGTAAGGATACAGCCCTCACTTGTGCTATATGCTTCTTTGTGCAGAACTATTCAAATGAACCAAGCTATTTTTAAAAACATCACGATGGGGCACCTGGATGGCTCTGTCATTTAAGTGTCCAACTCTTGGTTTCCACTCAGGTCATGATCTCATGGGTCTTGGGATCTAGCCCCAGGTAGGGCTCCAACCTCAGTCAGAGGTAGGTGTGTGTGTGTGTGTGTCTCTGCTTGGAAGATTCTTTCCCTCTGCCCCTGCCCCCACCTGCGATCTCTCTGGCTCTCTCCCTCTCTAATATAATCTTTAAAAAAAATCATTATCAAAAACTATTCAAAAGGAATAGTCAGAAAGAAGTTACTCTCTACCTGCACTGGCACTAATTTTATAAAGATATCAAAACTCTTGAATAAGTGGTTCTCAAGTTTTTATGGTACTTTCTTCCCACTAAGAACCTGATGATGCTGTGGTCCTCTTCTCACAAAAGACCTTTGCTTTAATATAGATGACCACACCCCTCTGTTGTAAGGTAGGAATAATACTCTGTTCCTTTCCTCTGCCCTACATATCTTGTTTCTTCTTCTAGATGAAACTGAAAAAAATACTCCTGACAAAAGAGAAAGGTCTTATTTATAAGGCAGCTATTCTTTATGCGTATTTCCAGCTTTGCTAAATCAAGGACCAGCAAAGAGCATACCAGAAATATCCATTCCTATTATGACATATCAGTGGAACTGCACCCAACTAACATGCCAATTCTAAATAGGCTTCACTAATTCAGAAACCTAGTAACAGGAAACTTTCCAAGAATTTAACTGAAACACCGAATCAGGGGTTATAAAAATCCAATTTATAAAAAGAAACCCAATATACAAGAACCGAATACAAATGACTTGACAGTATTATACTTGGCAACCCCACCACATTATACAAATTACGTTCTAATAATATTTCCCCAAACTCTTTCTCACTATCTCTATAAATGATAAATAAAAATTGTACACTGGCTCTTTTAATTCTGGAAAACAACAACGGTGAATTCTACCGGGACCTACAGTCAGTCGAAATTAAAGCACCATTAAGCAATTACCAAGTCACACAAGGACAAAGATGCTTACTCGGATCTTAAAAGTTTGAGGGGTGGGAGGGGGAAATGAATGAATAGGTAGCAAGAGAACGTGAATGATACAAATTAAAATCCCGGGGGGAGAACCTATTAAACCAAATCTCAAGGTCAACGGACCAGGGACACAAATTACTCAGGGCCCCAATAGGCCTCGATTGATACCGGAGACTCAGGCAAAACAGCGAACACGAAGCCGTGAGGTGAGGAATATAAATAAATCAATAAAATAAAGGTATTCTTTAAAAAATAAACCGCTGGACGACGCAGCGGCTGGCAGATACACACCCGCGTGGGTGCAATCACCGGGGAACAAGCCGAAAGCACAAAGGCAGCCAAAAAAGGCACTGAGAAGGACAGAGGTGGGTAGAAGACGAAGCGTTGGTGCGACACACCCCGCAAGGTTTGTACGGCCGCCCGAGGCTGCTCGAAAGGAAACCCGCGCCAGGCCGAGGCCCGCGCCCGCCGCAGGCAGGGCTCCGCGCGCTCCCGTTCCCCGGCCGGGCTGGGCCGCGCCACCTCCTGCTAGTTCCCCGTCGCCCGCCTTCTCGGCTTACCTCGCACCGACCAGGAGAAGCACTGGACACTCCGGGGGCCTTCCCGCCCCCGGCCCAACGGCCGGCTCCCACCCGCACGCCTCACTCCGCCATCTTCGCTCCTTCCCAAGTCCGCCAACCCTGCGGCGGCCGTTTCCACAAGCCCCGCCTCCGCTTCTGCCGCGGCGTCCTGACTGGTTAACGACTTGCGCAAGCGCATTGTCTTCCCGCTGTCGGCTGGTCGGAATGTACGTCCGTCAATAGTGCTGACCCCACTCTTTTCGATCTTTTTTTTGTGGGATTGGGTCCCAGGGTTGAGGTAACGGGGGGAAAACGTTTTTGTAATTCACTTGTTAGGAATGTAAAATTATTTCCCGTAGAACCTGTGTCACTTCGTGGAAAGGTAGTCTGGCTAGGCCGCATGACAGTTTTATAAGACACCGTTAGGTTCAACTATACTGCTGATAATTTCATTCTCGGACCGGGAGCTTTTAACCCCGGACAATACCACACCTAGGCAGACAATTTAATAGCTCCAATTTGTATCTCATTCTCTCTGACTCGTTTCCATTCGTAAGGGGCCCAAACGTCAGACCGCCGTTTCCAGCTCTGGTCAATACAGGAGAGCAAATTCGTTTCTTTCGTTTAAGGATTCTTCTGGAAAATGTCAGACCGTTATAACTGACAATTTTGTTGCTTCCTACACTCAGCTGTAGGGCTCTTGGGATCCTGTCTAAAGGGATTGTTTCAGGGGCGCCTGGGTGGCTCAGATGGTTAAGCGTCTGCCTTCGGCTCAGGTCATGATCTCAGGGTCCTGGGATCGAGTCCCACATCGGGCTCCCTGCTCCTTGGGAGCCTGCTTCTCCCTCTCCCACTCCCCCTGCTTGTGTTCCTGCTTTCGCTCTCTCTCTCTGTCTCTCATGAATAAATAAATAAAATCTTAAAAAAAAAAAAAAAAAAAGAAATGCCAGAGTATTTTCAAACAGTGTATGCTCACATATTCAGAGTTGGAAGGGATCACAGAGCTTACCTAATCCAACTGGGTCATATTACAGATGAAGAAACTAAAAACCAGGAAGCCTGGGTGGCTCAGTTGGTTAAGCGTCTGCCTTCGGCTCGGGTCATGATCCCGGGATCCTGGAATCGAGCCCCGCATCAGGCTCCCTGCTCAAGTGGGGAGCCTGCTTCTCCCTCTCCCTCTGCCGTTCTCTCCACTTGTGCTCTCTGGCTCTATCTGTCAAATAAATAAAATCTTTTAAAAAAAAATAAATAAAGGGATTGTTCCAGGAGAGGCAAGTAGAGTAATTAGAAGTTGCCATTACACGGTGCCAATGGTGGCTCCCAGGTATGAGATGTAGGTCCTCAAACACCAGTAAGGCTCTCAAATGGGCTGCTTCCTAGGAATATGGATTCCTAATGCTGCACCTCCCTGAGATCCAATTCCCAAAGTCCTCGGATGAAGCTAAGGAGTTTTATTTTTACAGAAGCTAATGATAAAGGGCAACTAAGGGAAAACCTTCACTTAAAATGGGGGAGCCTGCCTTGCTCAGTCAGAAGAGCATACATACTACTCTTTATCTCAGGGTCGTGATTCAAGTCCCACTTTGGGCATGGAACCTACTTAAAAAAAAAAAATCATACTTAATGGTGAGCCTTCATACTTTCCCTTTAAGATCAGAAACCAAGCAAGGACACAGGCTCTCTTCACCTCTATTCAACATTGTCCTGGAGGGTGTAGTCAGTGCAAAAAGGCAAACAAAAGGCATCCAGATTGGAAGAAACAAAACTGCCTTTATTTGCAGGTGACGCGATCCTCTGTTGAAAATCGTAAGGAGCACGCACAGAGCAAAAACAAAAGTACTGGAATTTTTATGTTTAGTGAGGCTGCAGAATACAAGATAAGTATACAAAAATCAACTATTTCTCTACACTAATATAAAAAATGAAATTAACAACTGCATTCATAGTAGCATCAAAAAGAATAAAATACTTAGGAAAAAGTTTAATAAAACAAATCCAAGATTTATACACCAAAAATATAAAACATACTGAGAGAAATGAAGATCTAAAGTAGAGACTTTCCATGTTCATGGTTTGTTAGACTCAATATTAAGATGGCAATTCTCAAATTGATTAGAGTCAATGCAATGCCTAACAAAATCCTAGTACATATGTGGTAGAAATTGACAAGCCGATCCTGAAATGTATAAGGAAATACAAAGGACACAGAATAGCTAAGCCAATTTTGGGGAAAAAAAGTCTGAATTACACTACCCGATTCATAACTGACTACAAAGCTACAGTAATTGAGACAGTGTAGTATTCACGAGGATAGGCATATAGAATCAGCAAAACAGAATTGAGAGTCCAGAAACAAACCCTTACATTTAGGACCAATTTTTGACCAAGATGCCAAGATAATTCAATGGGAAAAGGAGAGTGTCTTCAATCCAGGATATTGGCAGGGTCAACTGATATTTAGTTCAGTTATTAAAATATTAAAATACTTACACACTTCGCATTTCCCATTTCCCCAGACCCAAGGTTCCCTTCTCTGCCTCCTCTTATACTCAGGACCCCCCCGCCCATACTTATCCCCTATCCAGCAACTGAAGGGTTTACTGCCTAGCATAGCAGAGGCTCTATCTCTAGGACTCAGCTCCAGCCATACATTCTGATAGATCAGTCCAACACTAGCTAAAAATAACTTCCCATTATAGATGTTTTTCTTCCTAGGGCACAGGCAACTAGGAAAGAACCAAAAACAAAACCATAAAACAGTGTCAACTGGGATAATACAGACTGTTTCTCATTTATCTCTCATTTATTTCCTCCTCCTTAACAATCATGCCCTTCATGTTAAAAAAGTTTGCAGATGTACCTGTGTGTTCCTAAAAACAAAAACAAATACAAAACAAATACATGCACACACAAAAACAAAAAATAAAAAAATATTTTTTAAAGATTTTATTTATTTGCTTGTTTGACAGAGAGAGAGAGCGAGCACACAAGCAGGGGGAGCAACAGGCAGAAGGAGAGGGAGAAGCAGGCTCCCGCTGAGCAGACGTGGGGCTCGATCCCAGGACCCTGAGATCATGACCTGAGCCGAAAACAGACGCTGAACTGACTGAGCCACCCAGGCGCCCCCCACAATAAAAATATACATTTTTAAGATTTTATTTATTTGACAGAGACACTGCAAGAGAGGGAACACAAGCAGGGGGAGCGGGAGAGGGAAAAACAGGCTTCCTGCTGAGCAGGGAGCCCAATGTGGGGCTCGATCCCAGGACCCTGGGGCCTTGACCTGAGCCAAAGGCAGACGCTTAACGATTGAGCCACCCAGGCGCCCCTAAAAGTATTTTTGTAAAATAGTGTTATATATACAGGGAGAACCTAGTTATTATGTTATGAACCAATAGGCAGCAATTCTAGATCATCTAGGTAAACCTCTGTTGTAATTTGGGAATTCTGCAAGATTCCTGACAAAAATGGTCATTCAAGATTTCGCTTAAGCAATTCTAGCAACTAAGGGCTAGGGAATGCACTAGTTTTGGCAATATCCTGTTCCTCATTTGAATAATAAGAAATTCTTCCTTAGGAGTGCCTGGCTGGCTCAGTTGATGGGAGTATGAGATTCTTGGATCTTGGGGTTGTGAGTTCAAGCCCCACATTGGAGAGAGAGATTACTTAAAACTTTTTAAAAAAATCAATTTAATTAAAAAAAAATTCTGGGGTGCCTGGGTGGTTCAGTTGGTTAAGTGTCTGACTCTTGATTTCAACTCAGGTCATGATCTCACCATTGTGATATTGCATCCCACACTGGGCTCCACACTGGGTGTGGGGTCTGGCTTAAGATTCTCTCCCTCCCCCTCTACCCCTACCCCCACCTTAAAACACACACACACACACGCAAAATAAAACCTGTTTCTGAAGAGGCTGTCCTGGCTGGCTCATTGGTAGAGCATGTAACTCTTGATCTCGGGGGGTTTTGGGTTCAAGCCCCATGTTGGGTGTAGAGATTACTTAAAAATAAAATCTTAAAAAAAAAAAGTAATTGTGTGTGTTTTTTAGGGAGTAAGATTTTCAGAATAAAACACTAAAAATCTGTTTAATGGTGCTTGATATCTATTATAGCAGCCAAGAGAACTTATTTGATTAATTCTTATTTCTGCAACCACATTCAGGTATAGGATATAACAATTCACCTACCTGGTTCAGTTCTTAAATAATTTAAGACTGCAAAGGGTGGTGGGAAGTGTCAAGACCATGTCACCAAAGTCTTTCTAGTTTTGAGAAGAGGTCAGAATCTAGTGCTTAGAAGACTGAAGAGAATAGAGAAGAAAACTGAGTCTTGGCATCTCAAGACCAAATCTTTGATCAGCTTCTACCTTGGGTTAAGATGTCAGCTTAGTTGCTTACTCCATCTTAAAAGACATGAGGCTCCTCATTGCAGTCTGCTCCATCCCAGAGCTGGGAAGAAACTGCCTGCAGTACCTCACAAACTTACAGGTAAATCTCCCATCACTCCTTGGTGTAGAGGAAAAGAATCTCTAAACTGAAGTTTCTACTAAGCTAGATGTTAAACAGATCACAGATCTGTATTAGAAAATACCAGCCATCTTTAGTTTGAATCGTTTGTTGACTCAAAGCTCAGTCAAATGTGAATTTAGGGGCCCCTGGGTGGCTCAGATGGTTAAGTGTCTGCCTTCGGCTCAGGTCGTGACCCCAGGGTGCTGGGATCGAGTCCCACATAGGGATCCCTGCTCGTTGGGAGCCTGTTTCTCCCTCTGCCTCTCCCTCTCTCTCGTCTTTCATGAATAAATAAATAAAATCTTTTTTTTAAAAATGTGAATTTAGGGAATTTCAGTCCAGTAATGACTTCCTTCCAAGCAGTTCTGCTCTCAGTGTTTGGGAAACAGGATAAATACCTGGTTTATAGTATAAGAAACCCAGTTTGTAAAGATAGTCCTCTCTGAGGCATCTCTGCAATGAATGTTTGCTCTAAATCCTAATCAACACAATCTATTCTAGTATTTTATTTTTAAAGATTTATTTTAGAGAGAGAGCACGAGAGAGTGGGGGAGGGATAGAGAGATTAGGAGAGAGAGAATCTCAGACTCCCCACTGAGTGTGGAGAATGACACAGGATTTGATCTCACGACCCTAAGATCATGACCTGAGCCAAAATCAAGAGTGGGTTACTTAACCGACTGAGCCACCCAGGTGCCCCATATTCTAGTATTTTAAAAACAGAATTTGATAACATGATTCTAAAAGCAATTTGAAAAAAATAGATGACAGTAAAGACTATTCTGAAAAGAAGAATGAAGGTAAAAGAAAGTAATTCAATTACTTGTGGCAGTTTGGCATTCATTTCTTTGGAGACATATCAAAAGCTTTAAGTACATGTCCAAACCTTGACCTAGTAATCCCACTCCTGTAAAATCTTTTCAAAGAAAAGAGCTATGTGGAGAAAGGTATTCATTGTATCATTAGAACAGATAAAATTGGAAACAATAAACAAGGTAATAATTAAATACTATATCAAGTCTGTAAAATGTAACCATTAATATAAGCTAGGAAGAACAGGTAACATAGGGAATACATTAATTTTTGTTATTTTTTTATTATGTTATGTTAGTCACCATACAGTACATCATTAGTTTTTTTTTTTTTTTAAAGATTTTATTTATTTATTTGACAGAGAGAAACACAGTGAGAGCAGGAACACAAGCAGGGGGAGTAGGAGAGGGAGAAGCAGGCTTCCCACGGAGCAGGGAGCCCGATATGGGACTCGATCCCAGGACCCCGGGACCATGACCTGAGTCGAAGGCAGACGCTTAACGACTGAGCCACCCAGGCGCCCTACATCATTAGTTTTTGATGTAGTCTTCCATGATTCATTGTTTGCATATAACACCCAGTGCTCCTTGCAGAACGTGCCCTCCTTAATACCCATCACCGGGCTAACCCATCCCCCTCTCTCCTCACCTCTAAAACCCTGTTTGTTACTCGGAGTCCATAGTCTCTCATGGTTCGTCTCCCCCTCTGATTTCCCCCCCTTCATTTTCCCCGTCCTTCTCCTAATGTCCTCCATGCTATTCCTTATGTTCCACAAATAAGTGAAACCATATGATAATTGACTTTCTCTGCTAATACATTAATTTTTTAAAGCTGATATAATCTTGTGTTATGTTCCATTTATGTTCAAATATGTAATGCATGGATAGACCAGAAAGGAACAAGAGAAATCAAGTTGGTTAAGGGGATTTTCCTCAAATTGTATTTAATGCTGTAGTATGTTTATAACATTTTTACAGTATTGATTATGCTCTACTTTAGTCACAAGACTGCTGTTCCTTTGGCCATGGCCAGTTACATTCAGTTTTTCCCAAAATGGACTGCTTGGTCCTTCATCTAGTTGCCACTTTCACTGAATCCTAACAGACTCAAAGTGAAACAAAGCTTAAACACCATAGCAAGTCATTTGGAATGGACTTTTCAGGCAGATGGATGGGAAAAGAAGAGGGTATCGCGTTAGAATTTGTATAGCTGATTCCAGCTATTATTACTGCTTTGAGTCCAGTGGCATGCCCCTAAACCTAAAGAGAGATATTTGCACCTTACAGATGAAGTAGTCATGGAGTCTTTTTTTTTTTTTTCCTTAAGTAGACTCCACACACAGCATGGAGCCCACTGTGGAGCTCAAACTCATGACCCTGAGATCAAGACCCAAGCTGAGATCAAGACTCCCCAGGTCACTGAGTCTTGAAGATGTGAAAAGCCATGTAATGATAGGTGGGTATAATGAGTCATTGAGGCTGCACATGCTTGAGGGGGTGGATGACTTAATAACGAGCAATAAACACATACCCCATTTTTAGGCCTTTTCTACATTTAAAAAGCCAGGGAGTCAAGAACAGAAATGGAATCCTACCTGGAGTGAGCGGGAAGTGGCCAAGGTAAGAAACCTGTGCCCAGGGGCACTCAGTGCTGGCCCCTAGATGAATACCCCCACATCACAGGTACAGGCAGCAGCAGAGCAAACATGCATTTGACAGCCCAGACATAAACCTGAGTAAGGGAAACATGGTTTGGGATTTCAAACTTGAAGGAGGGGACTGAGCTTTATAAAATTCTTAAAAAACAGACAACGGGCGCCTGGGTAGCTCAGTCGTTAAGCATCTGCCTTGGGCTCAGGTCATGATTCCGGGATCGGCTGAGCCCTGCATCAGGCTCCCTGCTACGTGGGAAGCCTGCTTCTCTCTCTCCCACTCCCCCTACTTGTGTTCTCTCTCTCACTGTCTCTGTCAAATAAATAAATAAAATCTTTAAAAAAAAACTTAAGACAAAACTGACCCAAGTTATTTTGTTTTAACCACAAGTATTTATTGATGGATCAAAGAATACAATTTTAATGGAACAATAAGGCACAACCGTGGATTAAAACAGTTTGCTATACAGCCAAAAGGAGGAAAAAGCCATATCTTAGGAACTTTACATATGGAAGTCAAGGAGCCTCTGAAGTACCTCTCTAACAGACGAGTGTCAGAAAATTCTTCCCTTTTATCCATTCCCTATATTACATCACTTGATCACAAAGTCAGACTGATACTTCATCCAGAATTCCTCAGTCATTTATACTTGAGTCATCTGGCCTGGCCACTCCTGTTTCCCACTCTTCCCAATCCCTTTGCAGCATCTTGTTTTTGTTTTTAAGCAATTCCCTGCCAAAAGTATTCCAAAGCAAGGAAACAAGGCCTTCCAAAGCAAGGAAACAACCAAGCGAGCAAGCAAGGAGTCAGAGAAAATCAGCCAAGGGCAGATATATAGACAAAGAGACTCATAAAGACAGGAGGACAACAGCCTGATTCACTGAGGTCTATACTAAGCTGTATAGGCAGAGAAGTTGCTCTGGCTCATGCAAAGGCCTGTAAGTGTCACCTCAGTTTGTGCCACTGGTGCCAGACTCCTTGTTTCTAAGAGATGAGTAGTGGTTTGCAAGAGGAGCTGGGAAGTCAATGTAACCAGGCAGCTTATGATAATAATACATTCAATGCTCGGGACCTCTTCTAGGAGTGGACTATGGCTTCCAGCACTAACATTTGCCAAGTGTAAAATTCGTTGAGAATTTTGTGCAAAACTTCAAGACACTGAGGACAATCTTTAAATCTCTCAGACTGGGATAAGTTAGGCACTTCCGTTAACACTGCTCATCCAATTGGGAAATGTGACGTGAAACACATTCTAGGGCACGTAACACTGAGGCATAAGCCATGCTGCATAAGTTTGGGGATACACCAGGCTTTCAGAGTGCCCGGGCTCCTTGACCAAAAAGCCATGAGAAAGGCCCCAAGCACAATGTCAGGGCAGCCATTGTGGTGGTGATGGTTTCCGAAAACTAAGCAAACCTGCCGGCATATGGCTCTTTTCGGAAGAGTCAACACTGTACTAACAAGAGTAGCTACGTAGTTATGTGAGTTGAGAATCAGAGGCCAGAGGTAGAGCGACCTGGGCAAGCCACGTGGAAGCCTTGGCTCTACACCTCTCACCAAGGCCGCCACCTTTCACCAAGAACATCTAACCAACAGCCCTTTGATGACAGAGCAGAGTGCAGGGGACCAAGAGATGACCATTCTTTTGAGAGAAGTGTTGGTTATGGAAAATCTCCTGTAGAGGCAACATCCCAGAGACCCATTTAAGAATAAAGGTAGACAAAAACCGCCAGCCCGCCCACTATCCTGCCAAGTCAGAAATACGCTTAACAGGCATAGCTTGGGGGGCCAAGTAGAAGAGAGGGGCTGAAGCTTAATGAAGAGCAGGGAGACTGAAGAACTAAGTGACAGAGAAGTAGGAAGGAAAGGACATATAAAAAAAGGACGAAGGAGCATGCCGAAGCCTGGCTGGAGGGAAGGCAGCAAGGCTGTCTTCTACATCCAGTGAAAGAGCTTTGCTGGTTGGTTCTTGGCATGGATTGCCTCTCACTGTTTCAGACGGGATGGACATGTGGCCTTCAGCAGCGAACCAGGGGAGATGATATTTAGAAATGGAGATAACTGGTGAATGATACTGAACAGAAATAGACTGGGGTACCATTCTGTAATGCCCTGTTTATACACCAAAGGCAAGTTTACGTTGACAGAACATATTTGGGGTTGTCATGCAACAGCAGTAGTACTTTGGGAGAAGGGGAATGATGGGGTGGAGGTGGGGCTGGTGGACAGGAGGACTCTCAAGTTCCAGTTCGTAAATACTAGAAAGCAGGCAACAGTCTGGTCTCAGTCCTTCAGTGAAGAAATCGGATGCTCATTTTCTGTTCTACGTCCACCTTCTCCAAAACCTGGGGGGAAAAAACGTCCCCAAACCCAATTATGGTTATGACGGTCAAAAGAAGGGATACTGCCCCAAGTTCTTATTGGAATGTTTTTCTCCCTCCCTCCTACGTGACAGAATTTTCAAACTTTTTCAGACTTTTTCAAACCAAGAGGTGATGGACTGACCTTAACAAATTCTGTGAAAGATATGGCACTGTCCCCATCCTGATCAGCCTCCTGGATGGTCCTGTCTGCAATGCTGCCCAGCTGCTCATCTGAGATATTTACTCCAACCATCATGCGTAGCACCTACAGGACCAAAAGCCAGGAATTACAGGAGACTTGGAGTTCAGCAGGACTCTTTTAAAGAAAAAGATTAAAGAAAAAGCCACCTCCACCCTCTTTTCCTTTGATGTCCTCAAATGTACAGACAGAAAGTGGAAACCCTTGTCTTCTCATCTAGGCCATTCTAGACAATGATATGAGTAGAACTCTCTGGCAAGGTCACTGGATAGGAAGGCAAAGCTTCACTGGGGGAGAGTCCTTTGCATTTTGCTCTTTCCATTTTTTTTTTTTTTTGGTAAATTTTTTTTATTATGTTTTTTTTTTTAAAGATTTTATTTATTTATTTGACAGAGAGAGAGACAGCGAGAGAGTGAACACAAACAAGGGGAGTGGGAGAGGGAGAAGCAGGCTTCCCGCGGAGCAGGGAGCCTGATGCGGGGCTCGATCCCAGGATCCTGAGATCATGACCTGAGCCGAGGGCAGATGCTTAACGACTGAGCCACACAGGCACCCCTTTTTATGTTATGTTAATCACCATCCGTTACATCATTAGTTTTTGATGTAGTGTTCCATGATTCACTGTTTGCATATAACACCCAGTGCTCCATGCAGAATGTGCCCTCTTTAATACCCATCACCAGGCTAACCCATCCCCCCACCCCTCTCCCCTCTAGAACCCTCAGTTTGTTTCTCAGAGTCCATAGTCTCTCATGGTTCGTCTCCCCCTCCGATTTCCCCCCTTTCATTCTTCCCTTCCTGCTATCTTCTTCTTTTTCTTTTTTCTTTTTTAACATATAACGTATTATTTGTTTCAGAGGTACAGGTCTGTGATTCAACAGTCTTACACAATTCACAGTGCTCACCATAGCACATACCCTCCCCAAGGTCTATCACCCAGCCACCCCATCCCACCCACCCCCCACCACTCCAGCAACCCTCAGTTTGTTTCCTGAGATTAATGCTCTTCCCATTCTTTTTGTCTGGAACACAGATATGATGCTTTGGTGGTAGAGCAGCCATCCCAGGGACTGTGGGACGAAAGTCCTCTGTGTTATGCATGCCAGAGCAAGAATACAGAAGCCTGGTTCCTGGACATCACATAGGTTCTGTATCAACCCAGATAATCTAACCCCAGACTTCTTGTTGCATGAGGCAAACTAGTTCCTTATTGGTTTAAGTCAGTTTGGTAGGGCTTTCTAGGAATCCCACATGAATGCAGTCCTCTCTGAAGCAGTGCATTAACCCAGCTATTCCTAAAGGACAGCCAAGAAACATAAAGATCTTTGAAGGTTTAAATACTAAACCCTTCTTTTTAGAAAAATAAGCACATTTAACGGACTGTAGTCAAGAGAATTTAACACTGTTTCACCAAATTTGCTTCACACATAACAAAAAACTCCTCCCCGCAATTCTGCTAACATCTTCAGGGTGTAAATATATTTTGAAAATTATTACTTTAAGCAAAATAAGCAACTATAGTGATATGACTGTTAGTATGAAATGGGGGCCAGGGTGCTTTTGTGATGCCTCACATCACTGTAGTCAGCCACCTCTGTCTTCAGAGGTAAGAGCTGAGCTCTTCCATAGGAGAGAAAGACTTTTTGGCCCAGCAGCTCACAGGCCCCACTCCTTTACATCCTTCTCCAATCTCTTGACATAGATTTTTAAAAAGTAAATTACAGGATTTTCTGAAAAGAAAAAAAGACCTGAAATATTGATTTGCATCAATACTGGTTATTTCTTTTTACAAATTGATTCTTGAAAATGGAAAGTTGTACATTTAGGGGTACAAAGATAGGCAAATGGAAGGATTAATAAAAAGAAACAATTTTGGGGTGTGTGGATGGCACAGCTGGCTAAGCGTCTGACTCTTGGTTTCGGCTCAGGTCATGATCTCAAGGTTGTGAGATGGAGATCCACCTCGGGCTCTGTGATCAGCATGGAGTCTGCTTGAGATTCTCTCTCTCCCTCTCCTTCTGCCCCTCGCCCCCCCCACTCTCTCTCTCAAAACAAGAAAAATTTAAAAAGAGGCAATCCTGGTAAAAATACTGAATGGCCAAGCCATTTGCCATCTTCCTTGATTGTGTGTGGTTGACTAGACAAGTCCATCCTCAAATAGCAGCTTCTTCTGAGCTCAGTCCAATTATTCTCTGAAGTGTTTTATTTTTAGAATTAGAGAACCGTATTGAGTACGTGTGCTCTGTGGGGAGAGGAGTGGTGTTGTCTGAAGAATCACTCATCCAGTCTGTTAACGAGGACAAGAGGGTCTAGAAGTGGCTTGATCCAGGTCCCAGCAACCAGTGGCCCTCACTGTCTGCCACGCCTCTGTGCCCAGTCAGCACTCCACAGAGCCACTCAGGGTTCCAGTTGGAAGTTCATTAGCAAATAGGACTTTTATTATTACTACCTCTTTTTTTTTAAGATTTACTTATTTGAGAGAGAAAAAGAGAGAGAGGGAGCACAATTAGGGGGAGTGGGAGAGGGAGAAGCAGGCTTCCCGTGGAGCAGGGAGCCCCACGCGGGGCTCGATCCCAGGACCCTGGGATCATGAACTGAGCCAAAGGCAGACGCTTAACAACTGAGCCACCCAGGTGCCCCCTACTTTACTTTTTAGGTGTTATCTTGAAATAGACAAATCTCCCCCAGAAAGTCCTGAATGTATTAGCTTCCTAGAGTCCTCCAGAATCATAAATATTAAAGAAAAGAAAAAAGGAGAACTTTCTCCCCTCTGAACTTGTATTTAAGGAAGTGAGGAAGACAAGAGGAAGGCAATGCTAAGAGGATGAAATGCTAGTCACTGCTAGTAGGAGGACAGGGAATTGTCCTCAGGAGCAACAAAGGACAGTGAGCACTTGGCTCTGTACAGCGGCCCAGCAAGAGTTCCATGACTCCTACATCAAGCCCAAGGACAGGCGGGACAGCAGCATTCACCTAAGTGTCATCAGAATATACTGGATATCAATAAGCTGATATAACAATAATGGAACTATCTGACTTAGACCATCTTGCATAGTTTAGCTCTGCCAGTCAGCACCTAAAAGACATTAAACTGGCTTTTAAATAGCAGAGACATCTGTCTTTGAGAACTCAATGAGCCATTTCACGTTCCCACAGGGTCTATATCTTTTATATCTAAAACGGTACTCTGCACAGGCAGGTGTTAAATAAACACTTGCTGAAAGAACAATTCCCGCCCAAAAGGACAAGCAGACAGAGCCCAAACAAGTTGTCCACATGCACGGCAGCTGTCACACATACCTGTAACAGCTCATCACGGGAAATCTTGTCATCTTTATCCAAGTCATAGAGTCGAAAAGCAACTGGTAGGGGAAAACGAGAAGTTACTGGAAATTAGCAGTGTTTTGCCCCTTTTCAAGGAAGTAAATACATAAAGAACACCAGACAGGAAACTGACAACAAGTAGTTTCTCAAGAGCAACTGACATGACCTCTAGAGCTTTTAAAGACATTATAACATTTAAGAAATTGAAATGCATCTCATAATTGATGACATCTTAACCCTGATAAAATAGGGCCCCTCTTCAGGCAAATCAGAAAACTTAATAAAAAGAAACAACTGGATGTTCTTTTTCTTACCTTAGAATGTTTAAAAACAAAAAAAATCTGTAAGTGGTTCTGGACATGAGGTCATCTCACAAAACCCACCAAGTCTACTGTGCACCACTCAGAGGGAGCCAGGAACAGGAGCCATGCAGGCGAAGGAGCTGACTACACAAAGTAGTGCTTGGGAAAAATGGCATTTTGGCAAATTTCTGCCAAATTTCAAGTAATTGTCTTCTCTCCTGGAACACTAAAAGTAAAGAACTGCACTTTTTTTTTTTTTTAAAGATTTTATTTTTTAAGAACTTCACTTTTAAATAAAAATGCCAAGAATTTGATGGTCTCCTGGCTTTACCATGTTCCTCTCCCTTAAATACATATGTAAGTCTTCTGGAAACTAGGATAAATGAGAGAATTCAGAAGAGCAAAAATCATTCAGACAGGGCCACATTGCTGAAGAGCTACCAGGTGAGGTGTCATACCATTGGATGATTTTACTGGCAACTGTGAGAAATCGTCACACTGAAGAAGTGACTGCTTTGTAATTATAGTTGAATGAAGTGTGGTTTTGAGGCTCTGAATCACAGTATGCTACTAAGGTTTTTGGGTTTTGGTATGGTGCTGTGAATACTAAAAGGCCAAAATCCACTGTTCTAGTTATTAAGATACAGATTTAGATCTTGTCCTCTGCAGGTCATGATCTAGTAGAGGAGAGCAACATACCTCTCACTTTAATACATATGCAATGTTATCATACATATGAAATGCTAGGGAACAAGACGTATGGCAGTTATGCCTTTCTGGTTCAAGTAACATTTAAACATGGTCCTGAAAGACAGACCAATCTGATGACGGGTGGGATTCTAGGCAGAGCTCATACTAGGCACAAAGGCATTAGAACATGGATGAATATCTCAGTGTTGAAACCACCCCTTCCCCTGCCAAAAAGGAGTCCCCTAAGAGTTGAAGTAAAAATTTTAGAAAAATTTGGGGCGCCTGGGTGGCTCAGTTGGTTAAGCGACTGCCTTCGGCTCAGGTCATGATCCTGGAGTCCCTGGATCGAGTCCCGCATCGGGCTCCCTGCTCGGCGGGGAGTCTGCTTCTCCCTCTGACCCTCCTCCCTCTCATGCTCTCTGCCTCTTGTTCTCTCTCTCGCAAATAAATAAAAATCTTAAAAAAAAAAAGAATTCTAGAGGGGGAGGGGCACCTGGCTGGCTCAGTTGGTATAGCATGTGACTCTTGATCTTGGGGTTGTGAGTTCAAGTCCCACATTGGGTGCAGAGATTATTTAAATAAATAAACTTAAAAAAATTCTAGAGAGGGGAACTGGGAGACTTTCTCTAATGTTTGTTTTCTTCAATTTGGTTAGTTGATTAACTTTATCAAATTTGAGAATTTACATGCTTAGGAGGTTTAGATTGCAAAGGAAAGAAGATAAGGATCATTACTATTCCTAAAGGAATATATGTTTATTTTATTTTAAGATTTTATTTATTTATTTGAAAGAGAGAGAGAGCGAGCCCAAGCAGGGAAGACGGGCAGAGGGAAAGGGAGAAGCAGATTCCCCGCTGAGCAGGGAGCCCGATGTGGGGCTCGATTCCAGGACCTGAAGATCATGACCTAAGCCAAAGGCAGATACTTAACCAACTGAGCCACCCAGGCACCCTAGTAATACCTAGAGTGAACACAGACACACACATACCTGTATATGTTGTCAAGTTTAAAATACATAAAATGTGTTATCTACTAAGCACTCTTCAGGATGATTTCGGAATGGAAATCTGTTTGCTATATAACCCATAAACATCTGTTTCTGAATTTTTTTATTTAAACAACCATTTATTTTCATTTTTTTAAAAGTAACCTCCACGCCCAATGTGGGACTCGAACTCATGGCCCCCAGATCAAGAGTCACACGCTCTACTGACTGAGCCAGCCAGGCGCCCCTGTTTCTGAATTTTTTAGTCAGGTAACTATTATAAACACATCTCCTTCTGCCAAGGTATTTACAGAAGCCTGAACTGCTAATTTTTTTTTTAAAGATTTATGTATTTATTTTAGGGAGAGAGAGAGAAATCCTTAAGCAGACTCCCTGCTGAGCGTAGAGCCTGACACAGGGCTTGATCCCAGGACCCTGAGATCATGACCTAAGGTGAAATTAAGTCAGATGCTTAACCGACTGAGCCACCTAGGAGCCCTTGAAACAGTTATCCCCCCCAAAATTCCTATTTTGGAACTCTCAATCCCCAGTGTGATGCTTTTAGGAGGTGAGGCCTTTGGGAGGTAATTAGGTTTGGATCAGGTCCTGAGGGTGGGGTCCTCATGATAGAATTAATGCCCTTATAAAAAGAGGAGACAAGGGGGCGCCTGGGTGGCTCAGTCATTAAGTGTCTGCCTTCGGCTCAGGTCATGATCTCAGGGTCCTGGGGTCGAGCCCTGCATCAGGCTCCCTGTTCAGCAGGAAGCCTGCTTCTCCCTCTCCCACTCCCTCTGCTTGTGTTCCCTCCCTCGCTGTGTCTCTCTCTCTGTCAAATAAATAAATAAATAAAAATCTTAAAAAAAAAAAAAAAAAGAGGAGACAGGAAATTTCTCCTCCTCTCTGTCTCTACCTCCCTCCCCATATGAGGATACAGTAAGAAAAAGGGGGCTCTTCTGGGTGCAGCAGGAGGACCCTCACCAAGAACCTGACTGTGCTGGCACCCTGTTCTCAGACTTCCAGGCTCCAGAAATGTGAGAAACATCTGTTGTTTAAGCCACCCAGTCTATGGTGAGCAGAGGAAGATATCAGCAGAAAGGTAAATACAGAGATTACCCGATAGGACCTTTGAAGAAAAACCACAGCATTAGTAGTTGTTTCTTAACTGACCTGGATTCCTATCAGGCAGTTCTGGCCCTGAACCAGCAAAAACATTCTCCCCAAGATAAACGAATGGTCAAATGCATAAATGACTGAGCCATTTTGTTAACATTTCTCTCTTTACTCTTCTCATCTCTCTTTTATCTCCCCATTCTTGGTCCTATGATTTGGACTCTCCCAATCCAGAGCTATCTTCTTGCATCTCTGGTTCCATGGCTTTAATTAAATGCTTTCCAGTGCTTGTGATTCCCAAATGTGATCTGCTTGTGATTCCCTCTGCTCTGAGCTCCTGACACTGATGTCAAGGCGATATGGTACACTGGTTAAGACTCTGGCTCTGCTGAATTCTGGCTCTGGGGGTTACGGGCTATGTGAACGTGAACAAGTTACTTGAACTCTCGGTGCCTCAGTGGCCTAAAAGGGGTAAACAAAATGAGGGTAACAGAATCCACCTCACAGGGTTGTAAGGACTGAAGGAATTACACACAAAGGGCACTTTATTATTTTTTTTAAGATTTTATTTATTTATTTGAGAGAGAGAGAATGAGAGAGAGCGAGCATGGGGGGGGGAGGGTCAGAGGGAGAAGCAGACTCCCTGCTGGGCAGGGAGCCTGATGTGGGACTTGATCCTGGCACTCCATGATCATGACCTGAGCTGAGGACAGTCATTTAACCAACTGAGCCACCCATGTGCCCACAAAGGGCACTTTAAAGAGTGCTGCGCACACAGTAAGAGCTCAATAAATATCACCTACCTTCTGTTACCTCCCTCCCCTCTTTTCACACCACTCACCTCTTTCTTGGTAATGCTCTGTTCTCTGAACATTCCAAGTACTCATTTACCCTGGTTGTTCCTGTGCCCAGAGCTCTCTTCTGTTCTTTGCATGGCTGGCTCATTCTTAGCTCAGAGAGGCTTTCTTTCACTCACAACTCCTTCTAATGCAGTGGCACCCCTAACCACTTTCTCACCTCACCTTATCCTTTTCCTTTACAAGACTTGCCACAATCATAAAGTTTTTCTTCAACTGTCATTTCTTTTTCTTCTTGTTTTTTTTTTTAAGTAGGCTCCACGCCCAGAGTGGAGCCCAACACGGGGCTTGAACTCATGACCCTGAGATCTAGACCTGAGCTGAGATCAAGAGTTGGGACACTTAACTGACTGAGCCACCCAGGCACCCCCATCTGTCATTTTCCATGTAGTCTGTTTCTCTTATTAGATCGTAAGCTCTATGAAAGCAAAGACCTTATCTGATTTATGCATCATTGTATCATGGGACTAAATTAGTGCCTGGCATACAGTAGTTGCTCAAACATTTGCTTAATGAAAGACCAAATGAATGATCTCAGTCAAATCTTTACCTTTTGATCACTGATTCTTCTTTAAAAAAGGAGGGGGGGTAAAATTTACCATTTTGACTCTTTTACAATGTACAAAGTTTCACGTGGTTGTATAACCACCACCAACAACCATCTCCCGAACTTTTTCATCTTCCCCATGAAACTCTGACCCACTAAACAGTAATTCCCCATTTCCCCCAATCTCTAGTCCCTGACAACTTTCTATGAATTTGGGCTACTCTAGGAACCTCATATAAGAAGAATCAAACAATATTTATCCTTTTGTCTGACTTACTATTTTTTTAGTATCATCCATGTGCATGTAGCAGAATCTCCTTCTTTGAGGTCAAATAATGTTCTACACTGTATGTATATAACGCATTTTGTGTATCCTTTCATCTTTCAATGGACATTTGGGTTGCCTCTACCTCTTCACTGTTGTGAATATGCTGTTCACTGTTTCTTCTTGGCTACTCTCCCTAACTCCACTTTACAATATTCCTCATCCTCCAAATAAAAGAGCTTCATGCAGACTCCTTATTTCCCGCATCACTCATTATGTGTT